TTGATGGACAGAGGATAGTTGCAATCGTATATACTATACTATATGGCTTATCGTCGGTCGCAGAATAGTATTTGTTTAGCTTTTTCTTCGCTGCAGCGAGAGCCTAAAGTATTCTCTTTTTCTAGGGGACACCCTTTCGTTTCAGTTTCTTTTCAGCGTCGTCAAGGTAGTTGAAGAGGCGGTTGTAGATACTAAAAACATGATGAACTGTAATATCTCTAGTCTTCGACAAAACGTTGGTGAAGTCAAAGAAAGGCTTCGTAAGTAAAAGAAGATACTTAATCTAGCGCCACTCTTCCTGATCTAGTTTGAAATAGAGATATTGATAAGTTGTGCAGTACTTATCAAAGACTAGCTGCAGCTTTTTGGCACGATTAAGCATCAAAAAGGTCGAATTCTAGCGTGTACGAACGTCCTAGATAGGAATAAGTCGAGGCTCCTTGTTTTGGAGAGCTAGGAATGCTTCCCGGCGCTACGGGCTTGTATTAACAAAGACGGTAAGCTCTCGAATCTTAAAGTGCTTAAGATTAGTGCTTGTTTTCTAAAATATTAAGAGAATATACCTTTTTTAGGGTGTCCACGATCTGCATTGTAGAGCGCTTTGATTATAGCGACTAGGTTCGTTCGTTAGACCACTTAGACTCGGCCTCTTTATTAGCCGGTGTTACTTTTAATTTCCTAAGTAGCTTATTTAGACTAAGCTAAATTATATAGGAAATATATAGGATCCGGAAAATTGAGGTATCGGTAAGGGTCTGTGACTAAATTACCTCCTAGATGCTTTCTATTATACTATTATTACTTATTATATTATTAGTAGTAACGGATAGCACACGGTCGGTGATATCATGGTCTTGGAGGAGCTATAAGATAGTCTTGCTTAAGTTTTCACCCGTATGCGAGCTATAAAGGGGCTCAAACCTAAGAAGCACTTCATAGTAATTCTAGTCCTGGTTAAGGAAATAGCCTATAATAGCCATAAATGCCTAGCGAAAAGGTGACGTCTAGCAATCAAGTGCGATTAATAGCCGGCTTCCCTCTAGAAGCTTGCTAAGCACACCGTGTTGTTATTCGTGGATTATAGTGTCTAAGAGACGTCGTATAGTCCGTGGCGAAGGTATATCAATCGGGTCTTCTAACTATTGTATAATCTCTACTAGCTCTTTAAACTCTAGACGTTTAACAATGCGAAACGGGAGGCGGGCGGTTATAATAAACTAAAGAAGTCTCTTAAGAAGGAGCACCTAGCTGAAACCCTAAGATCTTAGCCGTTGTGGCTAAATAATATCTAGGATTAGCGATTAAGTATAAATAGGATGATAGTAGAGAAAGCTTAATACTAACCGAGTTCCGTATTAACTAGTCTATACCTTGCTTCTTAAGAGGCTATAGTTTAGTACAAACGCTACTACTAAGATACGCCCGTATCGGAGAGAGACCTACACGACAGTGCCTAGGATAAACAATAATATTCTAGCAGCGTTTGCACATTACCTTTGGCTCGCCGGTCCTCTTATATGCAACCTGATCAAAGGACAACCAAGCATTAGACTTTTTGAGCTTACTAGCCTATCTAATACTCTTGCGGAGTTCTAGCTTTAGGCCATATTTAGTGTCTAACCACTAATGCACGAATTGCCTTCGCGAAGCCTCTATTTGAGTATCTTGATCGTCGCTAGGGTAGAGGATATAAAACCGCTAGAAGGGCTTGCTAATACGTTCAAGCGAAGTAGGGGCGTAAGGCTTTTTCTCTCGAGAGGGAGGATAGATATCTAAGATACTAATCGAAGGTCGTGTTATCTCACTACTCGGGAGTTCGAGGAAATCGTCTGATTGAAGGAGGTTAGGGTTAATAAAGGATTTAGCAAATTAAGATGCTTTATATTGACTCTTAGATGCTTGAGATTGAGACATAGTAATAGGTTGTCTATAGATATTAAGCGAGAGACTTACGGAGAGAGCTAAGGTAAAAAAAAAAAATAGGGGCAGAGGTAAATAGCGTCACGAACGCGATTTCGACGTGTTAAAAGGCGATACTATGTGCTAATTGGATATATATTTAGGGCTATGGAGAAGTGTTAGATGATCGGTTGGACATCGTGCGGATATTGTGCGGATATCCAATAGATATCCGTTAGATATCGTACGATATCTAACTAATATCCGTATATCTATAACAATCTAAAACTTCTAAGTCCGTTAAATAAAAAAAAGAAACCGAAATTTCTCTCTAATTTTGTATAATATAATAGCAATTAAATAAAATAATCATATTAATTAGGCGTGCCCCTATCTCCTAGCACTAAATCCGAAAGGATTAGTGTATTTTCTATAGAGTTACATTATTTTATGGGTGTTCAATAGGAAATGGACTGACCTTATTCTGTATAGAATATATACTTCTACAACAACACTATAGATAAAGGAACAAACTTAAGATTACTAGCAACCACAACGCATTAGTCTAATATCTTAGGTTCAACAAGGCAAATTGATATAACTTATTTCTTAATATAGGCATGTTTCTTATTATTTCAGAGGGGAAGTAGGAGAATCTCTTAAAGAGTACTGGTATAACGAGAACATATGTATATTAACATTAAAAACAAGTGTGTGTCAGCGGCATAAGCGTCACATGGTAGTCTATAATAGGATAAACTAGCGAGATTTATGCAAGTGCGGATATTTGTTGGATATCCAAGTATCCATTGGATATCCATTGGATGTCCGCAAGTTGGACTTGGATATCTGACCGATATCCAACATCCGCAATTTGCGGACTTGGATATGGAACTGATATCCAAGTCGGCGGATATGCCGCAGCCTACCCACGGGTATGGGCGAGGCCTAGGTACTTGTCCTAGAATAGGACGAGGGAAGAGTGACGGCCTAATAGGGCTTTGGCTAGGTAGCGAAGTATAAGGGTGTGGCCGAGACGTTATCGCGAAGGGATAGTATCTTGCTAGATTATCTTGAGGCTCACCCTAGTATCAACCGGTAGAAGCTAGTACCAAAGATTTATGATCAAAATAACACACCTACGAGAAAAAATCAGTATAGGAGGGGAAGGACACGTCAGCGGTTCAGGGGCGTGCAGGATATTCAGATGTAGAATAGCGGTGTTTAGGGCATTCAGGTAAATAGGCTAAAGGGGCTGAAGAGTAGGGCGGCAAGAGGGAGTTTCCGAATAAGTCAAAAAAACGAGTGAATGTGGACATACAACAGTAAGGATTCGCTAGTGGTCACCCACCTAACTACTAACTTACCGGCGTGTGGCTTAAGTACGGCTGAGCGGACGGGAAGCCCTGTTCTCCACACCCTCTGGTCGTATGTACTTAAAGTATCATCAAAGGAGGTCTTAGAGATGATTATAGGGGCCGCTTTATCGTCGCTCGGCAAGAAGGGTGATTGCGCTATAGACAGGGTGAGAATCCGGGTGTGAATCACCCAAGTCGCGCGACCACTGCACTGATCGCCTCAGCTGAACAACCAACAGAATTTTATACAACCACAACTAGAAGTATTGCACAACAGGTTTCTTCCAGCTCATGGTCTGCCTCGTCTGACAGTAGCTTGCAGGCAGATTGGTAAAAGCAATCGAAGTGACAGAAGAAAGGCAACCCATGAGACCAATTTGACAAACAGAGGCAAATCCTGTAGATAGTCTCATCATCAAACGAGGTAATCATTCCGCTCTGTCCTCTCGAGCACGCAGTATCTCGCCTTCTGGATTATTACCCTCACTTGACTGGCACACGAAATCGGTTAACTGGGAGCGGGCGTCGAGCTTTTGGGCGGCCAGTCCACCACACGACTCGGTGGCATCGCTTCATCAACCCCATTAAGCCGTATTCTCATGCCCAGCCTACCATCCTTCGGAAATGGGCTACTCCACCCTTTGACCGGACCTACAACGGCACCACTCAAAATCCCATGTTCAGCATACACGATTTGCCTGTGGAGGAGTGGCTCTTGGGGTCCGAGTGAACCATGGAGTCTGCGATAGGACTTGATTCTTCCAATTCACTCGTGATCTTGCCATCTTACGAACCTCTTCTGCGCCAATGCTCACTTCCACACGAGTTATATTTCCATATCTGCGTGGATTCAGTGCCTTTCGAGCCGGAGGAATTTCAGGAAACCGTCTCCTTCAATATCTCATCTGATTTATAGGGCTTTTGTTCAAATTAGGAATTGATGCAGACCAAAACGATCGGTTTGATCATCTCTGCCAATTTTTCTCATTGAGCTGTCATCACCATTGGGTTTATCAAACAGTTGCTCTCCATTGGACAACAATTATGCAATTGGGAATGTCATTGAAGAACAAACATGTTAGTCATCTTATGGAAGCCTGAGGCTAAAGAGCCAGTAAATACGTCATTGCGATGTCACCTATCTCTACCCTCAACAAGCAAGGCAATCGCAATTTTTGCTCTTCTTATTTCCAGTTATGAGGTTCAGGCTTTCTAAGTGTTCAATTCTTGATGTTTTTTGAAGTTGCCACCTCAATATGGTGCTAGTGGCTTTCCTTCCGGAAATGTCGCCCACTTCGATTTAATGATCTGCACCCAACCATACTTTCCACCTATCAATTCCTTTTGCTTGAGTTAATAGCAGATCGATATCAAGTTTTCAAGATCAGTCGCTCGAGTAAGTGTCATATTTTTGATTGATACTTGGTTTTCTTAGGAAGGTGACATCTTTGAATCGGGAACCCAAGGAGCTCGAGGACCGAGATGATGTAACGATGAAACCAGACCGGAGCTTTTGATTGCTACCCAGGTTTGTTTTACTTGTTTCAGTCTTTTAAGCTCTCTCTGCCTTTAATCTCAATCGTATCGATTTGCGGCTGCATCTTTTAATTCATTCCTCAGCTGTGTTGACTTACAACTATGAGCTACCTTCGCCAGTCAGCTTTACACGCATCAATGCCACGGCCTCTCCGGCTCGGAACTATTGGGCTTCAGCCAGCTCGGACGAGGACTAGTCAAAGATACATGGCTACCAGTGGGCCGGAAAGGCAGCAAGCTGTTCCCCGATGGTTAGTCTGCCTGTCTATCTTTCTTTCAGGAAGATATCTTACTCACCTACCTTCTTCCGCTAGGTTAATAGCGTTATTCGGAGTCGGACTTCCAATCTCATTTTACTATTGGCAAAAAGGCGGCAAACAGAATCACAAAACCAACGTAATTCGCGAAGAACAACGAGAATCAGCGCGGGGCGCCAATCAGGAATATACTGATAAGGCAGAGGGAAATGAGGGTAAGCCAGCTCTCAAGGGAAAGGGAAGTTCATCTGATGATGACAAGGTTCGTGACTTGCTCAACCTCTTAGCTGCGGTTCGGCGTCTTCTTGCAACACGTATCTAACTTTCAATAGCCTCGAGGAATGGGATCTGCGGGTGGTCCAAAGACCATGTCATTCAAACAGGAGGGTCTTTCGAATGCCGACACCATGCATCCATATGTCAATGAGCCCGGGAAAAGCGAGAAGGGGGAAGGTGAGACTGAGACTGTGAAGGTAAAGGGTACTGTGAGGACCGATAGACCGCAGGTGTAATGTAATAGCTATTTTGACCTTGTAGCAGAAACCTTTTATTCTTATGCCTGTGAAGATAGAGCTGAAAGAAAAAAAAAAAAAAAACAAATCTACTGCGATTTTGTCATGGATATGTTTTCAATGAATAATAGCCTACTCTTATCTCCATAATTCATATTGCCGACCGATTCAATGCTTATTTCTTTTTTTTTGAGGATTCGTCAGGGGGTCTGTGCCTCTTTTCGGGGCTATTCGTATACCCATCAATAGGCTCTGGGAACTATCGATCGATAGCTCTATATGGCGTGCATTACTTTGTCGCCCCACAACATTTAAAATTACTTTATGCCGACTGGTCATAACTTACTGGTCATAACTTATGAAGTTGCTCTATGCGTTTGAAACGTTCTGTACTTTGATTGACTTCACTGAATCCCAACATTCATGGAAAAATGTACTAATATCCCATGTATTATAAACAACCGCACCATAACGCCTGGTAGTTGAAATGTCCGTTTCAACATGCAAAAAAAACTCCGTGGGCTGTAATTACCCAGAACTAATACCTGGGTGTACTTTTCCAGCTGCAAGCTGGCGGCCCTTCTTGAGTAGCAGAAGAATTGCAAATATCTGCGCACCTGCAAATCCAATCATGACACGCAGCTGCGTGCTGTAACTGCCAGCGAAAACATCCTTTACCTGGTGCTGTAGATGCGGGGAAAGATAGTCTATCGATTTGACGTTCTCGAGGAATAGATGCAGTTCGTGATTTGTCAGAGCACCCTTCAGATGATGTGCCAAGCGACCGTTTAAGATATTGGATGCAATGGCAAGACCAATGGCCCCTCCAAGGAATCGGAATTGGACGACAGCGCCAGTAGCGATTGCTAATTGTGACAAGAAAATGTCAGTAAACCGAGTGCAACTCACCACACAAAATGGTCAAGACTTACCAAGGTCTCTGTCCTCGACTACGTATGGTATGGATAGCACTAGGACACCCATTATTATACCCATGCCTGCACCTGCAATAGCTTCATAGACAATATCCGTGGCATGGAAGCCATGTGATGTGGTAATGGTTGAAAGGAGTCCCATGCCGACAGTGTGAACTACACAACCCACGAGCAGCGTATAGACAAACGGAATGCGACCCCTGGAACTGGCGATGTTGACAATACCCGCTGCAAATGCTGCCACAGCTGAGTATGCAATCAAATAGATACCAGAGTCTAACGGTGATTTGCTTAGAAGAATCTGGGCTTGCTGCGGAACGTAGACGATGACTACATTCCATGGTACACCGATAACGAATGAAGAACTAGAGGCAGTCAGTCAAACGCAATTGCTCCACAAGTTTGCTCTAATTCTCACGTCAAAATACCCATCCATGGTCGGTCAAATAGCCATCTTTTGGGGAATATAGGATCTTTGCCTGGAATTCCTGAAATATACCACTCCCAGGCAAAGAAAGCAATCCAGGAAACGCCTGTTAACACGAGGAGCGCAATTGCTCCCCCGGACGACCATGAAAATGCTAGATTCGTCTCGTTCAAGACGGCAACGATCAAGAACGAGCCCGCCATCAGCAGGACTGAGCCCGTGAGATCAAGATTTGCAAATGAGTGATACGACGCTCGCGTTCTAAACGACGGAGTATGCTGATCAAGACCGAAATTTGTGGGCATAGCAATGAAGATGACAATGATTGCAACACCGCATAATGGAGCACTGATAATTGATAAGCGTATGTGTAATAAGTCTCGGGCATTCACGTACTTGATGAGAAAAGTCCATCTCCAGGCTGAGTCTTGCGCAAACGCGCCTCCGATTATTGGGCCTATTAAAGATGCAAGAGCGAGGCAGAATGACATAAGACCGCTATATCCCGGAAGCTTTGTCTTAGGGGATATTTCATAGATGCATAACAGTGCCAGTGCGTATGCACCAGCTCCTCCTATTCCTTGGAGTGCTCGAAGAATTATACTGTACCAAGCTGATTAGCCTCGAAAGATTGCGCGCCAACGAATGTCGGTAAATCTCACAGTTGGTTGATTGTGTGGGCACATCCACATCCAATTGAAAATGCAAGCAGGATGACAAGGGAAGCAATTGTAGTATGCTTTCTGCCAATGATATCACTCACTTTTGTCCATATTGCCATGGACCCTAGACCATTTTGGAATGAGCATGAATGCCAACGTCAAACAAATGTGGGGAGCCATACCTGTATAAGTAGCCAGGTATCCAGTAACGATCCAACTTCTTTTCTCAAAGCCTTTAAGATCATCTGTCATGCTCGTCAGAGACGAGCTTACAATCGTCACGTCCAAATTGGAGAGAAAGAACCCAATCAAGAGCCTACCCCAAAACGTAAGCACTCGTCGCCCACAGCTTTGCTGCACTTAGTTGCGCAAACATACCCTATGGTAGTAAGCACGAGTCTCCATCCTGTCGGGTAAACGATTTCAGTTCCGGGAGAAGGTGCTCTTTGTGTCGACCCCTTTTCTGCACTTTCCCTTCCTCTCAAAGGCCCATTGCCACCTTTCTTCTGGATAGGCTCTGCAAACTTGATATGGCTAGACATGGTTGTCAGGCCGAGAGGTGGAAGCGTGGGTGGTGGAGGGGACAGCCATTGCGACCGAGATTTGGAATGGGACTGTGTAGGACCAAGCCCCGCGTATTTTCATCACAGGGGCTCCAGGTGGAACGTAGATGCGCGATGACAGAATGTGGATTGTCTGGGAGAAGGGGGATCTGCGCCGATCATTGAACCTAAAGCTTGAATCGAATGGCTTGGCGTACATTTGTGTTTCTGGGGACGCGTGAGTTTGGACCTTTTTTGCCATGCATTTTTGTTCGAATTGCTGTCCTGTGGCTGCTTGCTGTCTGATCGTTCTTGCTGCCGAGAGGTGAGTAGATTCGTCCGGTGTAGAGGATTCCAATGTTTGTTTGGCAATTATTTGGCGGTTCTCCTTGCTCGACGCTACCCAGGTAACTACATCATATGTCTATACCCCTGCAGCAATTCCTCGCTGATTTAGGCTGTATGTTTTACTTACATACCTTATCTTTGGCGCCTGCTCCGGGATTGTTCGCGCCGGATGTCCACTTGCCCCTTTCGCAGTCATCTTCCATTTTGGCGTTTTTGCTGCACGTGAGACTAAATTAAGGTCATGAGCCGCTCTATTCGCTTATCCGGGGCTGCGACTAATTTTACGGTTCGGTAGTTATCTTTTTCTACGTCTAGACCCGCGGACAGCGCCCTAGGGGCATCTTAAAGAGACCACGAATGGGCATAATTGGCAGGAACATGATGTCAACCTTGTAGAAAAGCGTTACACAAAACAGTTGGTAGACCTATTCTGGGCGATAGGGCTTGAAATGGAAGTCAAGTCCGCATAGATCTGGATTTTGGGAAGCCCTGTAATTGGGTGCGATGACCCGTGCGCACACCCTCGCATTATGGTCTGTCGCACCATGGAAAACTATGTCGCACAAATACCTTAATGCCTCCTTGGCATAGAATTCAGGAAAAGACAAGCATGATGCCTTTGGCTGCTATTTTGATCTAGATTATATTACAATACAGTTTGAAACACATTTCAGCAGTTTCTTGGTGAGTACATCTGTCAATACATGTATTAATGCTAGTAATTAATACAACATCGGATCAGAGTTTGAATGGCATCACGTGTACAACCCCATCTCTCAACATCGTCTATAAAACAATGGGAAAGAAGCGGAGGAATTTCAAAGAACTGCCAATTGAGCCCCATGGCATCATCTGGGAAGATGACTTTGTCGACGCCGAACACGAACAACGTCTCATCTCCATCTTCCTCAACGAGCTGAAATGGCCCGATCGCTCTGGCCGTATCTCCCTCCACTACGGCTACACTTTTGACTACAAAACATTTGGAATAGACCCTGAGATTCCTTACAAAGAGTTCCCTGAATGGCTTCAGCCACTTATCCCAACTACCGAGGATAGACCACCAGACCAGGTCTGTCTACAATACTATCCACCAGGTGCTGGCATCCCTCCGCATGTAGATGCACACAAGCCGTATGATCAGCTCTACGCACTATCTCTGGGTGCACCCGCTATGATGTTGTTCCGCAGGGGCGAGCAGCGGCTCGAGGTGGATTTGACCCCGCGCAGCATGATGCAGATGAGCGGGGACTCCAGGCTGCATTGGACGCATGGCATTAAAAAGAGAAAGACAGACACCCTTCCAGATGGAACGGTTAGGTCGCGTGAAAATCGGTGGAGTATTACCTATCGGTGGCTCAGAGATGGAGAATGTGAATGCGGGGACCTTGAGCTATGCGATACTGCTCAACGACGGAATGGCGTTGAGAAGGAGAAGAGATCAGTGAAGGAGTTGGCTGAGAGAGCTGCTGCTGAAAACATGAATATTGAGCAGTCAGCAACAACAGTTGCTTGACCTGGTTCGCCGGGCTGTTGGTCTTAGAGGTTCCCAGGTTTCAACAATCCTTTTGTGTGTATATAATATCAAAGCGAAACATACCCATGCCTTGGAGACTGTCTTGTTGAAATCCCAGCGTACAAACTCGGTCAAGGGCAAGAAGAATTCTTTTCGTACTTCTCTGGTTTCCCACCTTGACGGCTTAATTTAACGCTATGGGAAAGTACTGTATATCCTTCAATTAATACCTTTGTCTAGTTTTTGATGAATCTGACGAAATTGCTTGGGATAATTACTTCTTTGGTATTCCATAGGAAGCACATCTTAAAATATACATAGCTTTAGGTAAAAATAAATCTGCGGCAACTCTTTCCTTGACTTGTGGATGCGGGGACCAAATCGGGACTAGCGTTAGGAAACAAAACCCGGGGAAAACAACTTTGATCCTGGAGCTCTCAACTCTTCGCATACAACATGGCTACAGAACAAGAGATCTGTGATCAAATTACGCAGCAGCTCTCGCAAACTCCCTTTGCATGCACTTCGCTCACGCGCTTATCTGGCGGAACGGCCAATTTCGTGTACCGAGGCACTGTCTCGCCTACCGAGTCCATCATTATTAAGCACACCAGAGATCATTTGGCTTCGAATCCAGATTTCAAGATTGTTGTTGACCGATGCGTGGGTTATTACCGAAACTGTTTATGATATGAATGGAATTCATCAATCTTGAGATAGTACTTTGAAGAAGCCATCCTGCAGGCCCTTCATGACCTGCCACCCTACTCCAAAGTTAACGTCACTGTCAAAACGCCCCGGCTGTTCAGCTTTGATAAAGAGACCAATACGCAGATTCTCGAGGATCTTCCCAACTCGGTCGATCTGAAGAACTTCCTCAATTCTGGCATTTCTGATAACACCACAGATTCCACGGCACGAACACTAGGTTGTGCGATAGGATCATGGCTTCAATCATTTCACTCTTGGGGAAATGAGAGTGCCCAGCTGGAGACCAAGTCAACAGTCGCTGGAAATACAGCCATGAGAGACTTGAAGTTCTACATCAACTACACTATGCTCATTGACACTATTCCCAATTTCCCAGAGATCTTGGAACAGAGTCGTGAGATCTTTGGGAAAGTTCATGATATGGCGGCTGATGAGTTGAAAAAGGTGGATGACAGTGATGACTATGGCATCATTCATGGCGATTTCTGGACTGGAAAGTACGTTCAGGCAAATATTGCCTCTTTTTCCGGCTTGATTCGGTATACTTACTAACACTTATACCTAGTATCCTCCTGCCCAAAATCCCTCTCACTGAACAAATCAACACGAAAGTCTTCGTCGTTGATTGGGAGTCAGTGCACGTCGGAAGACGAGCCTTGGATCTGGCACAGATGATTGCCGAGCTCTATGAAACTAAGCTCTTCAAGAATGTCGATGCAGGTGTGTGGGTTATCGAAGGGTTCCTGGATGGATATGGCTCTCTCAGTGATGATACGGCATTCCGGACTGCCATCCACGTCGGTGTGCATCTTGTCTGTTGGGGCAGCAGGGTTCCAGGATGGGGTACTCCGGAGCAGGTTGAAGAGGTGGTCAAGGTTGGAAGGAACTTGATTGTTCATGGATGGAAGAAAGACCGGGCTTGGTTCGAGGGCGGGAGCTTGGGCTGTTTGTTCAAATGATCAAATATACTGAAGAAGAAGAGAGAGAAAAGGTATTGGCAGTACAAATTGAATTTCTAGCAGAACACGGATATTGCAAGATTATCTATCTCAATACAAGAGGTTCTTACCCGAGAATATCGTTATAGATTGGCTTCAATCGTTCCACCGAAGTCTCAAACAAACGCGGCAACCCAGTTTCTTTGAAGGACACCGAATCCTTTGCCATGCGTGCAACAGCCTTACCGGAAAGATACGCAACAGGCATACCATGACCATTGAAACCCGCCGCAATGAATTGTCCAGGTTTACCAGGGACATGACCAATATGCGGTAAAGAATCCGCGCTATATCCCATGACTGTAGAGCAATTAGCACATGCCAAATAAATCAGTAAATATTCAAGAAAGTTTTGATACATACCACCACTCCAAATATGCTTAACTTCCGCCCCACTATCCTCCCACCCAAAGAAAGTCCGCTGCATATACCCATCAAAGTAATGCTCCATATTACGGACTAAAGCCCCATCATCAGGGTTGTTATGCCACTCCTTCAAATCACCTTTAAAGGTATGCGACGCCCCACCAACAATGAGAGACCCATCATTTCGAGAGATCTGGTAGATGAATGCCCCAGGCCCGAGTCGGATGGCATATGTACAGGGTAGTTCCTGACGTGGTGCACCGGGTGCAGCGGCAATTTGAGTACAGATTCCTTTGCAGGGTACAATTGCCTCAGAGTATTCTGGTGCTAGAGCGCTAGTAAAGGCGTTTGTTGCGAGTAAAATCTTCCTGGTGTTTATTGTGCCTCGATTTGTGCTGACTGTCCATGAGCCATCTTCGTTTTGGGCTTGGCTGATTTTAGACACTGGTGTGTTTGTTTGCAAGTTCAGACCTTTTGAAAGAGCAATGCGGATTAAACCTGCTATGAGTTTGTAGGGCCAGAGGTGGCCTGCTGAAAAACTGAAGCCACCTTTAGCATCGCGCACATAGGCTTCCTGTTTGTATAACCATCAGACAATTGGCTTTAGTATCATGTAACGTGATAGCTTGAACTTACATCTTGAGCCTCCTTCTCGGAAAGATACTTAACATCATCCATAAAGTCCAATCCCCGCTCAAGTAAGAAATCATTAAAAGCCTTGGCTTTCTTCAGCTGGTCCTCATCAAGGTACATATCGAGACTTTTTGTAAAAGTAAGCTCACAATCGATATTCTCGTTGCGAACCAAATCTTCAATCTCTTTCATGTGCGCAAGCTCGAAGCGCACGATCTCAGCTGCAGCTTCGAGACCATAACGCTCTGTATATGTTGCAGTTGCAGAGTATATGTCTGCTCGTAGGTGACCTCCTATGCTCGATACTGTCAGTGATCGAGTATGCATGGTGGGCGAGGGCTACGCACCATTCCGCCCGGTGGCGCCGGAGCACAGTTCGCGCGCTTCCAGGAGGACTACCCGTGGATCTGGCTTTTTGTTGTCTGATAGAAGATGATAGGCAGCTGATGCGCCAACATAGCCTCCTCCGATAATTAGGATGTCGGTCTCCACTGGCAGTTCTGGGGTACTTTGGTGGTTATCCAGGGGATCTGGTTGAGTCCGCCAGAATGACTGGGTGTACCCCGCCGCAGGTCCTGGAAAACATATTGTTGGCTGCGATTGTGATGCCATTTCGGTGATGTAACTTTTTGGTATGCTGCGCTCTGGATAAATGCAAACTGGGATGTTAAGAGGGGGGGGACGTTGGAAAGGCTTTTTACCGAAGATTATCCTATCAGGCAACAAACACTGCGGGGTGGGGGTCAGCATTAACAGTTATCCTTGTTCATTGGGCTAGTTATATTCTTCGTAACATTGAAATTTACACATCTAGTCTTGGATTCGCTCAAATCCCGAGATCTCAGCCGCAGGATTCCGCTGCTGGGCTTCGAATGCTTCGAGAACGGTCGGGCAATTTGACCAGGCCTTGGGTGATTGGATTGCCAGGTATTGACCTTCTTTCAGACGCGCTTTGCCTATCAATTTCCGAGTCTTGCCGTGCATAACCGTGTGTATACTCTTGACCAATCCCTGTCCTGGGTAGGCTACTAGTCCCAACGCCGCTGCAAGTTCGTTAGTATCAATCCTGTAGCAAGGTCGCAAGGCAACAGTGAATATCATACCTGAAGATGCCTTCGTGCCCATGCTAAGAGGCCCTTTCACGAATCCCTTGACCATCCCTCTAAATCCGTCCTCTTGGGCCCCTTTGTAGGGCTGCTTGAGGATTTCGCTGACCCCTGCCATTCCATCATTGAAGTTCTCTCTCGCGGCAGCGGCTCCAGACTTAAAGTCTGTGATGTTATCGTAGCTCTTGACTTCCTCGCCATACATCCGGGGCACTGCTCTCAGGCCCTCGTTGACTGCCATGGGTATATCGACTAGCACGCCCTTGTAATAATAGCCGATGATCTTGCCCACGCTTTTGGCGGAACTTCCTACTGCCGTACCGGTTACCTTCCATTGCGCGTCCCGTTTTTCGTTGGTGGATGCTCGGGAGAGTACACCTGAGGACGCATCGCTGGACGTCCTATTGGTAGGCTCGATAACTCGAAGCTCTCCCTCGCCTGACTGGGCGCGTTTAAATTCTTTGTATGGTTGTATCACTACATCACTCGATGCTGTGAGCACATCCTTGTACATGCCAAGCAAGGATGATGCGCCGCCAGTGATGGGATCCCATCGTCGTGTTTGGATAAATATGGGGCGGCTTTCATGTCTGGTTCGTTAATGAGTTAGTTCAAACAGTCACACTAAAACAATAAAGAACTTGTTATAAGAAACTCACAACGTCAGATCCCTTGGGTCAATGCGCGTGTTTTCAACCAATATCCCCGCAGCCATCTTAGACAGAAAAACAGAAACCTTGGAATTCTGCAGTTTCAATTTCCATGCAGCCGGTTCAGATCCAAAGAAGCGACATTGCATCTTGTCAATAGGCAGGTTTCGATGGAAAGATGCAACTGCTGCAGACACTCCAGATTCCTCGCTCATCCGAATGGCGAGTTCTTCGGCAGCACTGAGTGTGCTAGGTTCGAGACAGAAGCAAATGGCCTCTGCTAGGTTATCTGCGGTCAATTCACGGTGTGGAATGGGCTTGGGTCCAATGCCGCAGGATGCGACCATATTTCCCCAGAACAATTGACTACAGCATATTAGCGGATTATTTGAACATGTTGTCTTGGGAGACTAACTCTCCAAAGAACGGCACGATGGTGGTCGGCTTTCCAAAGCGTAGGCCACATGCCGTCGTACCTGCTCCACCGTGATGTACCACTGCGGTGACATGCTGGAATAGCCATTCATGTGGACAGTCTCCAAGATAGAATATTTGATCATCTGACTGAGCATCTCCAAGATTACTCCAACCTCGAGAAATGAGAGCACGACCACCCCAGGACTTGATAGCTTTGACAAGTGTTGCTGTCATTGCAGGAGGGTCTTCGATCACAATGCTGCCAAATCCGATGTAGATTGGCGGGGGCCCATTTTGAAGGAATGAATGTAGATCAGAGGGTGGTGAGAAGTCGGGAGGAGATCGGAAGAAGAATCCGCATACATCTAGATGCGCCGGCCAGTCTGCTGGTTTTGGCATTAATGTCGGTGACCAGCAGTAAGTGAAAGGTATCTTCAAAGTCTCCGCAAGACGGGGACCTTCCGTGACTGGTACAGGTTCGAGGTCAATAGAAATTCTCCATTCATTGATAACATCGCCAAGGCTACATATTGTGGTCAGTATGTGAGAATGATAAGGGGTTAGGAGATATTACCCTTGCCATGTCAACCATTCGACGATGCCATAGGACAAATAATTGGCCATTTTCGGCTCTGTGGTTGAGTACTTTAAATTAGCCAAAGGATGCGGAAATGACCGCGTGCTAGTCCACGGCATAGTAAACATCAAGTGCAGAGGAATCCCTAACGCTTGAGCACAATGAATATGAGCAAAGCTAGGCGGATTCGCGATGATCGCATCGGCCACGAACGGTGTTTGGGTCGCCGGATCATCCTCTATACAGGACTGCCAGCATCCCTGGAGCATTTCAGCTACCATCACCCGCTTGCGCTGGATATCGCCAGCACGCAAGGAGTTCATTTGAGGGATCAATCCCGGGTTCTTGACCATGTATGCCATCAGCTCAGAGGGATCTCCGCCGATAGGATAGAACTCCAAGTCTGAATCTCGTACAAACTTCTCAAAGATGTTGTGCGTGGCTATTCGTACACGATGGCCATGGTGTTGGAGCTCGTTGCCTAGTGCGATGAAAGGCTGCACGTCACCTCGGCTTCCAACAACTTGGATGACGATGTTGAGATGCAGACTGCAACCATCAGAGCTAACTAGCTCTTGTAGTTGTTCCACGTCTTGCTCGGACACCAAAAATGGAATCAACTTTGATATCTCCCGGCCGACTTTGGAGTCCAGGTCAATCTCAATGCGACCATCGTCTTCACTCAGTTAGCACATTATCAGAAACAACCCATCGGGGCTTCACCTTGGACGTCGGTCCCATCTTGCATCCACTCATTCTCCTTCGATGTCGCGCTTTGGGGTTGTTGTTCCGCCATGAGTGTTTTGGGATCGAGCTTGGCCCTGTGACATCACATGTGGGGGGAAATAGAGATATGCGGAATCAAAACTCAAACCGTGTGTTGATCGCCAATGCAAGGGTATATCTTTAAGCAAAGTGAGTTCTACCTTGGCTCTACTGTTGACAATCAGTGTAGAGGTGACTAGAACAACAATCCCCATTGATACTCCCAAGCCGTGGGACAAGTGGATCTCGAGCCCAGCCTTTGGTCATGTGACCCTATTTCTGGCCAATCATTGCTGTTGAATGGCAGGAACTATGACGACATACTCAGGGACGGATACCTGAGGCAGAAATGACATGTCGAATCCCCGTGAAATCCTATACCGTAGCACCCAATTAGAGATGTCGAAGACTCTGCATTGTATTACCCCTATTACGGAGCTATTTTATGTCTAGTCTAATTACTAATCCATCGGCATGGATCATAATATCTCCGGTTTTCATGCAGTATTCGTACGATATTGTTGATATGACACATACACAGGGTTTCAAGGCCACCAAACTTGAATGATACAGCAGTCTGTGTTTGATGTTGGTTCTTTCTAGGCAACAGGGCAAGATTGACCCCTCTCCCAGCATAGGGCTCGATACCAAAGGCGTAAGGCAACAAGCCTTCATACAAATATCTAAGTAATCACATCAAAATGTCTGAGCAGTGCCTGAGCCCCCTCATTTTAAAGCGCAGCAGCTTTGCTCGCTCATAACAACCCTCTGAGTAAATTCAAGATACCGCTCAGCTTCTTCGCTCACGGCATCAAGTTCTTCACACAAGGAGTCCGAGGTAACGGCCAACGTGCTATGATCGAAGTTTACGAGGTAATACCCTCCATTTCGTTCATCCAGGTAGCCGAGTGGGTACTCCCCTGCCATATTGTTCAGTTCTTGGCGGGTATCGATGACCTTCATTGATTTGGGGATTGGTGCAGTATACCGGGTGGTCGAAATTGCCAATGTGTTTGCAGCAGTTGCGACAAAGAGGGATAAGCGTGAAACTGCGATGCCGCAGAGCATTATAGCCACTAGAACCATTTGTGGATGATGTCAATAGTCTGGGTCGCTCTACGTGGGGTAGATACACTAGTAACACATACCAGTCGAGCGTTCGCTCTCGTGCACTTGATGAAGTTGAGGCCGAAGTTGATGCCAAAGTTAAGATGGGGGTGATCTTTTTCAGCCCCTGACGACGTCTTAGCGGTGCAAAGGTACCTTATAATGAGTACTTTTGGGGGCCAAAATTTTGCGGAACCCAACAAGGAATGTTAAACCCTGATAGCTTACTGAAACGCATTGATGCAGAGAAAGCGTGGTGTGGAATTTGAGAGCCTATAGTATACGTGAGGCTTACCAATTTGTCTAGACTTAAGGTGTCTTAGGCACTCCATTCAGTCTGAGAGCTCTTAATCTGAGTAAAATCGGTTCACATGTCTTATGAGATCTAAAATCAGGATCTGATGAGACTTGTGCAGAGAGAAGTGATTAATCTCGTGAATGCTAGATGTCATTTATGACTCCATAGCCATTTAGGCAGACTGTAGTTGAATTGTAGCTACCCCTGATAGAAATCATGCGCGAGATAATCTGTACGCAAAGTCAAGCCCTTCGTTGTTTCGATCTCAATCTTTTGTTTACATTTCTTTGCCTTGAATTTGACTCAGCTTAGCTTGTGGGCTTGCAATAGTACTGACGGAATCCCTATACTTGCTTTTAATATAGCAAAAAAAAAAACAAAAAACAAAAAGGTTACATGCATTAATAGAGATGATAATTGATGCATTAACTGCAATTGATGAATGAAAAGAAGTCGTGAAATAGAAGCATAAACAATTGAACGGCAATACTCGCGGTGTGAAGTAGTTAGCGCCATTGTATCCGGTAGAAATGGGCAAAATCGATGCCAACTTCACTTCACCAAAACATTTGAAGATGTCACGCTAGTCTCCATTTGTCTACTTGCCTTTTTTTAGAATAATTTGAGAAGTGAACTGAACAGTTGATTTCATCCAGTCCGACGCGTCCCGAAACGCGTCCTTGATCACACCCGCCACTCCTTGCCACGCCCTACTTTAGAGCAACGCATGCATCTGGTTTGCAATTGTCGCATACACTTTGGACGAAAGCCTTGATATTTTCTTCCATCTTCACATTGATCGCTTTCATGGCTGACACCACTGTATTTGTCTGCCCTGGGTGCGACAGGAATGACTTCAAAAGTCTCAGAGCTGTGAAGACCCATTTTGAGTTGAAGAAACACAAGCTTTTTTGTGATCCGTGCCAAAAGGGATTCACAAATGTATGGAACTTGCTTCAGCATACTCAGAAGCATCAAAAGCCTGATCAAAAAGAGAAGATTCCTTCTGGGTCCTCTCCCCTTCCACCTCCTGCGACACAGGGCCGAAAGCGGGCTCCCAAGCCTAAGTCAAACCCTAAGCCCCTGGTTGTCCAACCTGTCGTTGAAGTGCTCCCATTTCCCTCGCATCCATGGTCGCCTGCAGCCCCGAGGAGCCCAGTGGAACCCACAGAGATGGAGAGTCTAGATCTCCAGATTGAAGCACTCAATTTGCAGCCTCTCGTTATCACAAGGACAAATCGTCATGCCGTTCTTGGGCTGCCAGAACAATCATTGTATCTGCGATACCTCTTGTTGCAATGTCACAACAACATCCGCCTTCGGGCACAAGGTTTCATCGTGGAAACAATCACAGACGATACCAGAAGGCGCCCTTCGATCCCAAAATCGCTCTTCCTTAATACGCCTGCGGCTGTTTCAAGCGAAGCTCCAAGGAAAAGCGCCGTTGTCCTCGACTGTGAGATGGTGCAAGTGGCCGATGGACTTCGGGAAGTGGCATACATTACTGCCATCGACTTTCTCACCGGTGATGTGCTCTTGGACCATTATGTGCAGCCAGACAAGAAGGTTGTCAGTTGGGATACTCGATACAGCGGTGTGACATGCGATGCGATGAAGAAGGCTGTCCGAAAAGGCCAAGCAATAATGGGCTGGCGTCGCGCGCGCCAGCATCTATGGAAATTCGTAGGTCCCGAAACAGTGCTGATCGGTCATTCACTCAACAACGACCTTGACGTGCTGGGCATTGTGCACCCCAAAATCGTCGACTCCTCCATCCTCACCAGCGAGGCTGTTTTCAACGAGTTACTCCCGGGCCAGGCCCTATTGCGCACATGGAGCCTCAAAACCCTCACCCAGGAGCTGGCTGGTTACGAGATCCAGACAGCAGGCAAAAAAGGTCACAGTGCCTATGAGGATACCATGGCCACACGGGATATCTTGATTTGGTGCATCAGAAATCAGAAATTGTGGGCGATATGGTCGGCAGAAAGGCGTGATGCCGAGAAGATTCGTGCTTTGGAACATGAGCTCGCCAAAATCCAGGCAAAGCTGGAGCAAGTAAAAATAAACAAGGAAAAATCAGATAAAGAGAGGGAGGAGGAGAAGCTGGAAATTATGAAACTTGCAGCTGGGCTTTCATGATTCTGGGCATTATGATTCTACGTTTTGCTGAACTACAGGTAGGAAAGTGACTTTGAACTCTACGAATATCGCATGAATGCATGTTTTTCGGCTTCATTACTTTGGAAAACTTCCTTTGCCTCTGTATGGACTGAACCAAACTAGATTATGATATCACGTCCCAGAAACATCATACTACGTGCATCTGACTCTTTGTGTGTCGTCTATCGATTATGGGCATGTTTATTTCTACCGAGGTTACGATGAGCCTTACTGGCCGATGGAAGACCGACTCTTGGGTCAGTACCTTTCTCCATTGCTACGATGGAATGAGGTATACAACACGCATGAGGGGTTTGAGGGATGGGTTGACTGGGACTGGGGTGTCTGATTCGAAGAAGAGTTTGCGTGTAGATCACCCAGCACCACCCCAGAGATGCGAAGATTTTGAAATATATATCAGATGAAGAAGGTTCTGTTTGTAGAATACTAGTAAATGAGGAATAAGCATAAAAGTCAACACTACACATTTGATTCTGTTTCGATGTAGATATGCCTGGCTGTCGGCCTGAGGCAGCACCGCGGGTATCAATGTCTTGCGGGGTTGGCGACTTTCAGTATTTTCCCATATCAATGGAGAGTTCTTCTACAAAGTTACGCTCACGGGGGGGCTGTGAGCGCTGCAGACGTCGACGGCAAAAGTGCGATGAGGCACGACCAGAGTGTGGGCGATGCCGTGGGGCAGGGGAGAGCTGTGTTTACCGCGTCAATCTCAAATGGGGGGGAGGACGAGACTTCGGTCAATCTCGCTTTGGCAATTGTCCAGTGCAGATGATCAGTATGCCAAGTTCCCTCACTGAATCATGTTTTCTGCTCTAACCAAGTCCTGCAGATGGAGCTTTCGTGCATTCAGCCGAGGTGGTGGCAACATCTGTAAGCGTGGTATCGCAGACTTCAGACCAGCCACGTCCTCAGCTTGCCTTGACTCAGTCCCTCTCTGGGCTTCCAGCTGGTCTTAATGCCGAATTACAGCAGCTTTGGCATTACTTTGTCACGACAGCATCCGGGACGATGTCCTGCCACAAGCAGATGCAGAATGAGACATGTCATGTTCTTCTCCCTATGGCATTTGCATACCCTGCACTCCGTCATGCAATCTTTGCTTTCTCATCTGCTCATAGAGCAAGCCAGACAGACTCGGGGATCTCACGCAATAGCTTGAAATTACACGCAGCAAGCCTAAAAACCAAAAGCATTGGTCAGCTTCGTCAAGAGATTGCTTCAGGACATGACCGGCCGGAGACTATCTTTGCAACTTGTTTGATCTTATGCTTGGGTACTCTATGCCATGAAAATGAAGAATACAATTCCTGGCGGACACATCTTCAAGGAGCAAGAGCTATCATGTCTGCTATGAGTGCTGCGCAGTCTGACTCGACCAGCTCAGATTCATCAATCTCTTTCCTACGAAGGCGGTATTCATTACTTGAAATGGTTGCGAGCTTGACTCTCGACGGCTTTCCGGCTGAGGATCTTAATTATGGCTCTTCTGAAACTTCATCGCAGCCGACACGGGTCTTCTTTGATGATTATGCCGGTTGTTACCCTGAAATCTTTGAAATATTCCACCAAATACGCGCTGTTGCATGGGAACGAGGACAGAGAGAGCGCAATTCTCATGACTTCGTCTCGCTTTCTGATTCAGACTTTTACTCTGAACCGGCCAATCTTGAGAGCCGGATTTTGGCAATGATTGAACGAGATGAAAGTACCCGACCATGCTTCTCCCCAAGTCTCCAGGGGACATTGGACGAAAAGCAAACCCTCGAATTTGCTTATTGCAACTTGTTACTCGAATACACTGCACTGATTCACATCCGCACGCAGATAATGAGCCTTGATCCTGAGGCTATGGAAGTACAGCAGCCAGTGAAAATGATCATCCATCTTATCCAACAGCTTGAGCCTCCGTCGGGCCTTTCGCCTGTCCTGGGGGTGAACACCGCTCTATTCATCGCCGGGCGCTATGCATTTGGGGCAGATCGTATGACTGTTCAATCCTTGCTTGTACGGTTTCATCGGAAAATGTACAACTACAATATGGTCAATGCGATGGATATTTTGGACTTGATATGGCGACAGGTGGATTCGGGCCAGAAGAACATTGGTACGTCATGCAAAATATAAAGTAGTAACGAAGGCTAATTTGTTCAAGGTTTGCAAGGACATGATTTCATGGCCTGGTGAATGAAGACGCATTCTTCTTGGTGCTTTAGGCACCATCGCACGAACTCTTTGCTTCTCCTAATTACTATACCCTTCTTGGGATCATTCTCAGCACCACTGCAGACATTTGCCGAAATTGAACTAGAGGGGACACTGGTACAATATAGGCAAATGCCCGAGTGGGGACGCAAATAACTGCTCAGCCATCCCCGGGACACAGCGGGATCCGTTCAGGGGTATGCATGATCAGGGTTCTGCAATTAATCTCGCGCACCTTGAATCACACGGGTCGTCCTTAATCTCTGATTCGAGAACGATGAAGTCGAATACCAGTTCCCCGATCGGGTTTCGGCCCCCACAGCCCTGAGTGCTCGTCTTGCCCCACGATGTCGATCACCTACAGCTGTCTGACATCTAACCAAAATGGGGAAGTGCGAAACGGGCAAGTGAGTGCGAGTCTAGTACTACCGTGTTTCGAAGCTATCGCCATGGGTATTTATTGCAGGCTTTGTCTGGCTTTTGAATTGCATACAATCCCTTCCTTTCCTTTACATACGCTCTTTTGGTACATATTACAATTTTGTGAAAACTGTTTATTTTTTTATTTGATCATGCGTGATCTTCTTTGGTGGACTGCTGTGGCAAGTGGGCTCTCCACTGCCTCGGCAGTTGCTATTCCCTCATCTTCTGACAGGTACGTCCTACACCCAAGCAACCAACGACTGCGCTGACAGGTCTATACAGAGAAATCCGCGCGAGAGATACCTGCAGCGGGCCCGCCGCCTCCTCTCCTACGACCTACTGGCTTCTAGAACAGGATCACACAGGCAATCCCCGAGGATATGCTCCTGAAGTTTCCAACGCCAACTACCCCGTGTGGCGCAATGTGAAAGACTATTCCGCCTCTGCCGATGGATCTGGCGATCAAACAAGCAGCATTCAGAATGCGATCAACGACGATGGATCGAATGGCAGCCGCGAGGGTCAGGGAGTCACTAGATATGCCGCGGAAGTCTTCCTCCCCGGTGGAACATACCAGCTTGGAAGCACTTTGAACTTGCGTGTCGGGACCATTATCACGGGTGATCCATTGAACCCACCAGTGCTCAAGGCGGCACCCAATTTCAACGGGGATACGTTAATCAATGGCTTTGACGGCAGTAACGGCCAGCCAGAGACAAGTTTCATGACCCTTCTGCGTAATGTGGTCATTGATACCACCGCACTCAGCGCTAGTACCAAGATCACTGCTCTGCAATGGGGTGTGGCTCAGGGATCTGGCTTGACCAACGTCAAGATCAAGATGCCTACCAGCTCAACCGGACACACTGGTATCAACATCAACGCTGGGTCGACGATCGCCATTACAGATGTCGACATTACCGGTGGTGCCGTCGGCATCAAGAATTCCAACCAGCAGGTCAACTTCAAGAACATCTACTTCAGGCAATGTACGACAGCCTTCCTGGCTTCCGGCGGACATACCGCTCTTCTCCAAGGCGCGACATTCGATACTGTCGGCTATGGTATTGACATGACTAGCAACGGACTCGGAAGCATGGTCCTGCTGGATTCCACTTCAACCAACTCAGGCACCGTGGTGAAATTCCATGACTCCTCCAATGATGGCGGCGGTCGGAACAGCCAGATCATTATTCAGAACCTCGTCCACGATAACACCAACGCTATCGCAGTCGACAGCAATAACAACGTGAAGCTTGCCGCTACCAACAAGGTCGATACGTGGGTCTGGGGTAACATTACTCCCGGTCAGTACGTGTCAGGCAAGAGCCTCACAACCTCCAGGCCTGACGTTCTCTTGTCCAACGACAAATACTTCACTCGCGCCCAGCCCACCTACGCCGAATATACCTCTGACCAAGTTGTGAACGTTAAAGACGTAAGCGGCCACACAGTCTACGGCGACGGCAGAACAAACGACGTGGAATCTCTCAATGCCATCCTAGCAGACAACGCAGCCAACTGCAAGATCACATACTTCCCATACGGAGTCTACACAATCAAAGACACATTGAAGATCCCCGTAGGCTCACGCATCATGGGTGAAGCCTGGGCCGTGATTTCCGGAACAGGCGATGCATTCAAGGACGCCTCGAACCCGAAGCCAGTAGTCCAGGTCGGACAGACCAACGACGTAGGCGTTATCGAAATCCAGGATATGCGCTTCAGCGTCGGTGAGATCCTCCCCGGCGCGATCATCCTCGAGGTCAACGCCGCCGGTACAAACCCCGGCGATGTAGCCTTGTGGAATACGATCGTGACCGTGGGCGGCACCGCTGAGACGAGTATCAAGGATAACTGCGACAACCAAGACACGTCGCAGTGCATGGCGGCTTTCATGATGATGCATCTTACCAAGTCATCGTCTGCCTATATCGAGAACTTCTGGGGCTGGACCGCAGACCACAATCTAGACGGTGGGTCATCGAAAACAATCATCTCCACTGGCCGTGGTATCCTCGTCGACGCAGTCAAGGGCACTTGGCTTACCGGAACGGGATCCGAACATAACTGGCTATACAACTACAACTTCAACTCAGCACAGAATGTCTACGCCGGCATGCTCCAAAGCGAAAGTCCCTACATGCAAGGGTCAGGAGCAACACAAACAGCGCCGGCACCGTGGACAGCCGAGTCTTCGTACGGTGATCCCGATTTCTCATGGTGCGCTGCGAACGATCAGAAGTGTCGAACGTCGCTTGCGACTAATGTCGACGGTGGCAAGGATATCTTGCTCTATAACAGTGCCGCGTGGGCTTTCTTTAATGGAGAGTGGAATGGTGATTACGGAACTCAGTGTTCTGGATCGTGTCAGACGAATATGATGCGTGTTACTGGTTCTCCGGAGAATTTGGTTTGGTATTCTGTTAACACGCGCAAGGCAGATGTTATGATCCTTGATGGGGAGAGCAACCCTACGGAGTATAATCATCCTGGGGGGTGGGAGGCTATTATTCAGGGGTATAGGCAGTTTTCTTCTTAGATATGGGAAGTTGCGCTGTGGGGCGACGATGCTTTGTGTAAATTGTCCTAGATATAGGATTAGATGTCGATATTCAAGTCTGCCGCAGTTTAGATCAATTTTGTTTGATATTGAGTCGGGTCTTTCGGTATCACTTCCTGCATTACGTCTACCTGTATGACTCGGGCTGCACGAGAAACGTGAGAAGAGCTCTGGTCCCGGATGTGCGCCTGGGTCATAAAGGAGTTTAGCCATATTGATTGCAAATATGGTGTTTTTGGTTTATGACAGAAGATTTATTCAAAAATTTCGATATCTTAAGCCTCTTCAGACCTCGAGCATTCTACCTTACAATACAGACCTCTTGGCTAATCGGAATTGTAGCTCCACAATCAAATGTCTCAAAGATCCATGTCTAGGTAGCGCCATACATCCCTGTCATTCTGCAACCATCAGCCCACAAAAAGCAAAGCTAGGAACGATTTGAAAAGCATATCCTATGATTGGACACTTTTTCCACTAATGACTGTACAGCTAACTACGATATACAGCATCAAAAGTCCAAACAGCAAACCGGGTATCAAATTCGCACTTGAGAGCAGTACATTCATACAATCTCCTCTCGCAGACTAGTTTCATACATACAAGTACAGTTCCAGGATAAGATTACCGATTCCCCGCCAGTTGAAATGCTTAAATCTTGTCTGGCTAGGAACCGGAAACCCTACCTTGATGATCTGCAAGACAGAAGATAAGAGGATGCATTCGAAAAATTCGAGGGGTGATCGTGCGCCCATCCAGACGCCCGTGTTAAAAAAGCCAATCCCAAACGCCGTGGCATCAACGATGCAAAATGTATAATCATGGTCGTCAGGGACGGAAGTAATATCGGCATGAGAAGGGGAAAAAGATAATGTGAATGAGGTCGTTCCACGTACTGCCGGCGCTATGTACATGTACCACGATGAGGGTATCATGCGGTCCGGGGTGATGTTTCAGGGTAGAAGGTGAGACGCATCTGTGTCTCTGGTCGGCCTGCCATGTCCTGGCGAGGTCGGAGGTCATTATTATTTGCGAGCTTTGCAAAGCCATGTCCGCCACCATTTGCAGACTCCGAGGACGGCAGCACGGCCGTCGTCTTTACGTTCCGTCCCGTCTGGATTTCCGAGGATCATGGCAAATACCCAGAAGAATGCGGCTGTCCATGCAAATAGAAGGATTACTATGCCGAAGAACGGCGATAGGAAAAGGATGGCGATTGATGTACCGACGGCGTACACCTCGCTGGATTCGGATAGGACTGATGGCTGGTCGGAGTCTGGCTCGGACTGGATCCATTGTGTTGAGGGCGATCGATTTGCTGCAGATGGTGGCTGCATACATACAAGCCGTTCGTGGATGTGGAGGGCGGGAGAGAGTAAGTCACATAGTTGTGAGCTGAATGTGCTTGAACGGAGGTATGGTGAGAATGAGCAGAGACGGAAAGGTGAGACAAGGAGGGCGAAAAATAGTGCGAAGATTGTGTATAGGGCACCTCCGAAGGCGTATAAAGGGACGATGGTGAGTCGGAACTGTTTATGGTATCAGTATATGATCATAGATCACTATGATTCAGCACTTACCAGCATCAAGAGGGCATCTTGGCCTTCGTTGGTGATTATTTCGTCATCTGGAATGGCTCGCTTGCGGGTACGAGTTATGCTGGGGTTGGAATGTTCACCCGACATCAATGATGGTTGGTCTGCCCAGCTACCCCGGGTCCGTTCCTCTTTGGGGGCACCACTCGATATCGAACCTCGGGCAGGGAGGGAGTCTACTTCCCGAGGATCTGATCCCGGCCAAGCTGATCCTCCTAGGGCTTGTGTTTGATATCCACGGTATTTCCGTGAGCCAGATGTGCGGGGACTGGCGTCGAGGCTTGATAAGGGAGAGGAAGGACGGGACCCGCCGATAGGGTTACCGAGCACCGAGGATTGTTCTTGGGATCGACGAGCGGCCGCGGGAGGAGTGACGATCGAGCAGCGAGGTTGTTGTGGTCCGAGAGGTCCCGGATCCTGATAGTAGGCGGGACTATGGGACATCTCCGGCAGCCCCATGATGAACCGGAGAAAAAGCGCGAGACAGGAGAAGACAAGTAAAGTATGAGGCGCACGGATGGCGACTATTGAAAGGAGAAATCACCGCATGTTTTCCTGGCCAAGGTGCGTAATCTTTCTGGCATAGGTGGTGGGCGCACTCCGTGAAGTCGGACAGGGGGAGGAGGGAGGAAGGGCGGAAGGGGCGACTTATAAGAGACTGCGGAGGATCTCATGAGACCAGAGCGGAAAAGGCCAGGAAAGGCCAGGCCAGAGAGCGGAAGGAGCATTTCCATTTGTTTGCAGTCCTCTCGCCAAGGCGCCCAGATGCCGAGCCCTTGGCATGAAGTCGAGCCTTGTATAGGGTACCCAAGCCATTTGGGCATCCTGTTGATCATTGCCCTTCAGCAGAGCTCCAAGGCCGAGTCCTCGACATTTTGGTGTCTGACAAGGGAAGTTGTCCTACAGTAAGACATGGCTAGAGCTGAACAGTTCGATGTCTGCTGTCGATTACCAGAGGTTACCGAGTGCCAAGCCGCCAAGCTGCCGCCGGGGATGATGAGTCGTCAATCCTTGACCTCTTATTGGCTGCTAAGCGTGGTGATCCGCGATGAGACGAAGCCTGCAGTCTTGGCGGTAACGCTGTGACGCACGTGATGTGTGCAGTGTGGTGTATACTTACCGGTATACGTAGACCTTGACTGTGATTGTGACTGTGACTGTGACGGTCTCTACAGTTGCTGATAGATCCCCTCCTGCCTTTCATGTTTTGTCTCTCCGCTTACAAATGCACGGCACGATATCCGTCTAGGAGCCGAGGGCGCCCAGCTGCCGAGAGGTTGGCGGCATTGGCATTGATTTGAGAATTCAATTTCACACAAACGCCCTGCTTCGTTCCATATTTCTTAGGTAAAAGCTCTCAATAATCTTCCCGGGGCTGCATTAGCCCATTCAGTCAAGAACCCCCCACATTCCACTCTTGGGGAACTTCTTGGCTCGTCCTTTCATTCCGCTGAGATGAGTCGATTTATGACGAATCAGCGGACCCGATATCCGTGCCAGATCTTTCTTTCTGGCTTTCCTCTTGGCTTGTCCCTGGGCACTGTATACAAAACCCGTATCTCCTGCTTGGCTGAGCGGTCATAAGCGGCCCATTGCGCGTTCATGCTCGGCATACTTCGGTTCTCCCTGCCACTTCTGCTTTCTCCCCCTTCTTGTTTGTTGTTTTTTAAATACCTAGAATAATGTGCCTCGGGTTCAGGCTCTCATTCGATCGGTCGAGTTTTTCAGCTCAAAGCGCATGACAGCTAGAGATCAATCATATCCTTGCAGACTCCAAATTTCTTATCACTACCCCGGTTCAATAAAGGATCGGCTCCAGCCAGCTCAAGGTCTCGAAAAAGCCTGGGCAAGCCCTGACCAGAGGTGTTTTTGTGTGATCCCTCAAATCGCACAATTGCCCGATCGACAGACTTCAAGCTATCTTCGAACTTATCAGAATATCTTTGTATGATGCTCCCGATGCTCCTTCACACTAACAGACACACCTGTCCGGGTCACCGCTTCCCTTGGCCAACCTCCGACCCATTTTTCAATGTCGTCTGCCTAATCCTTGGCTCTCCTTGCCAATACAACGTAGACTACTTTTTACGTGAAACTAACCCCAATTTCCCCTCTCCCACGATCCTCCGGAGAAACAGTGCCGTGTCATTTAGGGCCTCGCCGCTTTGCACAACTAAGTCAAACTCTTTCTCAGTCATATCTGCAACCTTCCTTGCTATCCGCCGTCCTTTACCCTTATATCTCTGTGAGAGCGTACCCGGATGTGTTAGCTTCCACGCAATTTGCTTTCGTGTGTACGAAGCGAACTAAAGGGGCAATTGTCGCAAGCCATTCGTCGGCTAATTTCCAGCTTGATTTGCTTCTGGTATGCTTCTGGTGTTCATTCAAGGCCGTATTGCTTCTGCTCGTATCATCGCGGTCTTCACGATAGCTCGTATCGGACAACATTGCGCAAGTCTGCGAGCACACTGGATACGTTTATAACACCACGCTATAAAGTGACACTTACTCGCCGTTCTCTCTGCGCTTGTCTCCGAGGACGCAAGAGGTTGAGCAAGGAGGTTTGTGTGGCCTGTGTTTTGCTGTCCTGAAAGAAGGGACGCTGATCCGTTGGAGCCCCCATCCTTGGCTTTACGTATAAGTTGTGCGATGACTGTAGAGTGCAACAAATCTAAAGTCACTCGACAAATTGGTTTTCACATCTAGGTTCCAAATCTCTTTGGATCCCCATGGCAACTTATTGTTTGTATGAGACTGGTTTGTCTTCCAAATTTAATGTACTGAGTTACCTTCTTTCCATTTCCGACCGGGTTTTTATTATCAATTCCCACGTCCACGATCTTGGTTTCTTACTAAGACCTTCCCCTCGTGTGACATTCATTGGGGTCTACGAGTCGTTGATCTACGAGCGCAGCCTAAGCATGCACGGCGTAGAGACTCTCACCCAATATGCTAAAAATATCCGACGTCAATCTACATTGCCGTCCAATGTGGATCTGCCACGCTAGCCTCGGAAGGTACATCTGCATGAAACTGCTTTGCATTTAACGCTTCCTATGCCAAGGCTAAGCATACGATAAAACACCGCAGCGTCTCGCTTTGTGCGTCATGCTTTTTGGTGAATTTAGTTGGCATGTTCCTAATGTAATATCCTCTTGATATTATGAAATCTAGACAATACCTTCGTTGTCTCCTACTGATACCCTCCACATTTCACACGGCCTGCGCCTATCACTCAGGATGAGTTCCAGACTTACAGGCTATAAAAAGCCCAAGAGGTGTGATAGGGAACACGAAGTAAGAAGCGGTGAAAGCAGCGGACACGACAATGTATAGTTGGAGATGTCATATCCTAGTCACGTGGTTGGCTATATTAGGAAAGGTATACCTGCATCTTTGATTGGCCAAACTGTATATTATTCTCCTACGTTTAAATTAAATTAATCACAATCATAATCTATTGCATTATCAGCCATGGGATAATACTGCCGAATATGCAGAGCGGGGTGAGGCGAATTGTCAGAAGACCCGGGCCGATACTAAAATCGCCCATGCACAGTAAGTAGTTCGTATAGTCTGACAATCGTACTTTCTCGAGCATTTCACTTTCTTTCGCCGTTTTTCAAACGGCTCTTCATTAATAAAAAAATAAAAATGTGAAATCGAAAAATTAGTTTTCAGCTCACCTTGCGGGCGGAGACATATATATATCGCCGCCATGTGGTGATAAGCAATACATGTAGCAAATATCAATAACAGAAAAAAAAGAAAAGAGGCAAGAAAAAAACAAGTAGAAAGCAAACAAGGGTGCCTTCGGGAATCAAACACGGCGAACATATATTCCTGCGATCCTAGCGGCCACAGAATCCGGGTATCCTCATTTTGTGGCGGAGGCTTGCAGCCACCCAGTGATGGCCCCAGTGATCACGATGTGATGGGCTGACTGGGCTGACATATCCAGCGCAAATGTACCCACTAAAGTAACAATGGGCGTAGGGACTGGGAAAAGGATAACTGATTCTATCAAGGCTTGGGATATGTATACTACTGTAGACAGTTGTCTAAGCATAAGAAAATGTAAGAAAAATAAGCATCTAGACTAGGTACATGAGTCTACTGTATGCATCAGCACCTAAGTAGCAAAAAGGAGATGGTTACCCAGCAGTATCACAAAGAACAGACCCAGCCCCGTGAACAGGTGCAGGACTGGTTGGAAATAAGACCGCCCAATCTCCCCATGCTATCTGATCCCGCATACTCCAGTAGTTTGAATTTTCCTTGTAACCCCAGAGTACAATCCCTGCTACACTAGCTCACTGAAGTACTTACATTTATTGTTTGCTTTTTTGAGATCTGTAGAGGTGAGGCATATTTGGCCATCTATTTATCCTCCGTTAAAAGCCACGCTGGCCTCCGGGGAAACTTAAAATCCATTAGGCGATCGTGACGGTTCACACACTATTTCTTTATGAATCGTGTCGCACGGTTATACCCACGTCGGAGCATGGCGTCTGCGAACAGCCGTCGCAAGGGGCTCTTTGACTTATTTACATTAACGGGACACATGTGGGCGAATAATGGGCTCCACTGTGGATGTGGTATGCGTGCGGCTGATCTCTGTTTCTGGGGGCGTTGCCGTGTTGCCGGTTTTACTTGTCACTTCCGAGAACCCCATTTTTAATTTTGATTTGCTTGGTCGGCGGGAACTCCATGGCAGGGATGATGGAGAAGGGAGAGCACAATTACGGAATACTAGAGAGACATAGGGGTAGAGCGACAACTGGCTACGAGTGACAGGATTCGGCAGGTTAGAGCAGCTGTGTCACCCAGGATCGTGGGAACTATGCACATATAAGACCGAGGAACCCTTCTGTTTCACAAGGGGTTCCGGCAGAGACAACGGCGGCTCGGCTAGCAAACCCTGTCTGACATGGAAAATGAGGCGTACCCAAAGTGGAGCCGGGCTTTATAAGAGCCATATATCCCAGGGGTGCTGCAGTGGCTAATTTTTACTCCTACAGTACTGCGCATGTACACACGTAACTGTTATTCCGTAATTGGACAATCTGCATATAAGAAACATAAGTATATAGTACTCATATATTAAGGTATACCTCTAGAGTAACAAGAAAGACAAGCATTCTCCACATGACGACACCACTTCAAGTGCGTTAGAAATCTCTCAAACTGCTCCCTCCACTTGATCCACTTCAGGGCCGGAAAAATGTGCCCTGTGGCTGACATGTGGCTGGAGATGGAGTGGCTGTCCAAAAAAAATAGACTGCGGAGGGCACTAGTCCCCTTCTGGTAAGCAACGGGAAGCGTCATGACGGAAGGGGCAAAATGCACTAGGGGTCTCGAGGTATGCAAGTCAACCCTGCAGGGTACTTTACACAAGGGGGATGTAGGCTACTTGGATTGTATCCGGAGAAATGGGAAAAGAAAAGAAAATGATAAAAGACGAGGGGGGGACAACAGGGTCACTCAACAGCTGCATGCACGCTTCCGGGTTTGGCCAGTCTGTGCTGCATTTGATGTAGATCGGGATGCGATAGGAGACCCAATGCCGACCAAAGGATATAGAAGGAAAAAGAAACAAGACAGAGAAGAAAGATCTACCCAGCAAAAGGGGGCAAGGATCGAGCCCAAGCAGCACGGGCCAGTCATGCCGGGTGAGTTTAGGCCCTGTGGACTAGGCTAAAATCGGAGTGGCACGGAGAACAGTCGCACTAACGCACTTAACGCACTAACGTACCTTAGAGCGCAACCACGGGGGAGTCCACTCCGAGACCCACTGGGGCACATCTTGATCATCTACATTATACTATATGATAAAGTGTTAGTAATTGAAGGTTTAAGTAGAATACATAAATATTGTATTTTCAAACAACAATTACAGTTCCCAATCTATATAGCTGAAGAGATAAAAATAATATAAAATAAAAAGAATAACCGCCTCCAGATCTGACTCCACCGCACTAAGCCGTTCCTGGGCGTCAGCTGGTGTTAGCTAATCAGTGGTGACGGCCGGGAGCTGCGCAACCACTAGCGTATCTTGGCGAAATTCACCTTTCCTGCCAGCCCCTCGACTCTTCCCTCTCTTCCCCCCTTAGGCTTTCATCCTCCTTCAATTCCCCGTTCCCCACATCTTGCTTCATTCTTCTTCCATCTGCAGCTTGCATTAAGCTTGTAGTGTCATTTCCGTTTTCCCGCCATTTCGCGCCCACACTCTTTTACCGGGCTATCCATCGATTTTTCCGATCCGGCACCCTTCACTGCTGGAAAGTGTCGTGTGAGGAACATTCAATCATCATCACGACGGGTTTTTCTTTCTAGGAGGGATTGAGCATTGCGCCTAAGCATCTACTACGCGCAATACTTTTGTGCTTCTGGTGTCGACTGTGAATTGCATCATCGTGTCGCAAATCCTCCCGAAAGTTCGGTCGCGACACGGTACGAACTAAACAATCAGCACATTGGCTCCATCATCAGGAACCATGTCTCACACTCAACCTTCGCCTACTGCTGGCGTCGCTCCACACCATGCGCATCTCGCAGCGCATGCCCAGGCCAACGGCCATATGACGACAATTCCAGTCCAGGCCCAGAAGCCTGGTCCTCTCACCACCGCCCAGAAGATTGCCAGTCTGAATGAGCAGGTTTGGCTACAAATAGGTAGGATTTTGCTTCCGTATTCACATAAATAATGCTGACAATGGATGATTGTAGGTAGCTTGACCGAGCTGATGGGTGATTTGGAAGGTGCGATGAACGCTTATGAACAGGCTCTGCGCCATAACCAGTGGTCAGTTCCCGCCATGAACGCCATCTCGTGTATCCTCCGGACCAAGGAGCAGTTCCCTAAAGCTATCGAGTACCTGCAAAACATCTTGAAGCTGGACCCTAGCAGTGGAGAAACCTGGGGTAGCTTGGGTCACTGCCACCTTATGATGGATAATCTGCAAGAGGCATACACTTCTTACCAGCAAGCTCTTTACCACCTGCGGGATCCTAAGGTATGCGGTTTCTTTAGCGCCGTGACTTGAAGATACTGACCCTTACTAGGAACCCAAGCTATGGTATGGCATTGGTATCCTTTACGATCGATATGGCTCTCTCGACCACGCCGAAGAGGCATTTTCGCAAGTTATGCGCATGTCTCCCGAGTTCGAGAAGGCAAATGAGATCTACTTTCGTCTCGGCATAATATACAAGCAACAGCAGAAGTTCAGAGAGAGTCTGGAAGTACGTAATTTTTTGCTGTAAAGTTGAGATTGTTGCTAACCTCCATGTAGTGCTTTAAGTACATTGTTGGCGACCCTCCGCGCCCCCTGACCGAGGAAGACATCTGGTTCCAGATCGGTCACGTTCACGAGCAACAGAAGGACGTAAGTCATTAGTCGCGCATCTCCATGCTTCATTGTACTAATTCACGCTTCAGTTCGACTCAGCTCAGGCCGCTTACCAGCGCGTTCTTGACCGCGACCCGAACCACGCCAAGGTTCTCCAGCAGCTTGGATGGCTCTACCACCAGCAAAGCAGCGCGTTCCAAAGCCAGGAGAAGGCCATTCAATTCCTGGAGAAGTCTGTCAATGCTGGTAAGCACATATCAAATACTCGCAAATTTTCCATGCTAATTGATACTTTCTATAGACAACAATGACGCTCAAAGTTGGTACCTTCTTGGTCGCTGCTACATGTCGATGCAGAAATACCCCAAGGCATACGAGGCCTACCAACAGGCAGTCTATCGCGACGGTCGTAATCCTACCTTCTGGTGCTCCATTGGTGTTCTCTACTACCAGATCAACCAATACCGTGACGCCCTCGACGCCTACTCCCGTGCCATCCGCCTTAACCCCTACATCTCTGAGGTCTGGTACGATCTGGGCACATTGTACGAATCTTGCAACAACCAGATCGCCGATGCCCTTGATGCCTACGGTCGCGCCGCGGATCTTGACCCATCCAACGTCCACATCAAGGCTCGCTTGCAATTGCTCCAGAGCCAACTGTCGGGCTCGGCTCAGCAGAACAACGCACCCGCTCCTCAGCCTCAGGATGTCCATCCCCAGGCGTACCAGGCTCCTGGTGTTGGCCAGCCTCCCGCGCCTCAGTGGGGTGCTGCAGCTCCTCCTCCGGCTCCGATCGGCCCCCCCTCCCCAAGCTCCCGCTCCTCCTCGGCAGATTCCTGACTGGAACCGCGGGATCAACGAGCTGGGATCTCAAGCCCAAGCTCCCCCTGCCAACGGCGTCGATCCTCGTGATGCTCGGATTCCTGGCGTTGCTGCACAGAGTCCTCGTCAGGAGCCTGGTCGCGCATTCCCCGACCCTCGCGGTGCACCTCGCTCGCCAAACATGGGCGATCCCAATGCCTACCCGCCGCAGCACACTCTTCCCCAAATTGGGAACCCATCCGGCCCGGGCCATGAACGTGCCCCCAGCGGCGGAAATGCCTTTGGCGCTGGTCGCGGTGGTCTGCCTCCCGCTCCTGCTGGTCCTCCCGGACCTCCTGCCCCCCCTGGTCCTAATGGTAACGCTGCTCCTCCTCCTCCCTACCAGGGTCGTCCATTCACTCCTCCGACTGAAATCCGCCCTATTCGCGATGCTTCCCCAGCATCAACTTACCCCGGCCGGCAGTACCACCCCGGACCTACTCTTCCCCCTTCCGCTGCGGGTCCTAACTCCACAGGCATCGCCTCTGGTGCCCCGGCTCCTCCCTCTGCAGCTACTGCGGCCGACGCTGCCGCTCGCGACCGCGAAGATCGCCCTACATCTGCGATGAAGCGCGGCCGCGAGTGGGAGGCTGACGGCCCTGTGAAGAAGCTCGCTAATGAGGAGAGCCGTGCCCGTCTCGATGACCAGAATACCCGCCGCGCCAGCCCGCCCGCTCGCCTGCCTTCTCCTGGTGAGATGCAACGACGCAGCTCTTCGGAGGCGCGTCGTGATGATGCCCGTCGCGCCAACGAGAATTACCACCCCTCGGAGGCTGCACACCACCCCCCTACTTTGCCTTCAATTCAAGACATGCCTCCCCACGCTTCCAGTGGTCCCAGTCTTCCACCCATGTCTGAAGGCTCTGCTCCTTCCGTGCCCAATGGACCTCCCTCTGTTCCTCCTTCGGCTAATACCCCGGTCAAGGAAGAGTCCACTCGTCCCGAGGCCCCTCCCGCCCACGAGCCACCTGCGCGCAAGATGGACGTGGATGAGGACTACGATGACGATGTGGAGGAAGAGAAGAAGGCAACCGCATCCAAGGGCAGCCCCAATGGCAGCGCTGCTGGCAACCCGGCTAACGGCACTGCCCGGCCAGGCACACCCTCCAAGACCGAGACCGCCTAAAAGTCTTTTCCATCCAGGCCACAAACGTTATGGTCCTACCCAAACCAATATTCCCCTCGCTCTCTTTCTCCTCGATGTCCTTCTTGTCCTAGTGTGTGATGTACGGTATGAATGTGCGAGTTACGATGACTGGCTTCGAGCGCGTGCGCTGTAGTCCTGTCTGTTCGTTCTCTTCTCTTATGATTTCTTAGTCTCCTTTCTTTGTGATTACTTATGGTGTGTGAGGCATCTTAGCAAATCTTTTTTTTTTGATACTCTTGAATTCTGTAGATTTAAATTAACGAATCTTCTACTCTACTTCCGTATGTGCCAATTTGGTCAAGAAAGGATAAAGCAGTCAAATCTGAACCAGCCAATTGCCGTGTAAAATAACCTTGGTCCACTATGTAAAAGCAAGTTCACACCGTTTGCCTTGGCACTCAACTCAGACCCATCAAATCCAGGGGAAAATGTGGGAGAGGCACGTGATCCAGGGCTGGATTTGTTGATTATGTAATATTGAGTGATTGTGGGGTGCCTCAGGCTAGCACACTAAGCCTAGAAAGGCCATATTCATGCCAAGAGTCTCGCTTAGGTTAGCCCACACACCAAGCGTGCAAAATCAACTTCAACACTTTCAGATCGTCACTCCCACCACCTCGACGACTAACGACACCAGGGTCAAGATGTGAGTCTATTTATTATACTACCGACTGTCAATGCAATTGCTGACCTGCTTTCGTCTTTCAGGAGTCACCGCAAGTACGAAGCGCCCCGGCACGGTTCGTAATCAACTTTTCCTCGATGTCGAAATCTCGAAAATTCGACCTCAATTCTGTGTGCGATCACTAACTCTCCTCTCAGGCTCCCTTGCCTACCTCCCGCGCAAGCGCGCTGCCCGTCACCGTGGTAAGGTGAAGAGGTCAGTTATTTCTGGAGTTGGGGAGATTTTGTGTGGATTTGTGTGCTGAGACTTTTGCGACAGCTTCCCCAAGGATGACGCCAAGAAGCCCGTCCACCTTACTGCCTCCATGGGCTACAAGGCCGGTATGACCACCGTCGTCCGTGACCTTGACCGTCCCGGTGCCAAGATGCACAAGAAGGAGATCGTCGAGGCCGTCACCGTCATCGAGACCCCTCCTGTAGGTTTTTCTCTGAAAATTTCTCACAACGACAGATACTAACTTGTTTTTTTTTTCTTTCAGCTCGTTGCCGTTGGTGTCGTTGGCTACATCGAGACTCCCCGTGGTCTCCGCTCGCTCACCACCGTCTGGGCTGAGCACTTGAGCGACGAGGTCAAGCGTCGCTTCTACAAGAACTGGTACAAGTCCAAGAAGAAGGCCTTCACCAAGTACGCCAAGTCCCACGCCGAGTCCTCCGGTGCCTCTATCACCCGCGAGCTTGAGCGCATCCAGAAGTACTGCACTGTCGTCCGTGTCCTCGCCCACACCCAGATCCGCCAGACCCCCATCAAGCAGAAGAAGGCCCACCTCATGGAGATCCAGGTCAACGGTGGCTCCGTTGCCGACAAGGTTGACTTCGCCCGCAACCTCTTCGAGAAGACCATCGACATCGACTCCATCTTCGAGAAGGACGAGATGATTGATGTCATCGCTGTCACCAAGGGTCACGGTTTCACTGGTGTCACCTCCCGTTGGGGAACCACCAAGCTGCCCCGTAAGACCCACAAGGGTCTCCGTAAGGTCGCTTGTATTGGTGCCTGGCACCCTAACCACGTCCAGTGGACTGTTGCCCGTGCCGGTCAGAGCGGTTACCACCACCGTACCTCTTGCAACCACAAGGTCTTCCGCATTGGCAAGGGTTCCGACGAGGGCAACGCCTCCACCGAGTTCGACATCTCCAAGAAGCAGATCACCCCGTATGTTTCCTTTTTCTCCATTGTTCCATTGTTCCATTGGTTCATTTTGACTAACTCTTCTTTAGCATGGGTGGCTTTGTTCACTACGGTGAGGTCAAGAATGACTTTGTCATGGTCAAGGGCTCCGTTCCCGGTGTTAAGAAGCGTGTCATGACTCTGCGCAAGACTCTCTACCCCCAGACCAGCCGCAGGGCTACCGAGAAGGTCGATCTCAAGTGGATCGATACCTCCTCCAAGTTCGGTCACGGTGCTTTCCAGACCTTCGAGGAGAAGAAGGCCTTCATGGGTACCCTCAAGAAGGACCTTATCGAGACTGTTTAAGATGTTCCAGGCTATGGTTGGTGATAGTTCAACGTTTCCTATTCAATAAAAAAGCGAATACCTTCACAATTGTTTGCGTAAATCATCCCAGTAGATATATCAAAGCACATGTTTGTAGTGTGGGGTCTGATCAGAATATCAAAGTGAGGTATTGACATTTGAAGTTTGTATTTTTGAACCTATGTCAAACTCCTATTGTATATGGTGTTGTGGTGAGTACACACATATCTCTTCAACCCACGGACGATATATATTTCTGGTTCAAACATACTGTAAGCAGCCGAAGTATTTAAAATTGACCATTCCCCATCTAATCCTCACATAAATCTAACGTTAAAAGCCATTGTACCTAAATCATCTCACTCGGTCACAGTTCAATCCAAGTTTCACAGTGTGAAACGCCATGCGGTCCAAGATCCATTGCGTCATCCCACACTTTTCCCCAACTCGCGCAAACAATCCTCTCCAAATCGCAACTCAACGTCTTCTGCACCCTTCTCTACTCAGAACCCAACTGATCCATGCAAACAATCTCCCTTCAAACCCAAGGCAACCACTTCTTCACCGATTCACCTCCTTCTCAACCTCCGCAACCATGTCCTCCGACGACGCCTACATGGCATTCCTGAATAAGGCCAACGCTGACTCCAGCGACGGCCAAGCCGAGTCCAAGAAAGAGTCCCCCTCCGACGTCCTGCGCACGAAGACAGTCGACAGCTCCCTCTCCATCCCAAAGCCCCTCAAGAATATCGACGCCTACTACGTCTCTGATACCGATGAGCCCTTCGACCCAGTCGTCCTTAAGTGGGATGGTGCGAAGGATGGTACTTGGCCGAGTATTGGTATGTTCATAAAACTTCCCTGCGTGATACACATGAACATACGTAGCTGTCTAAAGCTACACCTAAACTCCACCCGAGCTCTGACGCTCACTCTCAAACGCGCCATCTACCCCAAACACCATAATTACCAACACCCCAGACTAACATCTCGCCTCTCTAGCTGAACTCGCCACTCTACTCTCCGAATCCAAAAACCTCTCTCGCTCAATCGAATCCCTCCCCCTCACCTCCTTCGACCCCAAAGATCAATACCCCGAAGTGCTCGGCGCCGTGCGCGCCGCTGCTGCGGAGAAGAACCCCGATGCTACGGAGGAAGCTGTTGAGCTGAAGGTCTACCGTATTGAGATTACGACTACTCGCATCGAGTACTGGATTCTGGCTCTGCACGCGCCTGAAAAGAAGATCGTGGGGTTGCGCGCTAAGGCTGTTGAATCGTAGGTTACTGCTGCTGCGACAGTACGAACATCACTTTTAGTGGAAGGGCAATCAAAATGGAATGGGAGTTTGTGATTTGATCGTGATGTGGAAATGAAATGATATGAAACAGTTTAGCATAATTTGCTTTTCACACCCTGCTCCTGCTATGCAATCAGTTATTGTCATTATCCCTGGGAGAATACAATGAGAATATGTGGTTTTTATCCTGGATCGTGCATTATGTATGTAGGATGGTGTTGGGTCTTGTAGTTTGTGTAAGGAGCTTTGGATATTCTATACGGAATACTGCCTTGCTACTGGGTACTTGACGTTTGATGGGATGGAATGGAGGGGATTTTGCCCTTGACAGCTTGTGAATGCATTCTTAGGCCTTGGACGTTGGGATTTGAGTTTTTTCGGGACGCGTGTACGGGAATGGCCGAGGATCTTGATTTGCTGTTTGTGAGTGAATTAAAGGCAAATACCGCAGATGGTGGCTGCTTGATTGTGTTGGTTAGAAGTTGTAGATGTAGATGTAGATGTGGGTGGGCTTTGGTGGTGGTTGCTGCGGCGGATGTCTTACCCGCGTCTTCGCTATTGGCTTCAACGACACTCACCCAACTACCAGCCTGACTGTCCTTTTCTTACCTACTAATTTTTGTACTTATCCTCTATAAGTGAATCTGCTGATCCTTGGATTCCGTCCAGCATTCATGGTCGACCATTCTTTGCCCTGGGGGGCAACGGGAATGTCGCGCCATCAGCACCCTGGCCCAGCACAGGGCGTTGAAGGCTGGACGATATCTGTCAAAAAGGCGACAATTAATGCAACCAAATGTTTGAGTCGGACGAGCTGAAGACAGTAGAGCATTGCAACAGGCTATTCAATTGAACCCAGCACCAACTATATTTGTTCTCCAGTCCAAACACCGAGAGGCATAGACATACCACAGGTTACCCCCCCTTGGCCCTCTGTCATTCCAGTCTCCTCGTGCATCCAAACAATCCCCTCGGAGCATCTAGGCTCTTCTTTTCCTCCGTGGCTCTGGCATCTTTCCTCTGTTTGTCTCTTCATCGCGTCGCCCAGGGACATTGGATGCCATCCGATTTGTCCTGTCCGTTCTTTCGGTAATCTAGCACTCCTCAACCGTGCAGTCTACACCTCAGGTCTTCAGTCTTTACCGGGTTCGACATACAACAGCATCGTTGCCAGACAAACCGGAAGGAAATCAACAATCAACCCGTTTCAGCACCAGCAATTACCGGTCCCATCAGCGACTGATGCAATAGACCTGCTCGTGTGGTGGAGACTGACGGAAGAAAGAGAGTATCATCTCGGTGCAGAGCAGTGAGCTAGGACCGTATAAATATCACCCAAGCAGGATTTGGACTTTGGAACCGGAATCCGATGTCAGACCACGGCTCTGATATTTCAGAGGAAAGGGCTATGCCCCACATCCGACTCAACTCAGGTCGACAGGAGCCCTTCATCGACACGAATGAGGGTTACGCGCCTCTGACCTCGCGGACATTCCCGCGTCCTCTGACACCACAGGGCCCCGAACCTCCAGTGATAGGCGCGCAAGGAGCCTCGCCGTATGGAGTGTCGAATGCACCCGAGTCATCGGAGTTCCTGTTGCCACCAAAGCTGCGCCCGACGCAGGGATTCACGAGTGAGTCTGAGCGGCCGCGGTCTCCGGATCGTTGGTCTGCGGCGAGGTCGAGTGTTAGCTCGCTCAGTCGCGAGAGCACGTTCCCTCTAGACCCGTTCCACGATTCCAGGGCATCTTCTCGGTCCGAGAGCGATGAGCATGATGTCAATACGCAGACTGTTTCGGAAAAATTCAACATCATGCCTACTGATGGGCTTTTGTTGTTCCCTGAGGATGTGGAGAAGGACGATTACCTGCATAACCCCGATTCTATGGATCAGGATCGGGACTGTGATATGTGTAATCGTCGCGGTATTTTGAACATGGGTGGATTGGCTGTTTTGACGTTAGGTATCTTGGTTTTGTTTATTGGGTATCCTGTCATGTAAGTTTTCTGGAGGTATTGGTTACTCTTTGCTGACTTGGATTGCAGAACTTGGTTGGAAGGCATTATGAAACCAAACAGTGTATGTCATTCTCATGATACGCTCTGCCTGGATGTTGGAGAAAGGGATTTGTTGGGAAACATTCGACAGGGATTGATCGATCCGGACACACCAAAGGAGGCACTCACTAAAAAGAGTCTGAATGGCAAGGAGATGAAGCTAGTGGTAAGTGATTCTGCTACTCGATCGAAAGGTAATTTCCTAACGTGATTGTAGTTCTCAGATGAATTCAACATGCCCGGCCGAACCTTCTTTGAAGACGACGACCCTTTCTTCCAAGCAGTTGATCTGTGGTATGGAGTGACTGCCGACAAGGAATGGTACGACCCAGACGCCGTCACAACATCGGAGGGAACACTTCAGCTCCGATTCGACCACTTCGAGAACCACGAACTGCAGTACAGATCCGGCATGGTCCAGAGCTGGAATAAGCTCTGCTTCAAGGGAGGTCGTCTGGAAGCCAGCATGTCTCTTCCTGGTGACGGGCACATTGAGGGTTTTTGGCCTGGTTTCTGGGCAATGGGTAACCTGGCGCGTCCTGGATATGCCGCTACTACCGATGGTCTGTGGCCATACAGTTACCACGATGGCTGCGATGCTGGTATCACTCCCAACCAGAGCTCGCCCGATGGTCTCAATTGGTTGCCTGGAATGCGTTTGCCTGGATGTGCTTGCCCTGGCTCTGATCATCCTTCACCTGGCCGTGCTCGTAGTGCTCCCGAAATTGATGTGATCGAAGGTAGTACTGCCGCGTTGTTCGGTGACAGTGGTCCATTTGTTGGTAGTGCGTCGCAGAGTTTGCAAACTGCGCCTTTCGATCTGTGGTACCTGCCCGACTATGGTAACTGAACATACCTTCCGCACTCATGCATCAATCTGCTCACAAACTACACAGATTTCGCCGCCGTCTATGACGACCGCGTGACTCAAATTAACGCCTACCGTGGTGGTGTCTACCAACAAGCCATGTCCGGCCTGACAAACCTCAACACACGCTGGTACAACGGAACCGAATACCAAACCTACTCCTTCGAGTACACACCTGGCGCAGAAGGAAACGTAACGTGGTTCGTCGGATCTGAAAAGACCTGGACTCTCGATGGCCGCGCCATCGGACCAAACGGTAATGTCGGCCAACGCATGATTCCACTCGAGCCTATGTCGCTCGTCATGAACATGGGTATGGCGGACAACTTTGCACCTCAAAACGCGTCCATTCGCGAGTATATGCCCGCCTTCCTGCGCTTCGACTACGTCCGTATTTATCAGGACCCCGATGACGAAAGCGTTACGTGTGATCCGCCCGGATGGGAGACGACTCAGTATATTAAGGATCATCCCAAGGCATACGCCAACCAGAACTATACGACTTGGTATGAATCAAACCCCGTGCCATTGTTTTCTTCGGGCCATTCACTAACCATTCCTCTTCTTTCGCAGGGACGATGCTGGATACCACTGGCCTAAGAACTCCTATATGCACGACTGTGCAGCTCAATAAATTCTTCTCTTTTCTTCTCTTTTTCACTTGCTCTATTCTAATCTGTCAGTCGTTTTAGCGGCATTGTGTTTTGGCGTTGTCGGGGTTTGTCTGGGCATTCGTTACATTAAATTTATTTCTGGGACTATCGATGAATCCAATCTTTCAGACCTTTTTACTTGCTGTAGTTTTCTCATGTAGACACTACTTACAAACAGGTGTGGGTCACTTAGCACAAGTCCAAACACCGTCAGACAAAGCGAGCCTTTATCCGATGTGTCACGTAGTAGATTACCTCTGAAGTCTACACTGAAGAGCTTCTCTTGTGCCAAATGATCCTCCTCAGAACCATCAGAGTCAAGAAGTATAAGGCAGACAGACCTATATCAAACTAGCCCAATGCTCATTCTGCCAATACTGCCAGCTATCACCGCCTCCCTGATCCAGCCAAAGGTCAACGCCCGCCAAGCACGAAGGGTAACCTCATTGCCATCCTGACCGCCCTATCCAAGCCCTCGTTTGGTGTTTCTTTTCGATAAACGGAAACAAAAGAGGTTATATAAGAATACTCCGGTTCTTCGAAACATGTGAGATGAATGATAGCCACTTCCTCTGCCAATATCGTTTTCGTATGAATTGACTAGCCCTATAGATCCCCGCTGGATCAGAAACCAATACAAGATCCATGGAATCCACTGCTTCGATTGGCTAAAGCTAGAGCGTCTTAAACACCAGCGCACTTTTATTGACCTGGAGACACGTGCCTATCCATTTAGTCATATTGCCATTGGAAAGTACGACTGCCAGGTGGCGTCTATTGTGTCGTGTCGACGTGACCTCTGTCTATCTGTCGCGTCTACTACGTCTGCCAGGAGGACGCGTTGGGAGCTTTTTTCTCACCTTGTTATCCGGGATTGCCCCCGGGAAGTTGTTTTCTTCCATCATACAATCGCTCCAATCGCTCAACTCCATCACCCTCACCATGGCCGATCTGAGCACCTTCATTGTCTCTATCCCATCGGAGTCAGATTCAGACTCTGACGATGATGGTGGTATGCAACTTGATCCCAACGAGAATAACGATATCATGAGATACGCAGACGAAGAGGGTATGTCTTTTCTTTTTAATCGTTTTCCTCCCTATGCCTCTTTGTTTTTTTTTTTGCGCCATCTTGATCCTTCATATCCCCAATAACAGCATGTCTGTTGAGCGCAGATTTACTTGACTGAACGAAACAAACTAACAAATTCAACCAGACTCATTCTCCTTTACCGCTCCAGACCCCATGTCTCCATCTTACGACCAAAGTAACACCGTCGAGCATGTCGGCCTCGATAACACTGTTCAAACACCAAGCGAGTTTGAGCAGGATATGCGATCGCGCTCCCATCTCCGTGACGAGAAGCATGCTGCTTTGTCTGTCCTTATGGACCGAGAGTTACTTGTCACCTATGCACTTGCTGCTAGAGAGGTATGTTCAAACTCCAAACACAGCCTTCAATCTGATATCACTGCACTTTCACCCCATTCTCACATTATCGAACAAACATCACCAAATCTAAAACCAAACTAACAAAAATATCAGACAATTCCCCAAACCCGCCGCCGCTTCATGGCCAAAATGCTCTGCCCCAATGACCCCGTCAAAGCAGAGGAGCTCTACGCCCCCCGCATTTACCTACCCGCGCAAACCCACGGGGGCGAGGCATCCACTATTCGTGGCCGTTTTAACGATATCATCGACAATGATGAATCGGGCTGGCATAACCCCGCCGTTAGACGCCCGCATAAGGGGTCCCGATCTGTTTCGGCTGCGGCTTCTCGTTCTGCTTCGGTTAGTGGTAACAATTCGCCCCGTCGGGTTTCCTCTGGTGTTGGGCTTGCTCCTGGGGTTTCTGGTGGCAATTTTAGGAGCCGGACTTCTCTCCAGGCCCAGACTAGTGAGGATGAGGATTTGTGAGGCGTTTTAAACATCTTTTGACGTGATGTGATGTCTGGCTGCTATTATTGGTTCCGATACCGACACTGATACTGGTAGACCGACCTTCTTCTTTTCTCGTTTGTATGCATTAGCGATACGAGGCCTTCGTCTATGTCTATGATTATGATTTTGCTTAAACTTCTGATATTCTTGCGCATCCTTTGATTTCAAACAAACCGCAATGCTAGAAAAACTGAATTTCCAGCCTAATTGAAGTCCAAGGTCGCTGTTCAGTTGGAAACATGGAATGCAAGCTATGCCGCAATAGCCCTATATACCTTTCTCGCACTTTTCATTGCTATCAGTCTCGCTCGGCTTCTATAAAGTGAAAGTGAAAGTGAGAGTGCGGGCGAGGATGAGATGATTATTAAAAAGTAGATATAGAATAGCGCCTTTAGTATGGTTTTTGCTCTACTTTTATTTGTCTTGATTACTTTACCTTTTAAATGTTCTTTCTTTGGATACAGTTTGCCTATTTTTACGTTGGCCATATAAGAGTGAAAGGTTCATGTTGTAATTTGAATAACTACACTATAGACATATTAGAAGAAGAAAGTGAGATAGTGACTGTCAGATAGAGTCGTGCCTAGTCACTATAAAGTTTGATATCAACTACAACCGAACTAGTATTAAGGAAAAAATAGACTGTGAATTCGCTAAAAGTATAAACAAGGTACTATACAAAGAAACCAAATCCATGCAGACCAACCGCAGAGAAAGAGGGAGGGAGAGAAATGAAATGAATAATGGATCATGGATAGGAAGGATAATAGGTAATGGGTATCATGGGGATGTTAGACCAGCAGGAAACATCATCCAGGCCAGGTAATTTGTGTTTGTGTTTTTGTTTTGGGGAGTCTCCCTCAATTCTCGAATATCACATCACCTCAGAAGAAACCTCTTAGGAAGGAAGGTAAGGTGGCACACTCATAATGAGGAAGGGACGAGTCTTCATCGTCAGACTGCTGAATCATACTAAGAAGCAGCAGCCACCAGAATCGGAAGGGGGAAGATCCAAGACTTGAGACAAAGTCAGCCACAGAGAACAGAAAAAAAGCCAAGACAAGCATGTGTGGAGCCAAATCGCCACCTACATCTCATCTTCCTCTCTCCTCCGCTGTTCCGAGTGGAACAGACTCTCCGCGTCTCCCACCTGCTTGCGCTCTGAGACCTCACGGCTGCGCATGCGCGCGTAGTGGGCCTGGGCGTTCATCAGTGTCAGTCCTCGAGGCGGTGCGGGTTTGGATTCCGGGTCATTGTATACGGGGTGCAGGCGGTGCTGGGTGGTGATCCGGACCCGACCGTCTCTCATGACGGGTGATTGTCATTGCAGGGGTTCCGAGCTGGAAGAGAGACGGTTGAGGTGGAGGTAAACGTCGGTTCCGTATCTGTTGAGCGTTAGGGATATTCGGAAGAATTGCGGGAAAAGACCTACCCCTCCATACTGATCAGTTTGAGATCACCGCCAAAGTATCGGGCGTACAGTCTACTGATTGGTAGACCGTATCCGAATCCAGCCATGGGTGCCTTGAAGTCGTTCTTGTCGAAGTCAGGATCCAGGTTTGGAGTCTGCTCCACCGTTGTGTACATGTAAGTCCACACAAGGGGAATGGCCGATCGGGGAATACCACCACCCTCATCGGAGACCTTGATGGTGATATCCTCTTTGCCTTCGGCGACAATCACCTTGGTCACGGGGAAGTCTTCCTTGTCGGCACCATGCTGTTCCACAACCGCTCGCAGGGAGTTCTTGAGAGTCTCAAAGAGCATGTGCGAGAGATGGCCTGGAACATACATAAAGTTTAAATCGTCCTTGCAGACCAGCTGCACCTTCGGCGACTCGAAAAGACCATAGTAATCCTCACAGACAAAGCGGGCATTCTCAATGGCCTCAAGCGCAATATCGCGCACATTGGTCTTGGTACAGATTATTCCGACGTAGTTGGGGTGTTTAACGTGTGTTTGTTCCGTGAGTGCAATGTGTTGACCAATCAGCATTCGTATACCGATACGGGACATGTAAAATCGGTCGAGGAATGACTGAATGGTCGAGTCGATCTGCATGCGTTGCCGCACCCGTTTCCACTCCAATATACCCTGTGCGACGGTCGTCACAACTCCGTCGTGACGCCGCTTGATCTGTTGTAAAGTCTTGGCAAATCGTTGGTTGTAGTCGTTGAGTTCCGGGGGCCAGTCTCCACGGTCATCCGCAGGGAAGAAGTACCGTCGGCCTGCAGCAGGCGCTTTTCCGTTTCCGTTGCAATTGCCCGCGGTCACCGAGGATCGGTATTGTCCATCGCGCACACTGGGGTTTTGAGTTGTTTCCGAGAGGATTTTGGAGGTGCCGTTCATCCGACCTGGTCGTAGCAGGCGCGCTTTGACTTCTTGAGTCAGAGTCGGGCGGGGAAGGGTAATAATTTCCTAATTTTGTCAATCCATGCACCTCAAGTGTAAGTGGATTGCATACCTCGAACGACTGCGCATACCAGTCTTGGACCTTCTTGATGGATGGCATTTCACTCAGTCCATCCGGGAGCTCACCCAGGTCCTGGACCCGATGTGCGAGCCGGATTGGGAGCTCCTCAGAGAGGAATTGAGAAGCGCGGAACAGAGTGCCTAGAGAAGTCAGTTCATGTAGCTCCAGGCAATCAACAGCACATACCTGTCGAGGGACGGTCGCCAAATTGGACCATCTGCCTCAGCGAGACACCGGTTGCGGGGAAGCTAGCATAGTGTCTGATGGTTTCCATCAGCCTTTCTGAAGGCTTCCACATAGTGGGCAAATGAGGCCTACTGGCCTAACAAAATGTATATAGTGTGAGTCAACAATAGCGAAAGTTGGGGGAGAAGAGAAGAAGAGGTCGCGTGTGAGTAATACCGGGTGGTTTCCAACTGCCGAGGTCGACTGCACTCGGGGGATCCGTTTCCTCCGGGAATCGGAGTATGCGTCACAAGATCAGTAACTTATCCCACATTCAATGCCGAAGGTATTCCTTTACTTCTCCCTATTCTCTTAGCTACTCTCGGTTACCAATTCCTCAAATTATACTTCAACTATTGGATGTGAGAGTCACGTGCATTATATGCTCTCAAAGATTGAACCTACAAAAGAACATCGAATGATATCCATGTACGAGTAGACTGCATAGTAAATCATATGACTGCATCTCCTCATTCCCCGGATCTCCCCTTCGTCCGAGATGAGGTCATTGTCTATTCTGCATTATGACTAAGCTGCCCTCTAAAGCGAACAGTTTGACCTGTTTGCACTGGATATAGATCCTATCCTGATTGGTCACATCTATACTCTAGAGACCTATACCGAGCATATGCTAGCTAAAGATTGAATTTAGTGAAATTATTCGGGTTAAGGCCTATCATATACAGTGCCTTTCATCAAGTTATCTAAGAAAGCCAAGTCGAGATCCTGAAATAGATCATCCTCAATTTCAGCTGCCGTTCCGGACTATTCAAATTGCTGCATGGAACCATCTGAGACAATCTCAGAGAGTAGCAGCGCAAAGAGGACAGCTATGTCATTGTTGCTGCCATTGCTGCTTGACTTCTTACGACAATGGTTGCTATAGGGATCAGGAGGTATTGATGCTGCGAAAGTGGTTGGCTCTGCTTGCGTTTCTACCTCCATCCCGGCTCGCACGCCCGCAAATTTCATGACCCCAAAATACGGGATATTTTCGTGTTTGCCAGCTTTAGTGTCGTCGGATTGTGATTCCTCAGTCTCGAGCCTCACGCTTACACTTTGGGCACTTTAGAGATCACCTTCAGCTGCCTTGGCCTCAATGACCAGCAACCGGCTCAGTAATTGAGCGCTTCGTGCACTCAAAGCATCAGAGTTTAGCTCCTCCATGTTTTCCTGCGCCTGTTAAATTATGGCGCAGTCGCCCAAATATTGAGTCGCGAGGATATTATCGACCGCTGGGAAGGAGCGGTGACTATCCAAATGAGCCAATAGCGGGGTCGTGGCAGCCATCACGCCAGTGAAATCGATGGCACGTCAAGTAAAAGCTACTTGGTTCCGGCGGCGCAGCATAATAAAGCGAGGTAAGATCTCTCGGGAGGCATTGACACAAGTGATTCGGGAGTAGTCGAGTTTACTCTCCAATCGCGAAGCATGTAGGGAAGGTGGAGCTGGTTGAGAAGTTTGTAGGGAATTTATTGTTCTGACGGCCGCCGCATTTCCCTGTGAGACTTTCTGGCCATTGAGGTTCGGGATCAGCCACCACCGGGTTGGCATACTCCGAGCCACTCGCTGCAGCTCCTTGTCGAGCCCTGCGTCCAGGCGTAATCATACGCCGAGTCAGATTCGTTTCGCTCCAGAATTCGCAATGCGATGACGCAGTGAATTTTTTTAAGATGAAAGCAGGCTGAATCCTTGGCGAGCATTGTGTCTGATGCCATACTCCGATCTGTGGTCCCTGAGGCATACCGGGCATGAGACACAGTTGTCGATCGAAAAAGGCAATGCGGAAGCAGATGAACTGTGGGTATGATTTGATATCTGGGCGGAGTACCGTGTACTGAGACCGGGACCCATGAAAGCACATGGACTGTGCAATAGTCATGGCTTGCCGCGCCGTCCTCCAACTTCGTCATAGGTGTCCGCAATTAGCTTGATACAGGCTCTCGAGCATAACACATTCTAGAAACTCAATGCTGCCCTCTAAGCTGTCGCTTGTGGTCACCGAATTGATCGCTTTGTCTGGTAGTAGTTCGTGTATGCCTTGTGATGGCTCTGAGAGACCCCAAAGTTTTTCGTGAAGATCTGGGTGCAGGTGCTGGAGGAAGCTGATTAGATGCAGCATGTGACGTGCTATCAGAACCGGGTGCACGTCTAGACCCAAGATATCGAGCTTTGCGAACGAATGCCATCACGTTCGTGAATACCGTATGGGGTTTTCAGGACTTCATGGAATAGAATTGAATGGTGGCTAACCCTGGCCTTGTAGATCCTGGCGGTATCTTGCCGCGAGAACGAGCAATTGAAGAGAGTCCGAAACAATGAATTTGGCCCAGAAGCGCTAGCATGGACATAGAATGAAAGCTTGTCGAGATTGAGATGGGGAGGATGTTTCAGGGTTGGGATGCCGTGGCCCGGTCGGTTCGGGCCGTCAGCCGCAAGAACTTGGTCAAAGTTGAGACTCCACTCGTCGTAGGCGATCCCGTAGCTGGCGATTGTCCAAAGGACACACTTTGTCTGGGAACTCCTGGCTCACGCATTTGGTCCAGTGTCTATGACAGCCAACGCAGACTGCGTCATCGGGTCTATCAAAAACGCATTTCATCTTACGTCGCTTGCATTCCCAGCAGCTGCGAGTCACCGGTCCGCCATATTGACAGAATACTAGATTCTTAATACCAACCCTATCTGGGCCTTGGTTTGGGTATTTATGGCAATGTAAGCAGCGAGTAAGTCCCCGATTGGTTGTTTTTTTAATATCTTCTTCTCTACATTGGAGTAATAGACCTCATGCCTAGCGTGGAAAGCAACGTCGCATGAACTTCATTTTTTTCTTATACGCTAAATGTGTATCTAGATGGAAAATAATCTTTCTCATGGTCGGCCAGAGAGTGATCCGTCAAATTCAGTCTTTATCACCGGACATTGGCTTATCGCCCAGTAAGAAGCGTGTTTTCCATAACCGAACTAGAGGCGCAGTGGGTCCAATTATATATGACTGTGGCAGTATAAACCCTGGTCTTACATGCATCAAGCAGCACTGTCCCTCAAGGGCAAGGCGCATAGCGCGTGTTCTTCTCAATTCAATTCTAGATTTCACAATTTTGCAAACAGAAAATGATTAATTTTCAGCCTCATTGTTCCTGGAATAAAAGAGGGGGAGCTGGCTTATGCATGCAAGAAACAAGGATACTTTGAAATGTGTTCTGGGCTGTATGGATGCCCGCACTGAGGAAGAAGCCGAAAATGAGTGATGCAAACCATCCCATACATGCTATGTGCATAGAACTAGTCGAAATTCTTCCCGTGAGATATGCGTATTGTGAAGATGGCTTACGTCTCGCTTGAGAGTCCAATGCCTCGATTGCTGTGGTGAACACCTAACTGGTGATTGTGAACTGGCGGAGGGTGAACTGATCTCTTGGGCTCTATATATTATATTATCACTTACTTCTGCGGTCCACAATTGCTGGCTCCTTGGCGTGTTCAGCAACATAGACTTGTGCAATATTTGAATGGGTTCCCCCCCCACCCCCTGAATAAATATTATACGAAGTCATTATGAGTCGAACATAGACAACCTCTCACTCAAATGAGGCAGCGAAGCAGAATGGATTGAAAATCATATATGCAGGCATACATGAGCACGAGACTTCCGATCTAACGTCTTCGCCTAATTCTTGAAATCTATCCCTAGCAAGGACTATCTTTTCAAAGTACGTCTTCCTTGGAAATAACGGCATAAGGAGGAACCTCAATTAAATTGGGCAAGGCGGCTATTCCAAGGTAAGGGTTGGCTTATGACGGGATGTAGCTACAATAACGCGCACGGACTTGGTGTTCTCTATTTGCAGAGCTGAGCCATCGTGGTCTAAGCTGATTGGATGCCTGAACTGGACTCAATAGTATGCCAAAGGCTGGTCCGCACACAAAGCCGCATTGTTCGCATTATTCATGTATATAAGATCCACACGACGCTTTATCGTATTGAGAGATAGGAAGGAACATGGAACCCTTTGGCGGAGCGGCCTCGGCGATCGCCATTTACAATCAGCTGGAAGCATGTATTCGAGGTCTTCGTCGACTATACAAAACCTTCAAGTTCGCCAAGCAGGAGATTAGAATGCTCATTGATGAGGTGTCCGCTTGTCAAAGTCTCTCTGAGATATTCAATGATGTTAGTCGCCCGCTGACAGGCCGAGTTATTAACTTGGCTATCGAGAAGAAGCTGGATAAAACGTTAGAGTCTCAGGCTGCTTCGGCTCTTGGGCAGATCCGTCATATTACGACCAAGCTAAAGCCTTTGATAGAAGGGAGCATTTCCAATCGATTTGATAAAATAATAGCAAAGATATGGTGGCATTACACAAGAGAGGAGGCGCAGGCTTTACTTGCCACTTTAAGTTGTGTGAAACTCAGTCTTTCTGTGTTTACCTCTCTTTTGGCATTGGATTGCTCTCTCATGCAATCGAGACCATCATCAACAAGTCATCATCATGAAGCGCTTCTTATTCAGATGTGAGTATTCCGAACTAGGCTAGCCCACTTTCTTATACGACTAATGTACGTCTACGAATTACAGAAAGCGTTTGAAGAAAACGGTTCAACGCCAGACTAAGTCTTTACAAAATGTGACAAGCAGAATGAGACAATCAAAAGACGACACATATGAGCCGAGCTGGATGATCAACGCGAACTCAATAGTTTTTATCATTCAACAAATCCAGAAAGAGCCTATCGCTGAGGCACGGACAGTTATTGACCCTGGATTGCTTAATTCACGCGTTCTGATACCCACACTAGAGAGGACCGCCCCTGTGAGCTTAAGTACGAATATACTACGAGACCAAACGGTCATTGTGCCAAACGATTCACGGTATAATTCAACGAGTCGTTTGCCCAGTGTACTTGCATCACCAGAGCATCAAGAGGCACCATCCCAGACAGATGCGAACTCTTTCAGAGTGTATCAAAAAGACAAGGAGACTATAATCCGTGATTATGGAGATAACAGTAGAGAGATATATGAACCAGGCTCTTCTTCATCCTCCATTCAAGGAAACACCAGACATAACCACAGCATGTTTTTACCTGTACCACCTTTCGTTGTATCAGATTGGCAAAAGGGGCATCGAAGGAGACCTGACTCTGGAGAACAGCTTTGAAACTACGCATAAACCTTTCATATATGATTTGAATAGTTTCCAGATGCAGATCGCAAGAATGTTGACCTAGCCTCGAAAGTCAAGCCCCCTAGAAATGCATAGCTTTTTGGAATTGCGGGAAATTTTGCGAGCTAAAGACCATGGCCCATACAATTCATACATTAAATCGAGGTGGTCAAGCTTCCCGAAGGAGATGAGGCCAGAAATGAGGAAGACTTTCCACTGCTTTCGAGGTATCTTCTCGATCTCCCAATACAAAAGACTGCGTGAGACTTCGAACTCCTATGCTTGCATATATTTTATGGGCCAAAACGCAAGGTTACTTGTAACGATATATACCAGAGACATTTATATATACTAGTCCTCGTCGAATCGAAGGATATCCGTATACAATAGTACTGAGGGAGTCAATAGACATGATTGATTGATTGAAGAGCTGAGAGGCTTGATATACAAATAGCGGGGAATCGAGTACATGCTGAATAATCATGTACCGGAATGTGTTACTGGAATTCTCAGTTCGACAGTATTACTAGTACGACATAACGTCAGGTTGTATGAAGCGTAACGGTGACTAGCACGTGACTAAGGCATTCGCAGAAACAGCAACAACAAAGATTAAGCGAGATGTCTATTGTGCTACTATTAAGCAATTCTCAAATTAAACTATAAGATCATAGACCATATAATGGTGGTGCTATATTCTATGTAAATGATATGTATATTTTGGAAGAGGACCCGAAAAAGTGGAATGGGAAGATACTTTTGGGCACCCATAGGTAATAGCAATTACTATCTAATGTCTAATTAATCGTCATGCGATCAATCATAGCACCTGAAGACAACGCGTATTCCCGGTTTAATAGAACGTTTACAATGGAGGAGACAGATAAAGTGCTTCTGCGGAATATGCGTATTACTAGTAGTTGTGTTGGATTGGGCGTGCAAGGAAGCTTCTACGGAACAAGATACACTCAACCCAATCATCCTGCATATTTCTATGGAATTAGCTTTTTAGAGCAGCACTTATTGGCAGGAGGGTCAGTCTATCCAATAGGCGCCAAACACAAATCTGAAATTGTGATAGGACTTGATACATGCGTGATACATGTGCCCATCGAGTTCGTGACAATAATGTTATGCGAATCAAGGTACTGGCAAAAAAACCCCTTAAGTTATTTCTTCAAACTAGGACTAGCAGTTAGTCCTAGCTTAGGAATAAAAATAGCAATGATATATATAAAGGACCTTTCAAATTAAGCTAAACATACTCGATATACTGATTTATTGAGTTAGCAAGATAACTTCTTAATTCAGCATCTAATTGATTAACAAAATCATTCTAGTCGACCTCCACCCACATTCCCTTTGGCAACATAGTGACAATGTATTCTCTAGACGAGCGATAGAAGATATCAGTGTTGGAGAAGAATATCTGGACTTGCTCTTATATCTTGCTTTCACTGAAAATGGACGCGCCGAGCTCTCGTGCAGCGTTTTAAAGCTGCCATATATCGCTTTCTATCACTAGATAAGCATTATTCGGAAGCGGCGAGCCCCGACCGGAAACACATCGGCTTTACAACAAAAAGCCACGCACAATCGTGCCCTGTTCACCGTCACCTCGACTTACTCCGTAGAGCCGAAGTATAGCCGTTCCCCGGATGAAGTCATGCCTGACTAAGCCGACAGCTCTATCAGAACCTCCCGAGTACCTGGTCCTGTTCTGTACTTTTGTCACATCGCTCAAGTCAAGATCTTTTCTCACTTCCCCGTAGATTGTCATGTCTTTCTGAGCATGGGGACTGTCATTCGCTCGTGCCCACCAGCTCCGCTTTCTGGAGACTCAAGATTCCCTTTTCGAGCTCATGCTGTTGACCTGCAATTACTGCCTCTGACTGGCTCGTCGTGATTGCGCCCCTCTCTTTTGTGTGCGTTGGCAATATCATTCAATTCCCTCAAAAAATAAGAGAAAAAAATCCTTCCCCCCCCCACCCCCAAACAATCCTAACCGCGATCTCTTGAAGAGTCCATCCCAATCCCAATCCTCCAATCTTCCACTCTCCCAATCTCTCCTTTTCATATATATCATACACACATACACCATACATACTCTGGTTAGAACCCTCCGAGAAAGACAAAAGGACAATCCACAAAACCCACATACCCTCCATCCCCGACAACATGTCTCGCCGACGAACATCACACAGCGAGATGAACGAGGCCCTCGCCTACCCCTTCATGCAGTCAAACGCCCAATACCAGAACCAAAACAACCATCACCAGCCTCAACCTCACCTCCCTCCTCCGTCCCCTCCCCGCCGCGGTCCCATCGAAGGCCCCAATGGCCGTCGCCTCATCCGCCGCGTCACCTGGCGCTCGTCAACCTACAAACTCATGGCCTCGCTTTGGGTGCTCGCCGTTCTTTACATCGTATGGCTGGTCCGTGACCTCTTCTACCTCCCTGTGCCGCCTGCCGAGTCTGCCCCGCCCCAACAGTAGCTTTAGCTTGAGCTGCTAACGGCGTCCACTTGGGTTGGTCGGGTCTTGGACTAGTGGGGGAAGGGGGGGGGCTTGGTGGGCTTGGTGGGGGGTGGGCTGGCATGACATGTTTGCTTTCATCTCTTGTTCTTTGTTCCTGTCTCGTGCCTCCTCATGGCCTTTCTCTACACCGGACCATACTGGGATGTTGGTTTGGAATAGGACGATTCTTGGGTGTGGAACCGCCATTCCAGTCAGGAGTGTGAGAGCGCATCCTGCTCCTTTCCCTCTGGGTCTGTGTTTGTCGGGTCGGCGCTTACACGTGCTCCGCTTCATTTTTTCTTCCACACTCATCCCACTCTCGCACTTACCCGTGTATTGCCGGATTTTGTCTTCGGGGATTCTCCGGTGAATGCCATTGGGGTTGGGGCCGCATTGACGGATCCCTCGTTCTCGGGTCTTGCCTCGGCCCGCGTGACGTTTTTGCTCTATAGTCCTTTTTGGATTGAGATGCAGATGAGGTCTGTATGTTTGGCTTGTTGGGCATGCAGATACCCAATTAGCGCCTAAGAACTATGCAGCTTGGATTCTGTTTTGCATTTTGCCTGCGCTTATCTGCGTTTTTGTGCGTCGTTGTGCGTTCTTTTCTGCATTTTCCATTCTCTTCTCTGCATTTACTCTTTTCTTTGTTTATTTTTCTTTTCTTTTCTTGTTATTTTGTTTCAGCACTGCATGTTCTCAGCGTTTGATAGTTGTGTCAGGTCAACCGCCTGTACATTCCATTTATTTTTGTTTTCCTTTGTTTGGGCGGCTCCATCTCTGCATATACAGGCAAAAGCGGGTTTTAGAATGTGTTCTATGTTCCTTAATTCTTAATTCAAGAATGAATATATGATATCACATCTATACCTCGTGCGCGGGGCATCGGGGAAGCAGGGAAGTGGGGCAAAAATGTGACATGCCCGAGGCTATTCAACTTTTCATTTCGGCAATATACATAACTTCCTCTATATTCATTTCTCTTCTTTTTATCATAATTCTTCATCTGCCTTTAAACGTGCAGAGCAGAGGTCTCACCCTTGGCAATGACAGCCGCGTATGGCTTGATGGCAGCAGCCACCTCGGTAGAGGTGAACTTCTCAACCTGCTGGGGAGCACGGCCAACGAAAGTGCTAGCATCGAGGAGAGTCTCGAGCTCGGGGATAATGGGATTGAAGAAGGCAGTGCGGCGGATACGCTCAATGAGGTCGTTGTCCTTACCCTGCTTCTTGACGTTGTCGGCAGCCTGGTGGGAGAGGACACCTGTATGGTATTAGATTGGGATCTAGCGAGTGGGTCGCGAGACTTACGGATCTCCTCGTGGGCATCCTGGCGGGAGAGACCCTTAGCAACACAGGCCATGATGATGTTCTCGCTGATATAAAATTAGCAAATGATTTTCAATTCAAAGCTGGAGACTTACGTGGCCATGAAGGGGAGCTCGTCGTTGACACGGCGCTTGATAACCTCGGGGTAGACGACGAAGCCGGAGGTGACGTTGTCTATAGAATTTAGTCACTGTTCCTAGTTCACATTGATACTCTAGAGAAACTCACTCAGGAGAATGAGACAGGCGTCAGCGGACAGGTAGAGCTCAGGAATGCTGATACGGCGAATGGCACTGTCATCCTAGTAAAAGTCAGTACGCGTTCTACCTCAGATCGGCGGTATACTTACGAGAGATCGCTCGAACCATTGAGCGGAATAGGTGTCCAGACCATCCTTGGGGAGGTTCTGCAGGTGACGTCCGAGAGAGCACAGACGCTCCGAGCGCATAGGGTTGCGCTTGTAGGCCTGCAAATAATCAGCCACAAACCTTAACTAAACGATGAAGGAATCATACCATGGCACTGCTGCCAATCTGGTCCTTCTCGAAAGGCTCCTCGACCTCCTTGAGCATAGCAAGGTGACGAATGTCAATACCGATGCGCTCGCAGGTGGCACCGAAAGAACCAAGAGCGTTGCCGACATCAACATCGATCTTGCGGGAGTATGTCTGACTGGAGATGATGAAGGCAGAGCTGAAGCCGGCCTTCTCGGTGACGAGCTCGTCGAGGCTCTCGACCTTGGCGTGGTCACCGTTGAAGATCTGGAGGAAAGAAGCCTGAGTACCGGTAGTACCCTTGACACCACGGAAGCGCAGGTCGTCACGGGCACGCTCGAGGTTGCGCAAATCCATCAGCAGATCCTGGATCCAAAGGCAAGCACGCTTGCCGACGGTGACCAGCTGGGCGGGCTGACCGTGGGTGAAACCCAGGCAAGGCAGGTCCTTGTACTGCTGGGCGAACTGGGACAGCTTGTCGACAACAACGGCCAGCTTGGGGATGAGGATGTCGAGACCATCGCGAAGAAGGATCAGATCGGCGTTATCGGTGCAGTAGCATGAGGTGGCACCCCAGTGAATAATACCGGCGGCAGCAGGGGCGACCTGTCCGAAGGCGTGGACGTGGGCCATGACGTCGTGTCGGCGGCGCTTCTCCTCCTCGGCGGCAACGGCGAACTCGTCATCCTGGATGACCTCGTGGGCCTTCATCTGATCGAGGGCCTCCTGAGTAATGGGAAGGCCAAGCTCTGTAGCCAATTCAGTCAATTTGGATGCTCTCTTCAACAACATCCGATTTCGGTCATAACTCGACATTCTCCCGTACCTTTCTGAGCCTCTGCGAGCCAGGTCCAAAGCTGTCTCCAGGTGGAGAAACGCTTGCGAGGAGAAAAGAGATACTTCATCTCGGTGCCTATCAATTGGTCGCGATTAGTATCTATACATTTTCCGGGGTTGCCCCTCATCGAGGGGTATGGTTCAACTTACTCGCGTATCGCGAGTTGAGGGGGGTCTGGTAGACATCGTTGCTTCCGGACATTCTGTCGGTAATTTCTGAGGACTCAAAAAACAAATTGAGTTACAGGATGGACGTATAGACAATGATGAGGCAATGTGCGAGCAGGAAATTTTGCCGCAGCCCGATTAGCGGGGCTTATCAGTCACGTTATCGAGATCTACAGCTATCACGTGATGGTTGGATGGAAAAGGTACATTTGCATTATAATATTAACTCGTATAGTATGCTCGTTATGGATCAAGACAGCTGTGCTAGCTGCACTGACAGGCTGGCCTTGTCGTACTTGATGTACTTGCCACGACCCTTGTCGATTTCGACATAACGATCGTAAAAGCGCGCATACAGAGGCTCGAGAACAGTCTGTAGCTCCCGAGTCAGCACAGTGCGCACCTCGCGTTCCATGTGGAGATTCTTGTGCCGAGAAATCATGTCGTCAAAGCTTGCATTGAAGGATTTGAACTTTTCCTTGATCGCATCTCTGTCCTTGGACGACAAACTCTTGACAATGGCACTTGAATCAGTCGCACCTCCAGAACTGGCTCGTGCTCCGGAGCGGGATGTGTACTGAACATCGAGGAGGTACTGGGATGTTTCCTTCCATGCATCGAGGTAAGTGGATGTTGCACGCTTGCGGAATGTGTCGATCCTGGCGATGCTGTCGGGCGCACCCAGGTAACGTGCCAGTTCTGGATTCTGTCGGATTGATCGGTCGACAACGCAGAAAACGTTTGACAAGAATACACCAAGTGCGGCCTTGGATCGGTGGAATGCCCTACCACGAGCTTCTAGAGAGGTCATCAAGGACTCGATCATGTCCAGAATGAAATGTGAGAGAAGAGTACCGCTATCCGGACCCACATCCAAAGGAGCGCTTCCCCCGGCATTGGCTCTGGTACGCCAATTTCCATCTCCTAAGGACGTCAAGATAGACGCTAATGGACCCGAGTAGCCAGTCAATGTGGCCAATGAACTCATCACTTCTTCCACAAGTGGCACAGATCCGCCGTCTGGAGGAAGTGGTGTGGTAGCAGCTTTGCGCTTCGTTTCCTCGAGCAATTCAGAGAGGGACGACTTCGCAGTATCGCGGACAGGTCGCAGGGCCTCGATCAGAAGACTCTTCAGTTCCGCAGATTTAGAGTCAATGCGATACGACATTGCCGTCACAATTTCAATAATCTCAAATGCCAGGAAGCAATCTGTCATCAGATTGGCCTTGATGTAGGCATTGAGTTCACGCAATGTTTTCGAGTATTCGCTCATGGCTGAGAGGAAGGTAGCCTGCAATGCCAAACCTTGTTGGTCTCCGGTAAACATCTCGGTAATACTCTTGTGCTCTGTAGTGATGAAGCCCTCCAACGCATTGGAGTAGATACCGATACCATTGGTACCTTGTTTGTAGGGGCCATCGGTCGGTCGACGTTTAACAGTATTCAGAGATGCAATGGACAGGTTCTGCAGACTGCTTTTGATATAGGGTCCTCGTGCCTCAGCATATACCTTCAGCGCGGGGTTCTCCCCCTTGCCGCGCTGTGGTCCATAAATAGATGCGGAGCCGACTGCTGCGCAAAGAGGCGCTAAGTGAGAGATAGTTTCTTCGGGGATGGATGGGAAAGGTAGGTCTAACAGAGAGTTGTATTAGTTTGGGCCTTGTCAGTTGGGTGGGATGCGTACCTTTGGTCAGGTAATGTAGGGGTTCGATCGTAGTAGAGTGCTGGCTCAACTCCTGCCGTAGCATTTCTTGGAGTTTTGCACTACCGGTGTTAAGGAGCGCATTGAAGTCGGAGATCGCATTCTGGTTGGATCGAAGGTTTGTCGTGCTGAGGTCGACCAGCGCCTTTTCAACACGTTTCATTGCCGCCAAATACTGGGTGAGGCCGGAGCTCTGCGGTCTGGGTGGGGGGGGGAGGGGTCGGTCAGTAATTCGCAGCTCACATAGAAGGATTGCGCCACGTACCCTGCGCGGATGATGCCATCTTCTCGGTTCTTCGCGTCGAGGGGCTGACGCAGGCGATCGATCGCATCGTTGACCTTGTCGATATTGCTGTTTGTAATTTGTAGGGATTGGGTGTTGCTGTAGATAGGGCCAATGGCTTCCTTGACGACTTTCCCGCCAGTCTCTAGGCGTACCATGGACCCTTGGATCTTCTTTGTGAGGCGGTTGAGCTTCTCGAGGTTGGCGTACAACACCTCAACCTCGGCGCTCTCTTCGGCGTAGGCAGTATTCCGACCTACCATGGTGACAGTCAATCAAAGCAATTAGAGACCATGCCCGAGACGGTCATGTCTAGGGTAAAGTGTAGGTATGAAGTGGCCCTCCGACCTCTGATGATAAGCTCCCCAGACAGTTTGGCACGCTAGTCCCAAAACAGCCCGGCCCGTGATACCGGATCACGTGCATAGAGCTTGAAAGTTGGCACTTTTTGGGACATATACAAGGCCAATTGATTTAATGTAAGTATTTATTTGATCATATGAATACTGCAGATCAGATGGCGATTAACCAGCTTTCAACAGATTACAGTGGCATGATGTTGCAGCGAACTGTTGAGCAGCAATTACGTCATGGTTGATCGCCAGGCCCCGATTCGTACAGTGGCTTGGAAAAGTAGGCAGGGTTAACTTTTTTACCTTTTTCTTTCTCTCAACGGACCTGGATGCTGCATGCCTGTTCCATTCGACACTCTCCCTTCGTGACAATGGGCGCTGCGAGGGTAACTGGTCTTAAATGGACGGTACCCCCGGCCGCCCTAGCTGCATATACTGCGGGGGAATGGTCTCACCCCAGAGCGAAAGCGCGCTTCAGTGCCTCCAAGCCTCAATTCACGAATGATTTCAAGTCTAATCCACCGTCAGACGACCAAGAGAAGGACTATGGCTCCATCTGGAATAACATTGTGCATAAGCTCGACGGAGTTAAGCATACTGTTGGCTCAGCTGAGTGGGTAGACGTGGGCACTATTACCAATCTCATCATCCCGGACTGGGCACGATATATCCCAGCTACAGCCCAAAAGCTCCAACGAGAGCTTTCTCTATCTCCTGGGTCCTTGGCAGATGACATCTGGAAGGAGGCGCAGGACCCGGATATCAACCCTGAAATCCTGCAAGATGCCCAGGTACGCGTGAGCGGTGATCTCTGCGACGAGGAACAGGTGTTCAGGCGTCATCGGCAAAAGAGAGTCGTGAAGGCATTAGCTTCATACCTTGGAATTGCCGAGGAGGACATCCATCCTGACGATGTCCCAGTCATTGCCATGTGTGGCTCGGGTGGTGGCTTGCGTGCACTTGTTGCGGGTACAGGTTCGTACCTTGCAGCGCAGGAAGCAGGACTGTGGGACTGTGTCACCTACACTGCCGGTGTCAGCGGTAGCTGCTGGCTGCAGACTCTGTACCACTCGTCGATCGCGCATCGGGATTTCAACAAGCTGGTTGATCACTTGAAGAACCGACTTGGTGTTCATATTGCATTCCCACCTGCAGCTCTTAATCTGCTGACAACTGCCCCGACAAACAAGTACCTTCTTAGTGGTTTTGTGGAAAAGTTGAAAGGCGACCCCGGGGCGGACTTCGGGCTGGTGGATATCTACGGATTGCTCCTTGCAGCGAGACTGTTGGTTCCGAGAGGAGAGCTTGGAGTTTCGGATCGAGATTTCAAGCTGTCCCACCAAAGAGTCAACTTGATGGATGGTGCCCATCCGCTTCCTATTTACACGGCGGTTCGCCATGAAATCCCCGTTCTCGATGAAGAAAACAACAAGGATGAAAAGAAGCCCACTCCTGAGCAGCTGATGAAGAAGTCGCGGAACGAAGCATGGTTCCAGTGGTTCGAGTTTACTCCCTACGAATTCTTCTGTGAAGAACTCAATGCCGGCATTCCTACCTGGGCACTGGGTCGCCACTTCAAAGCAGGTCGCTCAGAGGCTACTTCCGAATATCTCCCTATTCCAGAGTTAAGAGTCCCCGGCCTGATGGGTGTTTGGGGAAGCGCTTTCTGTGCAACCTTGTCCCATTACTACAAAGAGATCCGGCCTCTTGTCAAGGGTCTTGCTGGCTTCAGTGGTGTTGATTCCCTCATCCAGGGCAAGAACTCAGATCTGATCCGAGTGCACCCTATTGATCCTGCAGGCATACCAAACTATGTTATGGGTATGAAAGATCAGCTACCAGATTCCTGTCCAGAATCTATCTTCCGGAACGACCACTTGCGTCTTATGGACGCAGGCATGAGTAACAACCTCCCAATTTACCCACTTATTCGACCCGGACGTGATGTCGATGTGATTATTGCCTTTGATGCATCTGCAGATATCAAACAAGAGAATTGGCTTTCCGTCGTGGATGGATACGCCAAACAGCGTGGCATCAAAGGCTGGCCCGTCGGTGCCGGCTGGCCCAAAGCGAACGCAAGCATCGAGGACGCCGAGAAAGCCCTGCGTGAGCCTCAGAACATCACCGACGACCAAGCAAACAAAAAACTGAACAAGGCCAAAAGCCATGACTCGAACAAATCAGCCTCCGATCGAAAGGCCAGCGCCAGTACAGACTTAGGCTACTGCAACGTTTGGGTCGGCACCACAGAACAGCGCACCTCAAACGAGGAACCTCCACCATCAAAACGACTCTTTGATCCTCTTCATAACGAAGACCATTCGGAGTCAGATTTCCATCTTATGCGCCCAGATGCCGGTATCGCCGTCGTCTATTTCCCCCTACTTCCAAACCCGGATGCATCAGGCGTCCCACCCAAACCTCAAGTTCGTCCTCGTGCAGCAGCTCACTCTATGAGACAAGATGCCTCCCAGACCAAAGACCCTGAACAACCCCTCGCCCCACACCCCAACTCGATTGATCCAGAGGTTGATGATTTCTTGTCCACATGGAACTTCATCTATACGCCTGAGCAGATTGATTCGGTGGTTGGTCTTGCCAAGGCCAACTTTTCTCATGGCGAGGAGCAGACCCGTCGTGTTATCCGCGCTGTCTATGAGCGGAAGAAGACTGATCGATTGAATAAGGAGGCGCAGGAGCATCGGAAGCAGATGGAGGGATTTGTCCCTCTGTGATATCAGCACCCCCCAATTCAACGCTTTCTATCACTATCTTCAACACTTCAAGGTAGCACGAGATGACGCATTTCCATCTCTACATTTACATACCCAACCTTTCCTTTTCATATTTCCTAATGTCTTCGACTAGATAGAATCATACATCTAGATTTCATCTTTCAGCGTCTGGTATATTTCCATGTGTGTATAGAACAGAGCAAAGGAACTGTGACAATATCATAATCAGATATCGGCCTACTATCAAGTATATAATGCCGACCTTTGGCTTTAGAGAGGAAAGAAGCTAGAAACAAGTTAGCCAATTTTATCAAACAGATACTAGGGGACCTATAAACCTGATAGGTCAGGTGTTCACCTTCCAAATCGGGCCAACACCCTCTATCATCACCTTCAAGCAAATACAAACTACACCCCGCCCAAATAGTCTAGTGGTAAAACGCGACAACTAGCTGCAGCGCAGAAAGCCTACAGCGAGGATGCGAGCAGTCCTGCGATTTCCCACTATCCTCCAGGGGTGCTTTTTCCCCCCTTACTCAAGTCTTCTTAAGTTTCGTTCTCAGTCCCTTTTGTATAGAGATCATGCGCCGATATGGCTGATGTGTCTTTCTCGGTTGATCATAATGGTATCTCGTATATCCAAAAATGCAATACAAATGCACGTATACAGTCCAACGCTAACAGTGATTATATTACTTGCCCTTATCCCCTCCATTCTTTCCATTCCCAAAATTCGTCTTCACCCCTTTCAAATCCTCAGCACTCGCATTCGCCTTCACTTTCCGCCCTTCTTCGTCCGTAGTAAATCCCATCTCATCTTCACTCCCAGCAAGACTTACGTCCTTGGTCTCATCCCCCTGCTTCCTTAACCCGAGTTCCTTCTCAAGTGCATGTGCCATGTCCTTCGCTTTGGCAGTTACACCGGCAGAAGCACTCTTTACTGATGAAGTCTCCGAAGAAGTCTTTTTCTCCTCTTTATCCGCATGTCCACGCCAATCAGCAGGTCCACTTTCTGGAATTGGTTCCCCAGGCTTCGGCTCGCTGATCGGCCTTCCTTCTGCGGATGCAGTTGTATCAACGCTCTTCCCTTTGCCCTCGCCGGCAGCACTGGCAGTGGCATTGAGATCAATCGAATCAGGTGGCGGATACCGCCATACAACCTTCAGCTTGTCAATTGCGCGAATCCCCTTCCTCGCGCTACCCTTGATACCATCCATAGCGCTCCATTCTGTCTCGAAGACACCCGAGTCATGGTCTGCGCCGCCTTCAAAGTATGCGTTGAACCAGACGTGTGCAATGGACGTTACCATTGCGAAACCTGTGTAGGAGGCTTTGCTGCGTCGTTCGAAGTCGATGTTCACGTCTGAGTTTGGGACTATGACTGGCTTGCTGGGTCGGAAGATTATCGCGGGCATGCGTGCTCCTGTGCCTGTGCCTGATCTTGTTCCTGTTCCTGAGACGTCGGATTGTGAGCCCGAAGCTGCAGGTGACCAAGTAGCAGCTGGAGGAAGCGGTTTCCCAGTTGGTGGATCTGACTTCTTGTCGCCGCTGCCACTTCCACTCCCATTGCCACCCTCCGACTCAGTCTCAGGCGCAGAATCACAGTCTGCAACAACAGTGCGCTCACTCCGATGGAACAAATGCACACACTTAATCTTCTTCCCTTCATTTTCATACCCCTCCACAGCAACCTTGACCCCATCTCTCAAGCCCCAGATATGAATCTCGAGGATCTCAACAGGACGCTCAAAATACTCTTTCCCCATCTCGTTTGTCCACCGATCCACATAGTCAACATATCGCAATTGACTCGGAATACTAACGCCGTGCCCGAATCCCACGCGCATGCGTCGCTCAGTAAACCGCTGCAATGCGTCTTCCTTCTTCCACCCTTCTTGACTGATAAGGTACGAACAAGCGACCGTCCCACTGCGCCCCTTGCCAGCTTTGCAATGTACAACAGCGACGCGCCCTGACCCCTTTTCGTTTTGGTTCTCCTTGTTCCTGTCTTTATCTGCCCCTTTGGTGTCTTTGTCGTCAAGCCGCTGTACCCAGTTCCTCATACTCCCCATTATATTAGGAATCAGCGCAAAGGGCGGTGGATGGTGATCCGGCCAGGGGAAATGATGGATTCGATCGTAGACTTCGCTGTCTGGGTATCCTGTGCCCTCTGCGCGGAACTCCCAGATACACCAGTTTGCGCCATGTTTGCTGTCCAGGAAGGTTACTAGAGCGTCTAGTGGGTTGCGGTATGCGCGCTGTGGGTATGTTGCTGAGGGGCCGGAGGTTGCGATGACTGCGGGTGTTAGCTTAGCATGAACTAAATTCAATCATGGCAGTATTTCGAGAGTGTGATTTACCATTGTCGGTGACATAGCACAGATCTAGTCCTGCTTCTGGGTGTTGGAGTCGTGGTCCTGCGACTATTTGGCGGAGAATTGATGACTGTGGTCTCGTTAGTATCGGTGGCTCCTGGTAAGAAGATGGGTCTTACCATTGATGTGTAGCTTCTAAGGTGCAATATTTAGGACTTGCACATGGAATTGTCTAGATCTTGAAAGAATAGCAAGAATGTTGAATGTTTACGGAGGCAGGATCGCGTAAGGCGCAGCGATGATGTCACTGCCGATATCAAGATCTCAGCTACAATCAAGTCACAAATACTTCGTACACAAGCAAAGGACACAGTAAGTACAGTCAAATTATTCAAGAACTATAAATACAAGAAGCTTTTCAATATATCCAATCCAATCAAATCCAAAGGCGCCCAACGCCAGACATTAAGGAGCGACATGCCGGCGTGCGCCAGACTCAAAGCGAGTCCATTTCATTAAACACTAGTTTCAAAAGGAATAAAGAGGAACCAAAAAAGGCAGAAAGAAGACAGAATAGAATGAGAGAATGTTTACGCAACACCATACTCCTCAGTAGGCTTCATAGTGAAGTTGAATGGCTTGTGGTCCTTCACCGTCACATTCTTCACGCCCTCCTGGTACCAAGTCGCGAGATCATGGTGCTCAGCATCGAGGTAGGTATTCCAGCGGTGGGTAATGTCAACGGCCCAGACGGGATTACCGGACGGCGCAACAGTGGTCGTGATGTTCTTGTCGTCGCAGTAGACCTTCTTGTTCTCGGGGCCTTTGCAGTGCGTGTTAAACTTGGGGGTGTAGCTGTTGCCGCTGCCGGTAATGTTGAAGTCGTAGTAGCAGCCACCGGAGGAACAGCCCAGCTTGAAGTTTGACACCTTCCAGGCAATCTCTTGTGTGATTGTCTTGCTGTTGGCTAAGTTGTTGGTGGCGGGGAGGGCGGTGGCAAGGCCGAGGAGGGGGAGGAAGGCTGTGAGTTGCATTATGGATTATGGGATAACAATGTATATGGATACAAGGAGGATATGTGAAATGATATACAGAGTCAATTGAGGGTTGTAGTTGACAGGAATTGGGAGAGAGGTTGGGGTTATATAGTTGGAGTGCAGGGTTCCCTTGGCCCTTGGAACCCACCCTGCCGATCACTAAGGGGATTCATTGGACTATACGGACACGATGTGTATACGGGCTCTTACGAACTGCTTTGAGTTCGCGATAGATTGCTTCTTGAACTCTTGGTATCGCTCGTCGTTTGACCCTCCTTGAAAGGTCTTACTCTCTCACCTCTTCGCCCTGATCGTCACTGAAAGCGCGTTTCAGATGAGCGGAGACTATTTATAGCCGGGTCCACAAGGATGTCTGTGGTTCACGGCCTTGGGATTTTACACAAAAGCAAAGAGGCAAAAGCAAAGAGGCAAAAGCAAAGAAACAGGGAAGACGTAAACCTGGTGTCAACGTGCCAAGTCCGAGCAATTAACCTGTGTTGTACAGAGAATGATATATATACATGCCGAGAACTCTGCCCCTGGACCTCGAGAATGCGCAAGCAAGCTTGGCTGCATATTTCAGGCAACATGCCGTCGAAACATGAGCTTCCCCTGTAGACACTCGGTAGTTTCACTCGGGCCCATTTTCAGGACTTTCACCACATTCAGCTCGGCCTTCTTGCTTTCGCGCAATAGCCATTAACCGGCGTTTCTTCCTGCGACGTTCTTTGTTCACCTCGACCCGTTCTTCGTGCGACATATTCATGCGACGAACTGCTGGGTGGATCGGTTCCCCTGATTTTTGCAGTGCCTCCCATTCCTCCTTCTGCTGCTGGATTTCGTCGTCGAGCCTCTGTACGTCCTCTCTAATTGAAGGGTGATACTGCAGTCGCATTGCGAATTCATCCACAGATCCACTGCAGATCTCGAGGATTTCCTTCTGTGTTTCCGGGCTGACCTTGGCGTCCCGCTTGATCAGGTCTTGGAAGTACATGAAGCCGGAGCGGAAATTTCCCGCGTCCAAACACATGAGGATGATAGACTCGAAGGTTGTTGCGTTCGGTACAACCCCAAGTGACGCCATCTCTTTCACTAGGAACATGCCAGATTGGCGGTCCTTTGCTGTTCGACACATTCGAATCAGCGCGTTGTAGATTCGCACGTCTGCCCCTTCGGGACATAATGTGTAGAGCTCTTTGTAGAAGCCCACGCCATCGTCGACGACTGATGGGTCCTCGTGGGAATTGTGTTCGCAAAGGTCGACAATGACACAGACACAGTCGAGGGGAATGTATCGTTTCTCATTCTTCAGCCGCTTGAGTATCTGCCAGGCCTCCCGGCGATCGGTCTTGTGTTCGATCATGTATGCAAGGACAGCCTCGGTCGAGGAAGCTGCGAGCGGGGTTCCGGATTCATGCATGCTGCAGAGTGCTTCAAACGCGGCTGGAAGATCACCGGCTGAGACATGCGCCTCGACAAACTGCTCATGCTGTCCCTGACCAAGTTTAATGTTATTCTCAGAGAGGTAGCGGAATACAGACAAGGAAATTTCTGTGTCGCCAACCTTGGACGCCACCTTGAGAACGTTATGACATATTTCAGCCGGTGGGTGCATATAGCCTAGTTCAACTCTGCGCCGCCACACGAAGCGAACACAAGGATGGTGCAAATATTCGCTGGCCGTGGTCAAGACATGCGCCCAAAGAGGATTGCTCATGTCATGGCCTTGGTCAACTCGAGCGCACATCAAATCGAACACCTCATGGAATTCATGATGATCGCAAAGCGTGTAAATCATCATACCATGTAGCCAGTTCTCGATAAATATATCCTTCCGCCCCATAAGTGCAGCCTGCTCCAGCGCAAGCTCGATCTGGTTCTCACGAAGCAAACCAGCTACCACAAAATGCCAACCGGCCGGACTCAACGTAAGCCACCGGTCTCGAAGTTTGCAGAGGATTTCCTGCCGTAGTAAATAGTCCGGATGTACAGCGAGGACCTGTCAGGGTTCAATGGTAAGCTTCAATTGCCAATTCACGCCGTGTGAAATCATCACTAACCTGCAATGCACCGTGGAGTGTGCCCGAGTCTGCTGTAATCCCGTTCTCCTCCATTTCTTCCAGTAGCCCTCGTACTATATTCGGTGATCCCCGCTCGCAATCTGTATTGGCGAGGATCAATGCCTTGTAGTGGCGAGCTGTTGGCCTAATATGACGATCCCGAATGAGAAGCCGTAGTACTTGTGTTGTGTGTCGAAGATTCGGTTGTTTATCTGCCATGTGTTGTAAGAGTGCTTCTAGAGCACTATCTGGCTTTTTGAGGAGGTCTTCCTGCACCTTGTGGTAGGATCGGGGGTGCCAGCTCTTCCGTTGTCGCGTGTGTTCACGCCGGGTTTTCTGGCTGGGCCAAGCATCATTGTGTTCGGAGATCTCATTTGATTCGGGGTCTTCGGGAATTTGAGGGTTGTTATGGTCTGAGTATTGTGTCGGGTTTGGGTTGCCGTCGAATGGGGTGCTGTAACACCGTCTTGGAGTCGAGTTTACGACGGAGATCGGGGGTAACCGTGATATCCTCAAGTTCCGGCTGTGTTCATGGAATATTGTTGAGCGACTGGCATTAGCGAACGATGGACATAGGGAATACCATAGTCCATCGAAAACCAGCGCTCGCCGTGACATGTTGGCGCGCATCTACTAAGATGGACAATCGAACTCCGCGGATTTGATCTCGACTTGATATCACGTGATATCACACAATCTTCTCGAATATTGAATACTTTAACAGTTACAAAAGAAAGAGGGCACCAGTCCGGGTTTTTAGTTGTAACATTTCTAGGTGTAAACCGAAGTGACCCAGATCCCGTGAAAATACAGAGCCCGATACGCCACGGCCATGCTCGACCAAATCGTTCCACCGGACCTTCCGAGCGACCTTACCACCGTCTCCTCCGGGGGTATCTCGTTTGACTTCTTCTTAAATCATGCAGGCGTATCTCTTTAGTTGCCTCGTCCCCGACCGCGACCACGTCCACCACGACCACCACCGCGGCCGCGGCCACGCTCACCGTCCCTCCCGTGACCGCCGCGACGGTTCTGTGGTTGGTTCTGTTGCTGTTCCTTGACAATATCGACAATCTCCTCGGGTACTCGTAGGTATTTGATCTGGAAGACTGTTAGTTACTAGATATGGCAAAGTGGGGTGGTTCATAGCGAGCACGTACGTTGTTGCCTCGGATGTAGACTTCGGGTAATCTGAAGAAGCGGTCGCCTTCTGGGCTTGTCTGTACCACCTCGCGGAGAATCAAGTTCATGAAGTTGTCGCAGGTGACCAGGTGGCCGTTGAGAGTTTCGCCGTTCTTCAGCTCCACCAGCATGGGGTGGCCTTGGGCGGCCGTAAGTAGACCGAGGGGAAGCTGTTATAAATATCGTTAGGCTGTGTTAAGAGAGGGTTCTGAGTCGCTGGAGCTTACCATCTTGGAATGCGAACGAAGTGGGTGAAAGCGGGAGGTTGAAGGACGGGGCACGGGTTCAGAAAAGCGCGGTGTGCAGATCCACAGTCGGATATGGATTCAATAGTAGAATAAGAGCCCAATGAAAGGGTCTGTTGGTTTATTTGGAGACGTTAGGTGTAGCAATGGGTTTAAGCAAGCTCCATAAGATGCGATGGAGGCGGCCGGAAAAAGAGTAGCGCCGAGCCCGATCTGGCCCTGCCATCGGAGTATAGATGTTTTTATATCTCTGCATATTTACATACTACCAGTTAGTTACCTTTACCTCTGGACATTGATTACATTTCAAGTCAGTTAAGATTTTAATAGACAATCGGATTTCTCATTTTCCTCATCCCAGGCCGGGACAATAAATTAAGGGCAATACTAAAAGGACCCTAGAATTGAGTATTTGGACCCCATGGCCTTACGCTAAGCCTAATTAGGCCTAGCCTAGTAATTGTAATTCCAATGCATTAATCGGTAAAAATGCATCAGTTCTTGGCAGTGCTGGATGCCCCGGGTATCGGCGGTCATAAACCTTGGGTACTTCATTTACTATGCAGCTCTCTAATAAAATTAAGTCACCACCGTTTCTTACCAACAACCAACTGGACTCAGTAGCTTCTTGACCCCAAGATACTTCCATTTACTATGCAACCCCCTTATTAAATTAAGTACCGACCACTGCTCAATTTCCTAGAATCGCACTAGTCCCAATTAGGAAACAGAGGCTGATTTGAAAACTCCGCAGATTTGAAGGAATCCAGCTATTGTGGTCAAAACGTACGAGAAAGCAGTAAATTTTGACATATTTCCTATATACAGATATGTCCAATGCGTTCTGACGCTATTCAGAGAGCTCTCCGACGCTTCCTGAGCCGGTCGGACCAGGTATTCTGAGCCTGGGCCGCGCCCTGGGCCGTAGACGAAGCTATTCCTAGTGCCTGAGATGCCACCGGCGACGTAGGAATGCTTGCAGACAATGCCTGGGCCGTAGACGAAGCTATTCCCAGTGCCTGAGATGCCACCGGCGACGTAGTCGATGCGATTCCCGACGCCTGCGACGTAGGACTGCTCGCCGGCGACGTCGGGGCCGTAGCCTGAGCTCCCTGGGCTATAGACGAGGCTATTCCCACCTGTTGTGTGCCTCCACGTCCTCGTCCTCGGCCTCCACGTCCTCGTCCTCGTCCTCGACCTCGTCCTCGACCTCGCTGTCCCCCCCGTTGTATCCGCCGACCCTCCCGTGCTTCCTGGGCATCCACGATCTCAAACAGCGACGGATCCCGCTGCGTAGATGATGCCGTAGACGTCGGAAGGTTATTCAATGCGCCCTTAGGCCGCCCGCGGATGCTGGTAAGGATCTCGGGTTCTTGGAGAAGGTGGCTAAGGCCGATCGGCGGTGCTTCGGTCTCGTAGAGGTGCCACTGGGTATGAAACTGCGATAATTTGACAGAGACACCTATCATGTCAGCCCATTTGATGTCATGGATGCAGGGATAGCCCGTAGCCTTGCAGCCAGGCGTACAACCGACGGCGAAGGGTCTCTTGCCGGGTATACCCTCATCCTCCGGAAGATGCGCATGGTATAGCTTTAAGACCCGCCCGATCGCTTTTCGTGAAACCAGCCGTAAGACGTCACGGACGATCGGATGCCGCATAGCAGATAATACGGTCGGCGATCGCGCTTTCTCGTCGGCGATAGCTTGCTGAGAGAGCTTGAATTGCCTAAGAATAACAGTCTCGAAGCAGTGAAGCAGGGCAAGGAGGTTACGCCGCGAATTCTGGAGGTCTTTCTTTAGAGCTGCATGAGCACCCTCTACGCGAGATGTCGATGTCTCGCCGAGGTGGAAGAAGCTATTCGTAAAACAGCGTAGCACCTGCCGACCGGACTCGATGATCCAGTGCTTCTCGATATAGGTAAGGAGGTTCGAGAAGACTGGCTCACTATAGCAGCTACAAAAGTATAGCCACTGCTCTCTCATACGTTGCTCAGTCTCAGCGAAGACGACTCGATTCCAGCGCTGCAGCATCTTTAGCCAAAAAGCAGTGGCATACGCGATGTATGCCTCCTTCTCGACCTCGCCGGCGTCAATCAGGGCCTTCACATGTTTCCTAGCCGCCGGTATAGCCTTCGCCTTGATATTCGAGATAACATGCCACAAGCATAGCAGCGAGGCTGTCGTTGGCAATGCTACTGCGAGCGCATTGAGGAGGGCTTTCTCTTTATCAGTGAATACTGTGAGAGGCTTCCCGAGGCCATATTCATCGTAGATACCTTGTAGACAGCGTAGGGCCCAGCGATACGCGTCCTCGCGCTCACTCGGTAGGAATGCGAAGCCGACACAGAATGACCTCCCGATCGAGTTGACGCCAATGATATCTAGCAACGGCATATTGAAGCGGTTAGTCTGATACGTACAGTCCATCCATAGCACCGAGGGAGACTGTCGAAGCTGCGCAAGGCCAGTACGATGTATCGCGAAGACGCCTGATACTGTCTCGCCGTCGGCTTGAGTGGTATGGCGTAAGATCCAGTCTCCATGCTTCGGCAGCTCTTCGAAGAGGGCTTGTATCGGCGTCCGACCGGCAAGAAGCTCTTGAAGAAGACGTCTAGCACGGTTGTAGATGTCCGCCGGCCTAAGATGAATGCCCTGGCTAGCTAGAAGCGAGATGATCTGGCGTGGAGGGATCCCTTGGCGTATAAGAGGATCTAGAGTATCAAGATGAGGCTCGAGAGCTCGCCGGCGCAGCGTAGGATGAGTTGATTGAGGCCCCGGTTCGTGATTGTGCTCTCCATGATCGACCTGTAACCGCCAGAGACCGGTCTCCCGCTGTAGGCGGAGATTCAGACCGTACTCGCAGCCAGTCATAGACGTGAATGTCTGCCGAGAAGGTCTAGATAAAGCCGTATTCGCCACAGGAAGCTCGGGAGAAGCCGCCCGGCTAGAGTCTGGGCGTCTACCACGGTCGCATCGAAGAACCACGATGTATAGCCCATCGGTAGCGTTGGATTTGGTACGGCGCTTAACGACTGCGTAGCCAGTAGGCCCGAGGATGCCATTTATCGTATCAATTCCTTCCTGGAAAGTCCCGAAGAGCTGCCCGTCTTCGATTGTAGGTGTCTCCGCCGGCTCAGGGTCGATTTCAGGGCCGATTTCGATAGGATCAGGGGTAAAGAAGCGACTCGATGAGGCCGACGACCCTGCGAGACTCGAATCCCAGTCAGTCTCATTGAATTCAGGGGTGTGGGAGCCGATTCTTGGTGCCATTTCGACGTTTTGGTAGAGGGATGTCAACAAACAGTATGGTGATAGTTGCAACGCCCTCACGGGGCCAGTATCGCTATTTGTGAGCTGAAAATTTCAATAGAGACTGATTAGCCATTTCTGAGCGATGAAATAATTTTAGAAATTCGTATCGGCTATATTGGTGATGTTGTGATGTGTTGAAATTGGCGAGATGCATGAAGCCGTAGACATGGAGTTGGCGATGCCCTAATTACGGGGTAATTAATTAGTGGTGCTGACCTTTTAGGACTAGTGCGATTCTAGGAAATTGAGCAGTGGTCGGTACTTAATTTAATAAGGGGGTTGCATAGTAAATGGAAGTATCTTGGGGTCAAGAAGCTACTGAGTCCAGTTGGTTGTTGGTAAGAAACGGTGGTGACTTAATTTTATTAGAGAGCTGCATAGTAAATGAAGTACCCAAGGTTTATGACCGCCGATACCCGGGGCATCCAGCACTGCCAAGAACTGATGCATTTTTACCGATTAATGCATTGGAATTACAATTACTAGGCTAGGCCTAATTAGGCTTAGCGTAAGGCCATGGGGTCCAAATACTCAATTCTAGGGTCCTTTTAGTATCTCCCTAAATTAATAGTACATCATATAGAGTTGCCCATGGCGACTCTAGTTCTTTGGGCGCTTGGCAAGCCCAGCTCCATCCTCCTCCTCCTCCTCCTCCTCATCTTCATCGTCCATGACTGTAAGTTTGCGCTTGACACGCTTATCCCGGCTTCCAGTGGGAGCTCCAATCTCTCGCAGGTCTTCCCACTCTCCCTCTCCATCTTCTCCATCTTTTCCATCACCCTCTGACAAGCGATCCTCGAGCGCATCCAAAGTGATTTCATATCCCTCTTCCACGTTCTGGACTGTAGCATCAAGTTTTTCCACACGGTCAAGAAGCTCCAATTCGTTCAGGAGTTCCTTGTGCTTCTTATAGAGACGCTGCTTGGTGAGCATGCGCCACCAGTAGTAGCGACGGTCGTTTTCGTCGGTGGCCTTGTACTTCTTGATCAAGAGCCGGGCAAGGTTTGTGCCACCAGCCAGGCGATGGCTCTTGGGAATTTGGCTTAGAAGATACATCTCCAGGACGTGTGCGAATTGGGTGGTTTCAATCTTGAATGATGTGCGGATATCGTGGAGAAGTTTGGTGGGAATTAGGGCAGAGGTTGGCACTACGCGGGGCCGTTTCTTTTGCGAATACGATCCAAGCGGATCAGGGTTGAGATTGACATTGTGCTTCAGGAACTCTGGTTGCAGCAGAGTGTAATCAGCTGTGTCGCGGAGTGCATCAAATTGTTCATTGGGGTCTTCGATGGTCAATTCCACAACGGTTGGGTCTGCGATGCAGGCAGCGTGAATTGTGGTGTATAATTGGTTGCCGTGACCGGAGCGGGAATGCGATGGGATAATGAGGAACTGCGCAATGCGAATCCGAGAGGGAAGTTCGGAGACCTTGACTTCCGGTAGTGGGAAGTCGCTGTTCTTGACTGTGGGAACCTCCGAGTTATCTCGCTGGTAACGCCAATAGCGATACGTTGTCGCATACCCAACAATGGAGTATGACGAGGCTGTTGGTGTGGGGGGTGTCACCTTCTCATATCTGCATTTTGGATAAGCTAAGGCCACAACCAGTAAGCAAAGGAATACTCACACGAAGTAGACTGTCCACCGCTCAAGAGTCCATTCTGGATCATCAGTCTCCAGAGGAGTTCCGGCCTCAATGAAGAGGGAGACGAGGATCTGGACGCGATCCAGAAGTTTCCGCACTTCCGGGTCTGCGAGCGATCCAGCCCAGATCTCATATTTTCTGTCGCCAACATCGTATCCGATGACAAACTCGCCCGGGGGCTTGAAGTCTTTGGCGTTTGGGTCCTCCTGGACAGCTCTCTCGTAGTTTTCAAGGTTGCCGAATGCCTCTGTGCAATAAAGCTTAGCTGATATCGCCCATATGGGTTTAAATTTCTGACTCACCTTCCTGAGCAAAAGGCTTTAATGTATCGAGAAGATTGAGAGCTTGTGTATCGCCGATCGGCTTGAACTTCTCATCGTAGGAAATGTGAATGTGAGGGCGCAGATCATGAGCGGCAAAGCGCAAACGGATAATCAGCCCCTTGTAACCAAAGATTTGTTCATCGTCGCCGAAAATAGAATATGTGAATTGAGGGTGGAAGGTCGAAAGTGTCTTGGGCTTCTTTTCGCCGGGCTGAACGACAGTGATATGGACCGCATCGTTGGCGTCGCAGGACCCTGCATCGAAGATCAATTAGTGCTCATTGATTGCTGGCGCATTTTAATCTGACTTACATCCAGCTTCACTCGCCATTTTGACTGTATGACTTTGAGATGTGAAGGTCAGATGGTTGAAGAGAGAGCAAAGGCGCGCGTTACCCGCGTCGGATCCGCCGCGTCATTAAATCACGGCCTAATCCGGACTAGCGTCTGGATTCACACTCTTTGTATCATATTCACAGTCTAAATTGGTCAAGTTGATTATTAGCTATTGTTACATGTATCTTTGTTGCCACCGCTCCTGGTCTATTTTCCGTTGCTCATGACTCTTCTTTAAATGGGGAATCATCTCAATGGCTTGCTGAATTCCCATGATGCGCCCGATCCGTTCAAGCCTCGCAATTACCCAGTCATGTATTTCATCCGGTACCCCGGCTGCGCCCGCAACAGCTAATGGGAAAAGCAACATGAAGATACCGTTTAGTTGTGGTACATGCGATGGGTATTCGACGACAGCGCCACGCTGGGAGTGAACCTCTTGGCTTGCAGCTCCAGCGCAAATGCCAATTGCCATGCAAGAAATGGTGTCCATTGCCTGCTGTCGTTGAACAAAGTCATCCACAGTGGGCCACCTCATGCTTGAAATCTGGCTTAGGATTAGTTCGTTGACTAGTACTCGTCCCCAGCGGTAGTGGTTGAAAACTCTTGAGACCCATAGGTCTCTGTAGACATGATACTGCCCGTAAAAGGTATACTGGCGATCATCTGGCTCGTCTGTATATTTTGTAATGAAAGACCAATTTTCTGGGAGAGAGGTCTCCCAGTCTCGAAATTCGATCTCGAATAACGATGCCGAGGTGGCCACTGTCCTTGGGTCGTGGTCTCTTTCACGCAGAGATACATCGAACTTCATAAATCTAATCAATATGTCAACAAGTTTGACAGCTGGTACAACCTGCGGCGGTGCAGATTCCATGAGTTTTGGTGACCATTTTAACAAATCTAGAGGAACATCTCTTCTCGGCAGGAAATATTTGACAATCGAAGCAAAGCAGAATTGCAATTGGGCCCGATGGTCCAAAGTCGCCATTGCCCGTTTGAATGTAGATTGTCGGAGCAATGCAGTCGCGCCGTCTAGATGTACTGTCCAGCGATCCACTTGATTTGAGGAGCAGTTGACCATCTGCACGGGTTAGTATTTGGCTTGGAAGAGCATAGCTGTCATTCAACGTCTTACCTCGTATAAACTCAACATCAAAATCATGTGGAAGGTACTATCTGGATTTGCCTGGGCTGGATTACTCACTGCCTTCTGGACAGCGCTGATGACCATGGCATGTTTCTCTCTTGATAGTATTCGCAGTGCTTTGTCACGATTGACATTGGACATGGCAGCAAGGCCCACCGAGACGACGGCATCGCGAGCCGACTGATCATAATCCATTGCCCTAAAGTAATGTGATGGCTGTAATGTATGCGGAGAGCCATCTGGTCTAGCAACTTTCGGTGTCACAAAACGATTAACGAAGAATTTCAGCCCTAGTTCTTCCACTGAAGACGATGGCGGGGTGACAATACGTGGAGAAACTAAGACCATCTGATTTAATATTCTGTATGGCAATTCATCTGTCGGAACAAGCTCGGATTGTGGACTGGAGCTTGATGTATCAGACTTTAAAATCGCATCTTCCTGCTTTCGACGAGCCATTAATTTGGCTTTCGCTTCTGCAGTCCGTCGAGCAGTTTTGTCGTTCTCGCTGCGGAATATCATAGACGATATGTCTTGATAGCCACCGCATTCTTTGTTTCCTCGCTTGCATTGCGAGCATATAGGATCCAGCCGGTCACACTGGACCACGTTAGTTTCGAAAAAGTATGGGGCTGAGTTACAACTACCTTGATTCGTCTTTGCCGACAGCTTAAACAGCCTTTGCTGGGGTTACCGTAGTAAGGCATTGCTATAAGGAGAGTGTGTCATCTTCCAGGTCTAAATAGGAAAGGAGTTCGTCGTGATGACTCGGCCATGTGGGAGGCGTAGCTCCGGGAGGGCTGAATCCACTTCATCGTCTATTGGCCAAGCTGATTCGCTGGTTGATGCTTGGCATGACCTAATCGGGTAATCGTTTCATCGATTAGTTCGCAAGATGAAGCCTTTGACTGAAGCCTGAAAAAATACGATATCTGACCAGTGACAAGTGACTGAGTGTATATGGAACTCGGGTGTTTTTTATGCCGATTCTGTTTTATAAAGGCGGGACCCCTGCACTGATGTACTAGCCTTTTAAGTCTTCTGTACAGATTACAATGTCGCTCATCAACAGGGCTACAAGGGAGGACCTCTCCTATTATCATTATAACCCTTCATTGGCTGTATCAATTGTTGCAGCAATTCTTTATTCCATTGCTTTTATCTTGACCTTGGTTCAATGGATTCGATACAAAGCCTGGGTTTGGAGCGTCATGGTGGTGGCTGCTGCAAGTATGTATATTCTAACTCTGCCACTTCTTCAAAACTGACCTCTACTAGTGGAAGCTGTTGGGTACATTGCCCGCTGCGTTTCTGTTCAACATGTGGCTGATAGATCGATTTACGCCCTTCAACTCTGCCTCGTTATCCTCGCACCCGTTCTTATGGCCGCTTGTTGCTATATTCTATTCAGTCGTATTTTGATCCTCATAGTCCCTCAAGAGGCACGCACGTTGAAATTATGTTGGGTCCCTCCCCGGTGGATCACACCAATTTTTGTTGGATTTGACATCATCGCCTTGCTGCTGCAGCTGATTGGCGCCGTGATGATTTCGTCAGTCGATTCTACCGATACTGATGCACAGGATAAGCTGGATAGAGGAAAGCACATTGCGCAGGTGGGTGTCATTATCCAGCTGGCAGCCTTTGGATTATTCGCTGTGGCTGCTGTCCGTTTCAACTTTACCTCGAAACGCTTTGCAAAGTCTCTCGGTGATAGATATGAGGACTTTGGGGACAAGGAGTATCTCATTGATGGCATTGCCAAGAATAAGCATTGGCCTGCTTTGTTGCGAGTGGTTAATTTTACTACAATTCTGATTCTCGTGAGTTTCCCGCTTTGATTTCTTTTCACTTGCTAATCCATCTCAGGTTCGTTCTGTGTATCGACTGGTAGAATTCACCGAAGGCAATACTGGCTACTTGAATACGCATGAATGGCCCCTGTATGTCTTTGATGCTCTCGTCATCTATCCATGTGTCGCCCTCTTTGTCTACTGGCACCCTGCGAGATATCTGCCTTACTTGGGATTTCGAGTACCCAAGGAGGCGAACGTTAGCCGTGACTTTGAGCTTCAGATTCGATAAGCATCGCGGGATGGGTCGTGTTCGATGCTATTTAATTTAATTTCTTATTATATAAACTCTTATAGTATATAGTTATACAATCCTGCAATTGTTGCACACCTAGAAGTGGTTATTCAACTTGGAAGATGATCTGTGTGATCTCGAAACTCCGTTTACTATACAGTATGCGGGGACTGAAAATAGAACAAAGATCGACCACAATTGCAAGGGCCAGAGGGGCAAACCAGGGCGACCCTGTATACTTCAGTGTTACAATCTGACAGCATGATCTAGCATCAACCTTGCAGAGCCCTATGATTCCCTTCAAAATTCCTTGAATTCCTTGAACTCCTACTTGCCCCTATGTTTTGATCGAAAGCGGTACCTGACGTGGGTCCCGAACTTCTGCCCTTCCGACACGTTACTCTCCACCTCACCATGATTTGACGTCTAGTCTGCACATCATGGAGGGACTATTCACTCTGCTCGCTTTGAGCATTGTGATGGCAGTAACGTGAGCAGTTTGTCTGTCTATTCGAAGCAGCAGCTAACGGTTCTTGATTGGCAGATCCTTTGTCGTCGGCTCATTACCTCTCGCTTTTACACTCTCTCCGTCCCAACTACGCTTAATATCTTCCATTGGCATGGGAGTTTTGGTGGGAACTTCTTTGATCGTGATTATCCCGGAAGGCATCGAGACCCTTTACAGCGCCAACGCCCTCAGTCGCAAAGAACTCAATACAAGGGCGACAGCTGTACAATGGCACCAGGCACCCGCTGTGGCAACCGCCTTTGGTTCCAATGAAGCCAGCGCCCACCTTCCATCCGATGCAGTTGTCCCAGGTCTGCTCTTAGAAAGTGAAGAGCCAGTGCCCACCGTTCACATTGACGAAACCAAGTCGCAACGGTTGCGTGCCCGGAAGGATGAATCGAGCGACAAACTAAGCAAAGAATCAGAGCACGAAGATGAGGAGAGCTCGCCGCATGCGTGGATCGGAATCGCCCTCATCAGCGGATTCATCTTGATGTACCTCGTCGACAAACTACCCGAATTCGCAGCGCCTACCAAAATCGACCGGACCCCATACCATATCTCTCTGGACAACCTTGGATCGGGATTGCGACGGGGCTCCTCGCCCTCTCGCGAGGGAGGTTTCCTGGACGCAAACCATGCCAGGCGTGGCCACAGCTTCGCGACCACCACCGGCCTGGTGATCCATGCTGCGGCGGACGGAATTGCCTTGGGCGCATCCAGCTCCGATACCGGGCTGAGCTTCATCATCTTCTTGGCGATCATGGTGCACAAGGCGCCCGCATCCTTTGGCTTGACCTCCATTCTGCTCAAACAGGGTCTGTCAAGCCGTACCGCGAGAGCGCATCTACTGGTCTTCAGTCTTGCTGCTCCGCTCGGCGCCCTGGCCACGTTCCTCTTTGTACAGATGATGGGATCTTCCACCGCCGACGAGGCAGGCACTCATTGGCGCACTGGAATGCTTCTGCTGTTCTCCGGAGGCACTTTCTTGTAATTTTTCCGATCCCACTGATTTGACTTTACTGACCCCCCCCCCCTGCAGGTACGTTGCTATGCACACCATGCAGGAGAATGGCCCGGGATCGTCGCCACGCGAATTGCCTGTCAACGGATATGGTGACCGGGATCAGAGTGGATCGGACAAATCGATGAGAGACTTGATTGCTTCTGTTTTGGGCATGATCTTGCCTCTGTTCTTGCAGATCGGACATGCCCACTAACCAGGTGCACACTCTTACAGATGTGGCATGTTGCTTTTACGTTTTCGCTGGCCAAGATCACATTTTGGGAGCATATACCCTCTTTGTTTAACATATATTGAAGTTGACAGAGGTCTAGCTGGAAGATTGGAAGGGAGAAATTAGGCTGTTTTATTAGATTTGTACAACTGGGAAATGGAGTGTTGGTCATAATTGCATGGTATCTCACGATCACATCTACGTAGCGGTTCAGCCGTAGGTATTTAAGACCTGACGATCCCCGCGAGGACTCGGCAATCTTTAAATCATGTCATCCGGGGTGATGACAACATTCGTCAAGGCTAAGGCTCGTCAGTCTGAATCATCGGCACCCCGGACGAGTTCCATGGTCGAAAACAGAGCCGCGTATCCAAGAAGTATACGGAGGTATAAGTATATCAAGTTGCCTCGCGACACTCGTCTGCTTGCCGAGCATTGGCCTGGGAAAAGCGCTTCGGAGTCCCCGACTCGGACGGCCACTGGCCCCCTTTGCCTATTGCCTCTTTGCAATCGAGATTCATTGTGAAGGCAAAAGGCAAATTATGTTAAAGAAAAAAGGTCGATCCCTGCCCGATGCATGGACCCCATCTCGAGTCCGGAGAAGAGCTTGGCGGCTTTGTCAGACCCGGTCACGACATCTTCTCCGCTTAGCTTCCTTTCTCCCCTCTTCAAGCATCGTGACATTTGTTGATTTGCATACGGGGTGTTTCTGGTTTGACCTCCTCGGCATTCTCCGGCCCTCTTTCGCGCGCCCACCCCCCACCCCCAACGACCACCTACCCGAATCCCTCTATGCCTGACGTGGACGCTGCAAGGCTGAGTGTCTGGTACTATCGATAACTCCATATCGGAACCTTGGAAGAGCGACTATATAATTCAGGGGCTGTTCCCCTATTCAACCGGCATGGACTCCCATCGGGCATCATTCAGCGACTTAGGGGAAGGGAATGCGCACACTGCGGAGCAGTTGGACCCTCATTCTCAGCCTTCCCGCGACTCGGTCACCAGCTTTACAAGCACTCCCTCCAGATCTCTCAGTACTAAGAAAACCGTCACTCCGTTACCCGCCAACTTACTCCCCTCGGCGCCTGCATCACCCCCGACTCCTGCGCCGAGCCCGACTCCCCATCAACGACCCCCAAACTGGTATTCGACCGATGATGAAGAGAGCAGTTTCCTCCTGAACCTCCGCATACAATTTAGCACTCTATCAAACGCTCGGAAACAGAAACTTCTAGAGGGTCTTTTGGATATATGCGACAGCCAACAGTTGAGTTTCGTATCGAGTTACGTTGGTCCTCGACTACGGAAAGATCCATTCCAAGTCTTTCCTAATGAGCTATGTTTAAGGGTATGCTACGTGATTGATTTTGCTACCACTCTGACTCGGCGCTAATTTTGTTTCTCCCCAGGTCCTCTCCTTTATCGACGATCCCAAAACCCTCGCCAGATCTTCACAAGTATCCCGACGCTGGCGTGAACTATTAAACGATGACATCACATGGAAGAATCTATGCGAGAAGCATGCATATACAGTGCGGCGAGTGCTTGAAGATGAAGGGGACTTGGTTGACCCCTTCACCGCTCATCCCGTGGACTCGACTGGCGCACGAACCTTCAGCGGCCTGCAGCGGCGCTTAACCGCGTCAAACGGCCAGTCCACCGAGAGCGCACCGGACCTTCCCCGCACGCTTTCGGGGGAATGGTTGCCCCCGACCAGCTTCCCGGCACGGAGACGTCGCACCCGTCCAGTCTCCTATCGATCGCAATTCAAGCAGAAATACATGGTTGAGTCAGCGTGGAACAAGGGTGGTCGCTGTACCCAGCGACATATCACTCCTGATCAAGGCGTCGTTACTAGCTTGCATCTTACGCCGAAGTATATTGTCGTTGCTTTGGATAATGCGAAGATACATGTATATGATACCAACGGTGATAACCAGAAGACACTTCAGGGTCATGTGATGGGTGTGTGGGCCATGGTCCCATGGGACGATATTTTGGTCAGCGGAGGCTGCGATCGCGAAGTCAGAGTGTGGAATATGGCTACTGGGTAAGACAGAAACTCATCTCCACCCATGAAAAGGAAAAACGATGCTAACTAATGGTAGGGCGGGGATTCATCTACTCCGGGGTCACACATCGACTGTCCGCTGTTTGAAGATGTCCGATAAGAACACTGCCATTTCAGGATCAAGAGATACAAGTCTTCGCATTTGGGATCTGGCCACGGGGACCTGTCGGCACACACTCGTCGGACACCAGGCCAGCGTGCGCTGTCTTGCTATCCATGGCGACCTCGTTGTATCAGGTAGCTATGACACGACGGCTCGTATATGGAGTATCTCTCAAGGACGCTGTCTGCGCACACTTTCGGGCCATTTCAGTCAGATCTACGCGATTGCCTTTGACGGGCGTCGGATCGCGACGGGAAGTCTGGATACTAGCGTTCGGATTTGGGACCCGCATTCGGGACAATGTCATGCCATTCTGCAGGGTCATACATCTTTGGTTGGACAGTTGCAGATGCGTGATGACACGCTAGTCACTGGTGGCTCCGATGGCTCTGTCCGTGTCTGGTCCTTGACTAAGATGGCCCCCATACATCGACTTGCTGCGCATGATAACAGTGTGACTAGTCTTCAATTTGATAAGAGTCGTATTGTCAGTGGTGGCAGCGATGGCCGTGTCAAGGTTTGGAATCTCCAGACTGGCCAGTTACTCCGAGAGCTTTCTACTCCCGCTGAGGCTGTATGGAGAGTTGCCTTTGAAGATGAGAAGGCAGTCATTATGGCCAGTCGATCTGGCCGTACGGTTATGGAGGTGAGTTTCAGTCCCGGGGTCATATATATTACAATTGCTAATCATCACAGGTCTGGTCGTTCTCTCCGCCACCAGAAGACTACGATGATACCGCCATCGAAAGCTCCTCCAGCACACCTGGTCTCAGCTCTGTCAACGACAGCGAACTGGCCGTCCCACCACGGCACCGAACTCTCTTCTCCGATCCTCCGCCCTCGATCCCACCAGGCAGTGACAGTGACCAACTCATGCCCGACGCCTAATTATCGCATTTACTGATCTGATGTCATTCAATCTCATCCGACCCTAACCTGCCATCTAATGATATTACGCATACCCATTTATCCCATCATATTTATCTCCCCATCTTTTTGAGCGCGGTGGGGTTTTGCCATTAGTTGAGTGCTTTACCTTGTGAGTGAGCTGCCGGCGTTTCTACCTTTGTCCATGTCCATCCTGTGGAGCACTAGGCAGGCTGCATATTTGGTGTTGCGAGTCAGTTGGCTGTTCCTGTTGTTGTTTCTGGCAAGTCTCATATTGGACAAGTTGTCATACTGGAGTTATGGGATTAACCATATCATTTTGAGTCATTTTATATTTTCATCTGTTTTTTCTCCCTCTCACATCGACCATTTCGGAGAGATTTGTGGTGCAGCACATGATACCTTGTCTCTTCAGCTTTGCAAACCCGAGAATATGATTTATACATTTACATCTACATGTAATCCTATAACACTTCTTTTCCAATTGTCTATATGTCTCATCCTCGAATTTGGGGAAACCTCGGAGATGACTAAGCACGTCGCCCCGATTGGGCTCCATGGATATTAATCCTCTTTGCTTTTTGTACGCTCCACATCTTCGGATCAATCGTGGGCAAGTGTTGACCAAATAATAGTACACACACGCCCAAATCCAGAGAGCCAAATTGCCCATCCTTTATGATGTGCATGTTCTCTGCTCGGACTAGGCTGCCGAGTTGATTGAGCTTCTTGATACCCGCACTCCCTCTCGTGGAACCCACTTCACTCTGTGACCTGTGACCCGCTGGTCCCTGGTACTTTATCCTGAGCACGGTATCTTTGAAAGACTGAAGATTTCCTCGTGTGATACGCTACTGTCACTGCGGGTGAACAATGGTCTATGGGGGCAAGCCGAGTACCGGATGTTACCTGTGTCGCAAGCGGAAGATAAAGGTGAGCTTTGATTCTTAATTCTGTTTTCTTCTTATTAAATCATACTTTCGATTTGACTGGGATGTCCCTTACAGTCCTGTATGGATTTTTATTGATGGATCCATGCTAAGTGATTCAAGTGCGATGAAGCCCACCCCGAGTGCAGGAACTGCACTACCTACGGCCGCCCTTGTCCGGGGTATCGGCCTGATGCAGTCTTCCGCAATGAAACTAGGAAGGTTGAGCGGCTGGTGAAAAATGGCAATAATGCCAATGCCAGCAATAACAGCAACAGCAGCAGCAGCAGCCGAAGCAATGGCGGCAGCCAAGTCCATACGCCTGATTCCGAGTCATCAGTCATCGTGGCCGGACGCCGGCGTCCCGGAAGCATTCAAGGCAAGCCCACGTTAACTTTGTATCCGCCTGTTGATTCCAATTGGGAACAGAGAGCCTTATGTTACTTCTTTGATCAATTTACCACCAAAGCTGATGAAGAAGATGGTGGCCATCTCGACTATCTGCCTCCGCTATATGCACGTGAAATTGGTCGTCAGAGTGGGAATGCGCCGTCTTCTTGTTTGCGGTGGGCCGTTGATGCCACGGCATTGATAACTCTTGCTAATGCGAAGAATGCGCCTCCGCTCATGAACAAAGCAAGACTGAGGTATGGCAAAGCCTTGCGGAGCTTGCAGGAAGCTTTGGCGTCACCGGCTTATGCGGTTAAGGATGAGACTTTTGCTTCTGTTGTCTTGCTTTCTCTTTATGAGGATATTTCTGGTGAGCGGAATGGGCTGTTCAGCTCACATACTGCTGGTTTTGAGTTTCTTATGAAGCTCCGTGGTGAAGGGCAGATGGATCATCGACGTGGGAGGGATATGTTCAATTTTGCCTATACACATCTTGTAAGTGCGCCCATTCAGCAGAGATCCTTTTTATGCTTGAACACTAACGCTAGTTTAGTATGTTGAAATTCTAGCCCTAGGAGATAAACCTCGCTTCGATGTCGACTGGGTTCTCGGCATGCTAGACACCAACGACCCCGTCGAGCGATTGATGCTCACAGCATCCAGTATCTCCCAAGTCCTCATCTCCATGCGCACTGCCCCACCCCCAGACCAAGCAACCATAGAAGCATGGATTGCTGCCGGTCTGGAGCGCGATGCTGAACTTGCCGAATGGACCCAAACTCTTCCTGACCGCTGGCTCCCTCTCTTCGTCTACTCAGATCAGGGCGAGCCCCTCATGATATACAACCGGATCTCCATCGCTGTGGTCTGGAACTACTATCGCGCTGCACGGATCATGCTGCAGCAACTCCTACTCACCCTGCATGGCTCTCTAGATGCTATGAAAATGCAATCTTTTGCTTCGAAACCTCCGTTCACCCAACCGGACGACCCCAACCCCGAAACAACCCACCGAGCAACAATTCGCGAATTGACCACAGAAGTCTGCCGCAGCATCCCATTCTGTCTCTCGGACGTCGACAATCTCGGCCGCCCGGCGAAAATAGTCGGTGAATGGCAGATGCGCGGCGCACAGGGGTATGGTCTTCTCTGGCCATTGTGGTATGTCTTATCATGCGGTATGCCTACACCAGCACAGGTTGAGAAGATCCGCACTGTGCTATATCGCATTGGCTCTGAGCATGGTATCAAGCTGGCTTTGGTGCTTGCTCGGGAAGCTGAGCGCATCCGCGGTGAGCATGCTGAGGCGCCAGTTACAAATGCTGCATGAGTTTGCATGAATGCAATGAGCTATGTGAAGATATTCTTGAATAGCATATTTCCTATTGGGGGGGGGGGGCTTGTTTCAAGGGGTGTTTACCAGTCGGGCAGTTTGGTGTATCTCTGGATATCTCGGCTTTGTATACTCGGAGTCGCGGCACGGCCGGAGCTCGTGACGTCATGCAGACTTCGCGCTAACTTCCCTGATATTGACTCGATATGATTGTGACACATGTAAATATTGATTGAAATGAGGATCTAATATGTAATGCGTCGAATATATCAAGTCTGTATCTAGAAACGAAAAGATAGAAGCCAAGGAAGAGTAAATAAATGATCTATGGATGATCGACGAATGCGGAGATAAGCCCCTCGAACTATGCAACTTATGCAACTTGTGAACCACTGACGCCATGTTCAGCTTTCATATCTTGCGTAGCATTGCTTTCCCTTTTTAACCATCTCTTCCCTCTCTCAGCCCGCAATTTGCTCAATCTCCTCTCTACTCTCTCCCTCACTATGGCACTGGCACAGCAAGACCGTAAGCTTCCCTTTGGGAAGATCGAGCCTAACTCGTTCAAATACTTCTACAGCTGTGGTCTCGGCGGTATCATCGGTATGTATTCCTTCGGTTTTCTCCCACTTTAGCTCAAAGCATATACTAACAAACAATACCAGCTTGTGGTAAGCAAAAGCACCAAGATAGCCATTCCCATCTCCAATTCGAATAACACCATGCAGGACCAACCCACACAGCCGTAACACCCCTCGATCTAGTCAAATGCCGCCGCCAAGTCGACCCAAAGATCTACACTTCCAACCTCCAAGCATGGCGCTCAATCTTCTCAAAGGAAGGTCTGCGCGGCGTTTTCTTCGGCTGGTCTCCCACCTTCCTGGGATACTCGATGCAAGGCGCCGGCAAGTACGGTCTATACGAGTACTTCAAGTACCTCTACGGCGACCAGATGTTCCCCCAGACCAACCGCACCCTCGTCTTCCTGGGCGCCAGTGCCTCGGCCGAATTCTTCGCTGATATGGCTCTCTGTCCTATGGAGGCTATCAAGGTTCGCATGCAGACTACGTTGCCGCCTTATGCTTCAAATTTGAGGGAGGGGTGGGGTAAGATTGTCTCGAAAGAAGGTCTTGGTGGTTTGTATAAGGGTCTTTATCCCCTGTGGGCGAGACAGATTCCTTATACTATGACTAAGTTTGCGACGTTTGAGGAGACTGTTAAGGTTATTTACAAGACGATGGGCAAGCCTAAGGAGGAGTATGGGCAGTTGACGCAGACCGGTGTTAGTTTCTTGGGTGGTTATATTGCTGGTATTTTCTGTGCTATTGTTAGCCATCCAGCTGATGTTATGGTTAGCAAGTTGAATGCTGATCGGAAGGGTGAGTGTCGAGCTTCTTTGGTTGGATCTGTGAATTTGCTGACGGGTTGATAGCTGGTGAGGGTGCCATGACTGCTGTATCCAGAATCTATGGTAACATTGGATTTTCTGGTCTGTGGAATGGCCTGCCTGTCCGTATTGTGATGCTGGGTACATTGACTGGCTTCCAATGGCTCATGTAAGTGATTCCCCTCGTATTGTGGAGGCATGGGCTGACGATGTGAAGTTACGACTCATTCAAGGTGTTCCTGGGTTTGCCTACCACTGGTGGTCATTAGATAGACTTTTGAGCATTTGTATGTAGCAAGGAGTTCAAGTTCAATTAATTCAACGAGTTCAGTGTATCAAGGAAGTTGCATTGTTGCCGAAGCTGTAGCTAGTTGGTCTCCACCGCCTTTGGGCGTCGCGGCAGAATAGATCACCGCCGCTCAGACTCGCGACGTCCGCGATACCACCGACTTAAAACCTCACAATACCTTCAATCGGTACATTAAATCTCTCGATCCCACCGACGACTGAACGACCTGCTCTATATACACAGAGCTCGCCGCCATCTCCTATTTCTTCCCTTCTTTCCCCTCTACCTTTCTGAAGCTTTCACATTGATCCCTGCCATTCACATCTTGCTCAGCTTCTAGCCTCCAAGCCTCGTTTCTGAACCTCGCCTTGGTTCGTCTCACCTCAAACCTCCCACCCATTTCGCCGCCTAATACATCCCACCCTCCGCCAACAATGGAAGCCTCCCGCCCATCCACCATCCCGCCGGCCAACCCCCGAGCGTGGAAATCGCCTACAAGCGCAAGTGCATTGCGCTAAAGCGCCGTCTGGCCGAAATCGAGACAGAGAATGAGTTGATGCGCACTCGCAATAGCCGGAGCCACCAGTACATCCAGAAGATGCGGCTGGAGACATGCATGCTCCTGGAGCGGCTGAACAAAATCACCGGCATGTCCGAGGAGGCCAAGGCCGGCGCTATCAACGCAGATCTGCGTGCGCGCGCCGCTGCAATGATGACTAGCTCTGGTGTGCCCGAAGGCACTGGTGCCACCCTGGAAGATGACACCGAAGGCAGCTCAGATGAGCAACCCCGGACTGTACGTTCCACTTCCTTTCATCTTGCTCTGAGAACACATCCTCCCAGCTTCCCTTTCACTCCGGTCTTGCTTTGATTTCTCACGTTTCGTCGTTGTGATATCTGGTCTAACATCTCTCACTTTGCAGCCTGAAGAACGTCCCCTACGCGTCAAGCGCTCCCGCAAGTCTGCCGTCCCCGGTATCGACGGCGATGCTGAAGATCTCCCTGCCGGCCCTGATGGTCACCACCATGAGCATATAGACCCGGCTGGTCTGCCCCATCACCTCCCGGCTCCCACCCAGGAGTCGCTCACTCATTCATTCCGCGTGCAGACTGGCAATGGTTCTGCCGATCAAACCCCTGCCGCCCCTGAGGCTGGCCCCGAAGCTGGGGCTATGCCCATGGATATGGATAAGGGAGAAGTAAAGGAAGAGGCAAAGGAACAGTTTTAGTCGGGAAGCTGTCTGTTTTGTTTTTAGGCGCCCCGATAAGACGTGGCCTGGGCCTGGGTTGTTTACTTTGTTCTATTTTCTTTTATTTATTTATTTTTATCTTCCTCATTTGTTTTCGGCGGGGATTCTATGCATCGGGCGTGATGCGGGGCGGGCTTTACTTCTTTTCTCCCGGCGTTAGGGCCCGAATTTATCTGAGAGATACCATGCCGGATGCATGGCTGATGCACTTTATCTTCTTGAGTAGTTTGTAGATATTTGTATCATGGCGCATTGATATGTAGGCAGTATATCGTGAAGAAAGGTGCATAAAGCACAAACATCTGTCACCACTGCTGTACCTTGACAAAGCTTCAACACACTCTCTGCTTTGCTTTAACATACAGCTTCCCATACTCCCAGGTGTGGCCGCCTATTGATATGCTTCTCAATTACTATCTTAATAAGCCTATTTCCATGTAATCACTGTAAGCTATATCATTTGACTCTAAACTTCGTGACCTTGTATGTGTCACGTGAAACCCATAACTGAGCCCTAAAGTTCTGCTGATAGATTGGCCAATACTTCGCAAATCTTATTCCGAGACCACCGACCTTGTAATCCGGGTCCAAGCAGGTCATACTGCAGGTAGTCGGCTCTGAAAGAGGTAAACAAAGGCGAGAGAATCATTCAATGAGAATGTCATCCTCAATACATGATCTTTGAAGCTGTTCAAGGTAGTCCGGAGGCATTTCGACCAAAATACCTGGTTCTGCAAATCTGGAACCAAGTCGCTTTGGAACACACTGGGGGTGACCTTGAATTTAAGAACAACATATGTTGAGGCTCGGGACTTCCCTCAATAGTCAAGACAACTTACCCTTCTTAGCCGATTTGTATACATAACTACTTTTAGCAAGGCCTACTTCGCTGAGAGCGCAATAACATCCTAACGAGGTAACCAGTGACTCTGGACTTTTAGGCATTGTCCTAGTCTAACGTTTTCACTGTCACCTAGATTACTTTTCTTCAAACGACAAAGCCAAGGAAAAAAAAAAGACCCGAAACACTCCACAAAAGATGAACCCAGTCCATGAAAGATTCAGACGCTATAGATTTCTCAAAGACTTCTTTGATATTTTTAGAAATAAGACCAAATGAGATGGCAACGCCCTCGATATTCGAGTAGCACGTATTTAACTAGCGCTATCACCCCGTCCTAGCCTTCATCCTCGCTCATAGAGAGACCTCTATCACCACCTTCTACAAACCAACCAACCAACCGCACACTCATCGAATCCAGATAATAAACCCAATCAAAATGCCCGAGGCAATTTTCATTCGAAATGGCTGGTACGCAGGCGAAGAAGACCCCGCAAACCACGAGAACCCCTGGTACGTCGACGTCTTCTTCAAGGACCGCGATATGCGCAAGAGTGACAAGTCTCTCATGGACATTCTTGTCTCCGAGCTCTGGAGGGGACACGCCGCTATCACGGCTGAATGTCTGCATCATGCCCACTCGCACTGCATCTCGCTCTTGATTGATCATGACGGCACTGATATGGAAAAGAAGCACCTTGCCTATCTCTTGGCTAGGAAGATTCGTGATACTGTTTATGCGGGGCGGACGACTATTAGTCGGAACAAGCTTTTCCGGGGGGAGGGCCTTGGTATTATTGGGCTTGAATTTGAGGGTCCTCAGTTGGAGTATCGTTAGGAGATGGAATGCTCTTGGGAAGGAGAGGGGGTTTGGTTTGGGAATTCATAAGTAACATAGATTCAGGTGCTTAGTTGGACCAGAAGGCATCACAGCCTTCTCGGTGAATTGGTGAATCCGTAAGCGATGAGACAAGTAGTGAATGTGACAAACATGAATACCTTGACAAGTTCAGCTTCTCTTTCACGCTTTCTCGCTATTTTCGGGAACTACTTAGCGTTTCGGAACAATACGCTACACGTGGTAGGCAGGCGAGGTATGTAATATGAAGATGTTATGTGTGGCTAAAGAAGAAGATGAATATAGACTTAAGGTAGAGAAGGGCACTAGGGCCGAAAGGGTCTTTATACTAAGGCTATTCGATTGAAAGAGAATGACCCTGAAAGATGGATTGAGGAAGAAGAATCCTAGCCCAAGAGAGCTCTACACAACAGGGACGATGATCGCTCCAATCCAATTCGCTAATCTGATAGACCTGCCGAACTGCTCTGTTCTATGTGGGCACCTCCTCCTGGTCCACAATCAACAAATTCGTGAAACGCAAATGAACCTCGTCCTTGACCGTGTAATGCATGGCGCCAATGGAAGTGCCATGACTTTGTAATACATGGGCGATGACACCCTTCAGCCTCCCGTCAGGCCCCCAGACCATCAGGCTACAGCTGTCGCCATGTCGCATCGGGCCCTCGCGGTTTTGATTCCGGAACTCGAAGAGTGTCGCCTGGCTCTTGGGACCAGCAGCGAGCAGAGTAACCTCTTTGCCTTTGAAAGGGATTGTGAAAGATCGAAGCCACAGGCCTCTTTTACGATTGTAGATGTGGTACCGTTTCTGGAATTCGATCTGCCCGGATCTATTAGAGAGTTGTCTTTGTGACGATTTGGGAAAAGGCTTACTGCGGGAGCTTGGTTGAGTAGCGTATCAACTTCGATATCGAAGACATTTTCCTCGCTGCTCAGCTCCATAGAGAGTCCTGGCCATCCGTTGTTGTAGAGATCCATGATGGGGTCTGGGGACGTGAAATGTTCTATCCGCGTTGTGTGTCCGTCTGCGGGAGGGTTTAGTATTTCACTCATCCAGGGAGGGAGAAGAGTGATACCTTCAGTATTTTCTATCACACTACTCAATACTTCCACCTCGCCCTCTTTCAAAAATATGTTAATGTCCTATTCCCTGTCATGGCTGGGAGGAAGCTTACTGAGTTTCCAAGCATGATGCAGTGACAGATACTCGGGCTTCTTGACATCCTTTCTCTGGTAGTCGCGGAGGCTGATGCGGAAGCTAACAACCTTTTTCTTCCTCGTAATCTCCGCTATGCTCTTGAACTTCTCGGGGATATTCTCATAGCCGCGGATCTGGCCAATGAACTCGCCGAGCGGGGTGACATCTTCTTGCTATAGTCGAGCATCAGAATTGGGACCAATATTGTCAAAAATATCAGGGTGATACCTTGATTACTCTCCAATTATGAGATGGAGCAACGGTTGGGCACCATGCAGGAGGGCTTCACGAGAACGTAAGTTTTATGTAGCGGTCAGGGACTGGCAAACAACCACTTACTTGTTGCAAAGCAACGTGTCTCCGCCTTGGGCCTGCCATGAGATAGAGCTTTGCATGTTTCGATTTGAGCTGGAATTCTTTGCATTTGTCTGGTTCTCCTGGCTGTAGCTGGCACTTCCAGACACATAACTGGAAGAGAAGGATGCGGCAGCGGCAATCTTCATGGCACTAGCGGCCTCATCCTCGGTCGTTGAACCAAGTGCAGAGAACTTTTCGGATGAAAAGAGCCTGCCTCCGAGCTCAATTCGGGTGGCAAAAAAGTGGCCTGTTGATGATCAGCTTTGCTGGACCCGTCTCCATTCAAGTCTTACCGTATTTATGATGGAACGCAATCAGAGAAGATGCGTCCTTCACATTCGCCAGGTCGGTGGCACATTCTTCTGAAAGGTCGACGCCAAACTGATCCAAATACAGAACGACGCGAGGGAACTAGCCGGAAGGTGTGAGTTGTTTGATAGAGAACCGAGCTGCGAAACTTACGTTGTAAGTGATATTCATGGTCTTGGTGTCAGCAGTGTTTTGCGAGCTCAGAGCATTGTTCTCACTCTGAGAGAAGCCAGCACTGACGGCAGCACTGAAACCGAATGCTCCACCTTCTCTGCTATGCAATTAGAGGTTGTTGGAATGGTCTGGGAGCGACGTACATGGAGGCTTCGGCCTCTATTGAGGAGAATGAACTACGCGCCATGGCTGATGCTGTGGAAGAGGCGGTTTCGAATGCGTCCACATAGGAATCGTCTCCGACAGTGAATCGGGGGATGCGGAACACTTGCTGAGGTCATGTCAGAATGGCGGACTCATTCAAGGATTTCCGGAACTAACTTCGACTTTGACATCTGCATCGAGGATTTCATGCGACGCGAATTTCCTGGGTTTCAAAACGAAGGCTAACAACGAGTCAGGAAAGCACCAGATATAGGAAAGGTTGAGGCCTACCACTATAGGGAGCACGCTCAATTCTGCGAAACTTGACCTTTTTCGATCCATCGGTCAATCGCCCCAGGTTCGAAAAGACCAGCCGATGAGCACTTAAAAGGTTGTTGTTGCGGATGACAGCGTTCCATTCCTTCTCAGACAAGTCGGCCGGGTTTCTGGTGTAGCTGGTCAGTGACAGTTCATCAAACGAGAAATGTCTCTTACACCGATGTCTCATTGCCTTCGGCGACCCAGTCTGCGCGGTTGAAGGAGCTCGCTAGTTGTTCCAGCGATGTCTGAAGCAGTTCGGGCTTGTCCTGCATAGATTGTCAATTCCGGATTCACACAACGTGACCATGTCGAAATAATACACTCAGCTTCAAGTTCAGCTCCTGCTTGATGAGCTCCTTTGCCTCTGCCTTTCTATCGGTGCTTTTCTTGTCTTTGGTCTTTATGTAGACATTGTGGACCGTAACGTTGGCGGAATTCACAGGGTTCTTCTTTCCCTTCTCATCACTCTCTTTTTCCTTCTCTGAATTCTCGAAGAGGATTCCCATGTAATCTGTGAACGACGTGGAATCATTGACCTGGGCACCAGTCGCACTACAGAATGCAGAACCCGCTCTAGATAGCCATCAGCTCTGAATCGTCTGAATCCGCGCCTCCTACATCCACGTACCTGCTAGCGTCGAGACCACCATTGTCTATCAGTGCTTTCCGTATCTCTGAGAGCGTCTTGCCGGAGACGTCGAAGTCCTTCAGGGGGACGCAGTTGGTCTTCTTGGTCCTTGCCTCCTGGCCATCAACGACGTTGACATCGAGTCGGACCGCCATGGTTCGGGGGTTTGATCAGTAGACACTGAAATAAGTCAAGAGAAATGTGTTTCAATTCTGTGTCCAGGAACTCTGGCTGTCTTTATGGGTGTAACTTGCGCTCAACTTGCAATGCCCCTCAGCTCAGCTCAGCCTCTACTTCATCGGTGGATCCATCTGGCGCGAGATTTGCCGAGAGATCGTAGATCTAAGAACTTGCGGGGTGGCAGCTCCATGATTGGACTCTGCGTAATCACTTGTATGCGAGTCAATCGATGAGGAATCCATGATCACACACCGCTATTCCTTTGCTCAGAGGCATCATCATCTTTCTGCAGTAGCGACGGTAATCGTCGTCTTAGTGAAGCATCGCCCTCTCACACCGCTGAATTGGAGCTGCAAGATGCCGATCTCGCAGGAAGTTCAGTCTCTTCACCCATATGACAGGTAGTGCGCCAAGTCATACCTGAGGAATCCCCTCCTGACTGGTAGGTTTCAAGACAAGTTAACATTCAAAGAACTTATCATTTAATTGTCCCAGTATCCTATGTCAGACTACTTGTACTTGGACACGGTCCTACCACCGACCCATTAAGGCAGAATAAGGCCTTAGTCCCGATTCTAGCATGCCATAAGTTAGTATTCGCAGGGAGGTGAAAGCAGGAGGTGTTTTCAGTGAATCAATACGGCACAGGGTCATCATTATAGGCCGTCATGGAGGCTTCTCTGCCTTGAGCCTTGCACCTCCCCAATTCCGTGTTGCTGTCGGCAGGAAATGGTGCATGATGCCAAAGATCACTATGCGGCAATAAGTCTAGCTTGCCCGTGGCTTATACGGCGGAAAGTATCTTGGATCTTATGCCAAGACAAAGTGCAACCCTTGTGCAAAGAGCTCCCAGCTGAATGCTGTTGTCTCATGGACGGAAATCAGGACCCGTAACGTTGGATGTACGGGTTCATGCTGTCCGGGGGTAAAACAGAGTCACAGTCAGGTACCAGGCTGCCCTGCAACGGGTCTATACTGGGTTCTATCTGAGACCTGTCTCTAGTGACTTAGTGTAGGATAACAGAAAGATGCATGAGACCCCAGATCGCGTAAGTTACCTGGGTGTTGACTCTGGCCTTCTCTTTTCGTCTTTCTATGAATCACTTTCTTACCCCTTTCTCGGCAGATTCATGCACTCCAGAGTTGTCCGACTGATATTGCTCGGCCATTCTACTTTGGTTGCATGGCATTCACCAACTGTTCGGCCATAATGCCCTAGCCGCAGGATCACTTCGGGCTACCACCAATAGCAAAGGGGCCCAGAGCAATGGACTACCCCTGTTAGAACTATAATTAACCTAAAGCCCGAGAAACCTCTCCGAGTAAGGCTCAGACTTCCTGAATAGCTGCATGTTTCTCATCTGGTCCGTTGGTATTGCGCCTATCAAATGGTATCGGGATGCATTCATAAACTATGAACAAACTACCAAATAAAGCACCATTTGTACGAAAGCATGACCCCAAGCCGTAACACCGTTCCCCGAATCAAGCATAAGCATAAGCATAAGCCACACCAACTCCGATACTATTAGACACGATAGGATACTATTGGGAACAAGAATGGCAGCCGAAACATCGGATATTGGGGTCTTCGTTCATGTACAGCTGAAGACCAATCGAGGTTGGTAGATGATGCAGATTGACGGAGGGATAATTTGGATGAACGATGTGATTGGGTAGGCGATAATTCGGCTTTGGTGGATGAAGACAGGGGGTTCCCTGTCTGGTGGAGTTTGTCGCTGGGCAGATATGGCTGGATGGGCCGTTCCCGGCATGCCGCCGTGTTCTTTCTGCGACTGGCGGATCGGAGTGAAACAGGGCAAGCGCAGAAAGATAGTGTTAGCGCATATCAGGAGACTTGGTATTCGCATCAACTTGTTTGGTCGAGAAAAGTTCAGATGTCAACGAGCAATCTTTAACGCTCTAATCCACTCCAGCGTAGAGATCCACAACAATATTGATTGCGGCCACGAGGATTTCCGCGGCGATCAAAACAATGACTAATAATTGTTAGATGAATCAATATCACAATTGCAGTGGAACTTACCAATCCATTCGAGATACTCGCCGTGGCGGTGGGTCAATTGATCCTTGAGGACGGCAAGCAAATCCGCAATAACATCCAATCTCTCTGTCAACAGACTGACACGTTGATCCATCTCCAAATAGCTTCGAACTGCTTGGTACACAGGTTCCAGCTGTGGCTCTGCCCAGAAAAGTTCCGGGCTATCTAGGACAGATCCCTGTAAATGGATGTTGATGCGGAGAATAAACAGCTCTCCGATCTGCATGTTGATCTGCTTGCGTGTGAGGTTGACACTACCAGTCTGCGCAATCTGGGCAGGCAGAGGCGCGGTGTCGGTAATGGTTTCAGACAGAAGATCCTCGAAAAGCGAGGTCTTGACAGATTGGGCTAGAGCATGAGAGATAGCCAGCTTGATCATGTTGTTTCGTGGGTCACGAAGAGAGATAAAGTCGTTGTAGATCCTGGCCTGGTATTCACGCGCATAGTAGAAGTTGAAATTCTCAATCTGCGTGTCATCAGGACTCAAGATGGACGTCGCAAATTTCGAGATGTCTGACAAGAATCGTGATTCTTGCGCTGGCGACATTCCCCATATTACGACTGTGCCGTAATCAAAGAGGAATACCTCCGGTGTGTGGATTGTGGTGTCAATGTCGGGGGTATCTTGGACGACTGCTTGCTCGGTATGGTCGGCTGAATGTCCAGCCTCTTCATGCAAATCAATTAAATCATCCCTTCGGCTCTTTTTGTTGTCTTCCACCTCCACGGCACTGTCCGAGTACCTTCTTTCGCTGGGTCGTCGCTCAGGGTGTCCATTGCCACTTGGGTCGGCGAACATCCGGCCCTTCTGCTTTTCTTCATATTGGTAGTCGAAAGGCGAGTAGACACATTCGTCGTAAAGTTTGGGATTCGCTCCACGGGTCTTGCTTCGCGACTTGAGGAACTTGATCACGCCCTCCAACCGATACGAATTAGCCGTACAGTAAGCTGTGACTCGAGGAATGCGATCGCGGTCGGCCTTGCCTAGTCGGGCAGCATGGCTTCGTGCGGCGGGATCCTTGATTCGAGTGATTTGCGAATAGACATCCCGAGGGAAATCTCCATCAGAGGCTTCTTCCTCTTCGGTCACCGGATCGGGGAGCAGCTTCAGTTTCTGCGCTTTCTTCGTAGTTCGCTGCGGTCCAATCTTAGACGCCGGGTGGGATGGGTATGATGAAGCGTTGAAGGGAGCAGCGCCATGGCTGTTGCGGCGACGGAGTTTGCTGTTCAATGCTGAGAGCATGGGCTGGCTGCCCGGACGGGGCTGGGTACCCTGGGCATTAACATTGAGGACTGGAGGTGAACCCGTATGCAAGGGTCGGAACGTAGGATCGGAGGTCGAGGAGGTACCATAGGTGCTGATTTGCGTGAGCGGATTGAATGATACCGACCTCGACGTCCGGCTCGCCCGAGGTGACGTAGAGGCCGGATTGTGCTGAGGCAGCAACGGAGAATTCTCTTCTGGCATGATTGAATTGAAATATAGACTTAGACGACAAGCGCCATTGGCGGAATTGGAGTGCAGGAAAAAGGAAAGAAAAAGGAAGCTGGGAGCTCCCCATGCACGTGTTCCGCCTTATTAATCGGTGACATCGTCACTTTTTCCAAGTTTGGACTGCAGCGACTGCCCTTCAACATGTTATTTACTGAAGGTTGTCTATCGTTACATTATTTCCTTTATTTGTTTGATTCAACAATATTTGGACCTCCTAAATGACTAAATTGCTATGTACATGACTTGGTTCATAGGTTTCACTAACACCGAACACCATGCAACCTTGGGAGACGAACAAAAAGCCTCCATTGATTGATCACAACATGGCTGTAAATGACGGCACGTTGCATGCCCAGTCGACACCGACTTTCACGTTGCGCTAATGGGCCCCCGAAGACGGGGAAACATGGCTCGCTGCTGTGTGTATTGCCCGAGTAGTGGCTTTGGTAGGTTGCAGTAACATGCGACTTCCAGACGGATTGGAAATATGCGAAAGTAAATAATAATCGCTTTTAATGGTCATACAAGTTTTGACGTCAGCTTCAACGGCGAACGAACCCACCAGGTCCGCTTGCTTTCTTCCGGAGCCCGTTGCTTGCGGAGTTACGGGTCCTCTGCAACATGCTGCCCTTGAGGTTTTTTCCAGCCTTGGAGACTCGAGGGGCCAAAGCAGGCTTCGAGCTCTTCTTGGTGGAGGGCGCATCAAGCACTCGAATCGAGACATCTCCCAGGTTGACATCCTTGGGAATCTTGTCCTTCTTGTCCAGGAACCTCAGCTTATTTGACTTCTTTGGCATGGCGAAATCATCGGCTGGGGGCGTGGGAGGGCGAATTACGGGATCGGCGTTCAGAATGTCATCGGGAAGCAAAGCAGGAAGAGCTGCCCGTCGTGCATCTTGTGTAGTTGTGCCCTGAATAGTGGCTGTGCTCTCGGAGAGGAGATCATCGGAAGACTCCTTAGGCTTAACGATAGTCTTGGCCTGCAACTTGCGGCGCTCGTCCAGTTTCCGTCGCTTCTCTCTCTTCAGCTGTTCTTCTCTGTAGGCATTGTTAGCAAAATCCATTCGGCGGAAATTGGCAATAGGACATACAATTGCTTCACGGTCTCTCGCTTTTTGGCCTGCTCCTTCATTTTCAATAGCTGAGCCGAATTATCAATGGCCTCCGGCGCATCGTCATCACTATCCTCATCTTCGTCCTCCTGCATCGGATCTTCTGGGATCTCTTCAGGTAGTGTCTGGGGATTTTCAGGCTCTTCGCTGTCGAAACGGAAGTGGTTCTTCTTCTCTGCGGGCGCTTTCTCTCCGTTCACGTTGGATGTCTCCGGGATATCGCTGGCTTCTTCGGTTCCCATAGCCTTGGGATCACTCTTTCTTCTCCGCTTGGTCTGCTGCTCATCGGCCTTGTTGGCCTTGCGCTTTCCGTTGGCAAGTTCGGGCGCAACTTCGCCTCGTCGTGTAGTCACCATAGTGGAATCGGCAGAATCTGAATTTTCTGGTCGCGCGAATAGACCCTTGGCAGCAGTGACCAAGTGAGCAAACATAGAGTGACAGAATTGAATTGACGTGCAGGTCGAGAGGTTAAGCAAAAATAAAAAATCTCTCGGCGATTGGGATTTCCCGAGAGCGGAGACTGATAAGCTACTCCGCCTTATCTACTTCACTACACTTGACCTCTTCAGTATATCCTTAGTTGTCTTTGTTTTATTCTATGTTTAATTGGTTATTTAGTTCCTGTGGAGTAATTCCATTTATTATTGGCTTCAACTAGTCATGTTCTATTCGTTGGTGCTACGAATGTCAATTTTGTTCACTCCAACATGTATATATATAGCGTTCACCATACAAAATATGGAAATCGACTTAGTAGCAATGTTGTATCTTACAAAAAGGATAATTTTTGACTCAACCACTTGTCTATATGACTATCAGCAGTAACCAAAGCGTGACCAAGCTCTCTAGGATAAGATTTACAAGCAATACAAGTTTCCAGCATATGCTGAGCACCCTCAACAAAAGCAATGGATGAATCATTACTACTAGAATTCATATGAAGCTTCTCCGCATTTAGATACTCCCAATGACCAGTGTCACCCATATTGAGAAGAGGAACGGTGGTACCCTTAATAGAAGCAACAGGGGCCAGCTGGACGGCGGCATAATCAATGCCATTGAATCCATCAGCTCTGTATGCGAAATTCTATTGACTCGGATGGCGAATGTTGATAAATAACGCTTGATGATTGTTTTGAGGGCGCCATCTTGCCAATCTTGTGCGAGATTGTTGAAGTTGCTGGGGACTCGCACAGCGGGTACGACTTGTCGAGTTGTTCCGTTCTTGTGGAGTAATGACCAAGCATGTGTGGTGTGTGTTAAGTATCTAGTATCTTGGGCGAACGACTTGTTGCTGAAGCCGGTATACAGGGTGTCAATAATGGCGGATGGCTCGTCATCGGTGTATATGCCATTTCCTGCTTCAATGGCTGTTAATCTCTCCTAGGCATAGGCGAGGATACGTTTGTTGCATACGACTACACCTGTCTAGAAGTTCTTCTTGAATTCGGTGGTGCAGTTTGAGAGAGATTTGTTCACAAAGCCATTGGCTGGTTCGAAGAGGTTCAAAGATTGGTTGAGCTTGGAGCCTGATAACTCGTCGATGATCGCTGGGTTTAGACTTAACAGAGCCATTGTTGAGACCATAGTTGGCACAAAGATAAGTCCGTCGGCAGGCTGGAGGCCTTCTATTGCACCAGAGCAGGGGTAGATCTTCCCTGACCCCTGGTAGGCAGAGGCACCGTTCTCGGCGACGTTCGGGTATGCAGCCATCATAGCACCACCGCCGCTGTGACCGAGGATTGTGACCGAGCATGACGACCTGGTCGATTTCGGTCAGGTTGCGCAGGTACCCCATTCCCTGGTTCACATTCGTTATCATATCTTAAAAATTGAGGTCTGACACATATCCGCTCTTGCTGGCATCGTTGTTTGCACAGAAGGTCGTGAAGCCCCGTTTGGGCAGCTCGGTACAATCAGAGAAGGATGAATAGCCCTGTTCGGCATGCATCACATAGACTGCAATTCAAAATTTCGGCCCAGCTATAGCAGGCCGGTAGAGACCACCAACAAATACCATCGTCATCGAAGTCAACTAGCTCCGGTGTTGGAAGATTTGTGTTTTTCGAGGCGAGGTCAGCTGGCCGAAGACTCCAATGGCCACCAAGGCTGCAATTCCAGTATGCTTCAAAGATAGCATGGTGAACTTCACCTATTCAAGAAGAGGATTGAGAATTGTAGATGGAATGATTGACAGCGGTAAGTCTATCCTTCAGACACCGAAACAAGCTTAATTTGTCTAATGCATAGTTTAGATAAGGATGACGCGTGCTACTGCGTCTTGCAAGGAGAAGTCGAGATGTAGATCAAATGGGGTAGCGTCATCAGGTACTTCGTTCAGATGTTCTAGTCCGTGACGAAGCTGGGAGATGCTGCCCTTTTTACATTGTAAAGCAAGGCGTGCCCGACCCAGATTTGTGCAACGACCAGGAAATATAGGAGTATGATATTTGTACATCATCCTATGCGGAATCTAGTACTAATTAAGTATAGTCTGCATAATTTGCTGTGTGCATGGCAGGGAGGGAAAGGATTTTACCAGCTTTCTTCGCGGCATTCGATGCCCTTGGTTGAGATCATTACCTCTGACTGTGCTTAATTCTAGGACATGATCTGATTGATTTGGAAAATGTTATTTCATAGTCGTAACATGATGTCTGTTAAACAGACACAGTTTTTGCAGTTGAATATTCCAGCATCTTAGTACGACATATGTTCATGCAGTATTGCTATGCCCAAATACCAAGACCCCAAAATCAACAGAAATTTGCCCGTGAATTAAACGTGCAACACAATTTCGCCAGTCATGCAAGTCATACATATCTCATGTTCAGTTCATAAACGCCATCATACATGCCGCCAGATCCAGATCGAACGCCATAAAAGCCAACCAACCCCAAGGAACATGCAAAAAGATGGCAAAAAGCAAATTTAACTGGAATCACTTTCCAGCAGCTTTCGCGGTCCAGTATTCCATGTGCTTGCGGACACATTCCTCGCGCTCCTCAGCCTCCTCACGGAATCGAGTAAAGTCATCTTCTCCAAGATCACTAAGCTCTTCCCACATCTGGTTGTATTCATCCTGATCGTTGCCAGTAACCGCCCACATGTTCTCGCGAAGGCGTTTGTTGCGCTCGCGGTCCTCCTCAATGCGCTGCTCGATTTGCTTCTTGTCGAGGCGTATCTGAGGGGTTCCAGCCTTTGACTTTCTTCCGTCCTCGGTTCCTTCGTCGTGTTCCATATCGGGGTGGGTATCGCGATCCTTCAGAGCGGCGTCGATCTCGGCCACACTCTCGGCAGTGAGGACTTTCTTGCTCTGGAGTCCGCTGAGGACGTGACGGACGTGCTTGACGTTGGCTGCGCCAGTGCCATCAGGAGGAACAACCGAATCGACGACGCGGAGAATATCGCGCTGCATCATGCGGACATAGGTGGGGTGGTTCTCCTTAAGCGCCATGTCGCAGAGATGCTCGATGAAGTACATGATGTTTGCGCGGTTGTTCATGTTGTTCTAAGAGTGAACAAATTAGTCGCGATCCAATGCATTCAATTGTATTGTGCTTACTCGCTCAAGCTGCTCTAGGATACAGGAATGGAGGTCCTCATCCAGGTCCCGATATTTGAGCGCATAGAAGGCAGCTTTCTGCGCAGACGTGACTGAGGCACTGAGGTGCTGCAGCTGAGTCGTGAAGCGCATGCGCACTTCAAATGGATCAACCATCATCTTGCCTTCCTTTTTCTTGCCTTTTTTCGCTTCAGTCGGAGTAGCGACAGAGTCGTCATGAGCCGGAGTAGCCATCATGATAGGCACCGATGGATATTATGTCAGCGGGTGGGTCGTCAGAGTTAGGCGGGAGCAGGGGAGTTGCGGAAGAAGAACTAAATGTAAACAAACCACCTTAAAACACTGGCCTTTTGAAGGGAATTATAATACTAGAGGGATTTGATCTGAATTTTCTTCTATTATTATTGAAGTCACAAGCTACTTGTCTGTCCATTTACCATATCTAACAAGAGTAAAGGCTTTACCAGCTAACATCTCCAATAACATCATGTAGATCCTACTGGAAATGAAAAATTTACATATTAAGATGATAGCAAATTTCAAAAAGAATCCCGTCTCAAAGAGCTGCTCAGACTCGATCTATCATTTCCATCGAGTAGACCGACTTCTTCAGCCTCATGGCGATTCTGGAAATCGTGGAAGTCCTCGTCTCTGAGCGCCTCTTGACGGCGAAATTCAACACCATTAAGTACGGACCAGACGTCTTTCTTGGTCAGTAAGCCTTGCAAGATACCTTTGTTGGCAAAAAGCACGTAGCGCAGGCCCAGGCGTTGAAACATCTTCAGGACAATTAGGAAGGTGATGTTGCTGTTCAAAGTGATGGGAGTCTGGTCCATCCACGGTCGTAGATCAAGGGTATCAACAGGGTCTGCAAACGGCTGATGGGAAAAGAAGACCTGAGTCTCCTCAGAGAGATTGCGGGTAGTTGGAGATGTCGAGTATTTCAATGCAAAGGATAGCTCATTGCGCGTAATGTAGCCCAGAAGAATGGGTTTCGAGGTTTCCGAGACAACGGGGAACCCGCGGTACGTAGTGTTAGCAATTAGACCGCGGATAGAAGCAATCGTATGACCAGTTGCAGTCAGAACGCTAATGTCATCCACAGTCGTCATGACTCGGTGGGCAGACACATCTGGTGGAGTGGTATCATCGCGATGGTCGAGGAAAGGATATTCATTCAATCGAATCCATGACTCGTAAATACCTCGTTTCCCGAAGATATCACCGCACCACTTGGAAAGCATCACAGCAATCATGATCGGGATCACGTATGTTAATGCGCCGGTCAACTCGAACATGATAACGACAATTGACAAAGTCATTCGAGTCGCACCACCGAGAGCAGCGGCCGCTCCAATAATGGCATATAAACCAGGAGTGACGCATGGAATATCTGGCTCACATTTACTAAACAAGAAAGCTTTCGGGTAGGCTTCCTGCCACATGCGCATAAGAATTCCAAGTGCACGCCCATAAAGAGCACCGATGGCGACCGAGGGTAGAATGATACCCGCAGGAATCTCAAGTCCAAAAGTCAAAGACGCCAAGAAGAAGGCCAACAATGCAGCTGCTACCAAAAGGATTGCCACGCCGATTGAGGCTGATCCTGTTGCACAGAGGCCGAAACGATCAAAAGTCGAACTGCTGCACTCAGCAAACAGCGACTGAACAAGCTCCGAGTTTTGAGCCCGCATGAAATGATTCGGGTAGTTGATCAAAGCTGTAAGGAGAGCAACTACAACGACTTCGAGTATCGGCCGGGAAGAAGTTCGGCCTCGTCTCCATGTGGCAATTTTCGTATTCAAACGAATGAGGAATGCACCGTAAAGACCGCCGATGATACCAAGGATGATGAAAGGAATAATCTCAAAGCGGTGCCAGCCTCGAGTGTATGTGACTTGATATAGCACAATTTTGCCTGTTCGGAATGGGTTGAGGGCTTGTAAAACGACAGCTGCAATCATGGCACAAACAAAGCTTTGCCACATGGTTTTGTCCGGGAAATAATAGGAAAGTTGCTAGAAATGTTAGTAAGAAAGCGAAGGACGGAAATTGCGAGTGACTATACCTCCAAGCTGAAAAGTACACCGCCAATGGGGGCTCCAAACGCGACAGAGATACCGGCAGCAGCGGCGGCGGAAAGCACCTCGCGTTTTCGGGCTACATCATTAGCTTAATAATTACCAAAGATGAAAATACAGAGGCATACCTTCGTTGCCATTCAGACTCGGGAATGGTTTCATCAGGATATTGGCACAGCAGCATGCGACGTGCACAAGTGGACCTTCTTTTCCGAGCCACAATCCTGATGCGACAGAAAGACACTTCAAACAGTCAGTATGGGAAATTCGTAGCAGAGTATCGACCTCTCCAGCGACTGACCAAGCCCAAAGATTTGATGGTAAGTGTCCATGGCCCCATGAAATGCCGAATGACAGTTCCACCAAGGACGGTCTTGATCTCAGGAATTCCACTGTGTCGAGCGTAGATGGCATAATTTCGGACCAAAAAGCAAGCACATGCAGCAAAGAAGACCGAAAACACAACATAGAAGATGTATCCAACCGTATATGATCCTCCGTTTGAGGTTGCACCCAACGCAGTGCCCCATGGTGTCCAATCAAGACACTTAGTCTGATCTATATAGCGCATGTTTTAGCACCTGAGGCTCAAAGGTTCGACTGCAACAACTTACCATCAAGACCCCAGCAGCAAAAACTCTTGTTCAAATAAAACTTTCCACCACCGCTGCCATTTTTGCAATAACCGGTCTTCAAGTCACCTAACCAGTCTGTTGCAATGTCGATACAGGCGGCGATTATGCCTACTGCAATACCAGTTGCGATCAACACTAACCAGACATTGCTAGCATCAAGAAGCCGACGAGCATGACCCAATAGTCCTTGTCCGCTCGAGTAGAGGAGCCGTTTCCTTTGTCGTTCCTTTGTATATTCGTAGATCCAATCGATAGCTGTAAAGTCGTCGTAGCCCACACGACGCCCGGGGCCCTCGACATACCAGTCCAAAGGCCCACTATCTTTGGCCCCATCAGGACCACCGTTGAATCCTATAGGACCGTAGGGATCAAGGGGCGATACGTCTCCATTATGTCCACCTTGCGGGGCTGGAGAGCTGAAGCCAGTACCCGATCCGCCCGCGGTAGGGGAGAGAAGATTAGATAGACTGAATCGCGATCGTTGCTTTTGTTTTCGTTTGAAGGATATCCTGTAGGCGCCTCATAGTTAGCTCCACAGTACAGAATGGAATCACTAAGACGTACGGCTCATGTAAACCCTGGGACTCCCGATTGCCTTGGAGCTGGAGGTGGTCCTGATCAGCACTTTGCGACCGGGACCGATCCTCGCTGCCAGAGCCCTGACCACTCATTGACATTGTGAAACATCAACAGACTGCAATATTAGCATCTCTCTTGCATGAAACAAGCTGTTGAAAGGAGACAATCGTCTAGGACGCGCAAGTGTGGCGCAAGCTCCCGGATCCAAGGCGGTGGAGATAGTCTAGGCGGGGCTGCGCCACAGGTAGGCAGAAAAAAAAAAAGTTACAAGATCGAAGCGGAGAGTCTCTTCACTTTCAAATTTCAACAAGGAGCTCCTCTTACGGCCGGAATAAACATGGATCGACGGCCGGTCTATGAGAGGACTCTAACAGAGTCCCAGCTGCTCGAGCAGCTTCCGAGTGGAATCTCGACTTTCATTCGGACTGCATCGGGGACGCAACACCTCCACGCGCTTGCGCTTGGCGCATTAAACACCGAGTTCACAGAGAGCATCTTCAGGCTCTACGAACCGATTTTTGTCGATCTTGCAGCTAGATGGCTTCAATCGGATTTACATGCCGACTATATTCATGTATTAGCGGCTTTCGCGCAGATTTTGCCATTTGCGCCGCATCTGCGGTCGCTCGCCAGTCAATATGCCTCATCACAGACTGGCCCTCTCTCGGCATTGGCCATGTCGAAAGAACTAACACTGCTGCAGCTGGATCAGTCTAGCATTCGCACTCTACTCCTCGCCCTCTTCCGACTTCTTTCGTTCGATCTTGAGACATTTTCTCCCGTCGTTTCACCGCTTCAACTCCAGTCCCTCTTCCAGTCTCAAGACCGAGTCACGCGGTATCTTGCTGTACGATGCTTCGCTTTATATATGCATGCTGCCGATGCAGCCACTGAGAAGATGATCCGTGTCAACACCGGATCTGGACCCATTGAAGGAGACTGGGAAGGCACTTTGATCGATTACCGCCTACTGGGATTGTGGGAGGAACGCCGATGGGAGAGCCTTGGATGCATGATCCGAAATGAGAGATCTTGCAGGAATGAGGATGATGCTCTGGCACTGATCGAAAAGACGAAAGACTCTTTCACACCCAAGACTGCAGAGATCTGTGGAGTTTTGATTCCCAGACTAAAAGAAGTGCCCGTGTACTCGAGCTCTGTCGTAAAGACTCCGACTACAATAAGTAATCTGCGCCGGATTGCAGGCTCCCTGCTTGGGTTCAAACCTATCATGTTAGTTGGTTTGCCTAATTCCGGAAAGACCTCTTTGATCAACGATATTGCTGCCACGATGGGTCAAGCAGAATCTATGGTCACACTTCACTTGAACGAGCAGACAGACGCAAAGAGTCTTTTGGGAATGTATGCAACTTCATCTGCATCAGGTTCATTCTCTTGGCAACCTGGTGTGCTGACCAAGGCCGCTCGCGAAGGCCGTTGGGTCTTGATTGAGGATCTTGATCGAGCTCCCTCTGAAGTCATGGGTCTTATACTCCCAATCATTGAGAGGGGAGAACTCACCATTCCCAGTCGGAGAGAGCGGATTAAGTGTGCAGAGGGCTTCAAGATTATTGCTACTATGAAGTCATCATACAACATTGCCGGCGAGGAGGTTGCCCACAGCACCTCCATGCTTGGAAGCAGACTGTGGGAGAAAGTGCAAGTCAACTCTCTTCCTGTGGACGAAATGCGAGATGTTATCCTGCAAAAGTACTCCTTGCTCGAGTCTCGCGTGCCGACCCTCATGGAAGTCTACGCAAGAGTATGCTCTGCCTTCCACGGGAGCCTTGCGATCAAGGGCTCTCAGGGCCGTACCCCAGGTTTCCGTGATCTGATCAAATTGTGCAGTCGACTGCATAATCGCCTGCAACGTTTGGGTGCGAAGACCGGCTATGAAGCCACGTCAGAAGGTACCGAGGATGAGATATTCCTGGATATTGTTGACGTGTTCTTGAAGTACCTGCCTGAGAGGTCGATGCAAAGCACTCTTGCCGCCGTTGTTGCCGAGGTGCTTCAGATCTCACCCCAGCGAGCACAATTCTGCCTGCATGAGCGTACGCCTTCATATACTGACAGGAACAACAGTCTTGTTCTTGGCCGAGAAACCTGCCAGAAGATTAAAGTACCGAGTGGATCGGCCCTGAAGTCGGCGACAGCAGCCTCTCGATTTGCTCCTACAAGAGCAGCATTGTCACTTATGGAGCAGGTTGCAGCTTCTATCCAGATGGCAGAGCCTGTTCTGCTTGTCGGAGAGACTGGTATCGGAAAAACTACAGTCATCCAGCATCTCGCAACTCTTATGCGCCAGAAGCTTACCGTAGTGAACTTGTCACAGCAAAGTGAAAGTACTGACCTGCTGGGTGGCTTCAAGCCCGTCAATATTCGTACCATGGCAGTGCCAATGCTGGACGAGTTCACTCAACTATTTGAGCTGACTTTCTCCGCCAAGAAGAACCAAAAGTTCCTGTCCTCAGTATCGAAGAGCGTTGCATCTTCGAACTGGGTACGATTGGTAACCCTATGGCACGAGGCCGTTCGTCTCGCCAATGGTGTCTTCAACCCTCCCGCTTCCAATGCTGATAGTGACGAGCAACCGACGAAGAAGCGGAAGCTGGATTCTCCCAAGTACCAACACCTACGACAAAGATGGGAAAGCTTCACAACTCAGCTTGGAGACTTCGAAGCTCAAGTCTCTCAAGGCGATGCCAAATTCGCCTTTGCCTTCGTCCAAGGTAAGATCGTGAGAGCTTTGAGGAATGGCGAGTGGGTTCTGCTTGATGAAGTCAACTTGGCTTCCCCCGACACCCTGGAGAACATTGCTAGTCTTTTGCACCACGGCAGCGAAGGATCTCCATCTGTTCTCCTCTCCGAAGCTGGTGATGTTGAGAGAGTCTTCGGCCATCCTGAATTCCGCATCTTTGGTGCGATGAACCCTGCAACTGATGCTGGAAAGCGAGATTTGCCCCCAGGCCTACGCTCGCGATTCACCGAATTCTACGTGCATTCACCCGATACTGATTTGGATGACCTGCTGGCTTTGATCCAGAAGTACCTCGGAGACTTGACAATCAGTGACCAGAGAGCTGTTCCAGACCTTGCAACATTGTACATGGTGACCAAGCAGCTCAGCAACCAGAACAAGCTCACCGACGGAGCTGGTCAGAGACCCCATTTCAGTATTCGTACACTTGTTCGTGCCCTCATCTATGTCATCGACCATGCCCACGTCTATGGGCTACGCAGAGCGATCTTTGAGGGATTCAGCATGAGTTTCTTGACTGTACTCAGCCTGGCTTCCGAGCAAGCCCTAATTCCCCTTCTCGAAACTCACATTTTCGGGAACGCGAAAAACGCAAGATCTCTCCTAGGACAAACCCCTCGCCCACCTACAGACGGCAATGAGTATGTTCAGTTCAAGCATTACTGGATGCGCCGCGGTCCTATGATCCCTGAGGAGCAACCGCACTACATTATCACCCCATTCATTGAGAAAAACCTCAAGAATCTGGTCCGAGCTAGCTCCACCCGCCGATTCCCAGTTCTACTCCAGGGTCCGACATCAGCTGGTAAGACGAGTATGATTGAGTACCTTGCCAAGGTGTCTGGAAACAAATTCGTGCGAATCAACAACCACGAGCACACAGACTTGCAGGAGTATTTGGGATCCTACATCTCCACGGATGATGGAAGTCTAAAATACCAAGAGGGTGTTCTGGTTGAGGCTCTGCGGAACGGTTATTGGATTGTGCTAGATGAACTTAATCTGGCACCTTCTGATGTTCTTGAGGCTCTCAACCGACTTCTAGATGACAATCGTGAGCTCTTCATCCCTGAGACTCAGGAAGTTGTTCACCCTCACCCAAACTTCATGCTGTTTGCCACTCAAAACCCTGCTGGTTTGTATGGTGGACGAAAAGTCCTGTCGCGCGCTTTCCGTAACCGTTTCTTGGAGCTTCACTTCGATGATATCCCAGAAAGCGAACTCGAGTTCATTTTGAAAGAACGGTCTCAAATCGCTCCCTCGTTCTGCACACGCATTGTCGCCGTTTACCGCAAACTGTCATTACTACGCCAGTCCAACCGACTGTTTGAGCAGAAGAACAGTTTTGCCACCTTGCGTGATCTCTTCCGTTGGGCCCTTCGTGACGCAGATGATCGCGAGCAGTTGGCTGTCAACGGTTACATGCTGCTTGGTGAGCGTGTTCGCAACCCCCAAGAAAAGTCCGCTGTCAAGTCCGTAATTGAGGAGGTCATGAAGGTCAAATTGGACGAGAATACTCTTTACAGCTCCGCAGAGCTGGAAAAGAGCCTTCCTGACATGAGTGAGCTTCCGATCGGTATTGTGTGGACCAAAGCCATGCGACGTCTTTTCGTTTTAGTATCCAAGGCTCTCAGGAACAACGAACCCATTTTGCTTGTTGGTGAAACAGGTTGTGGTAAGACCCAGCTTTGCCAGGCTGTTGCTGAGGCTTTCCGAAGGGAACTGTTCATTGTGAACGCCCATGTCAATTTGGAAACTGGCGATTTGATCGGAGCTCAGAGGCCTATCCGAAACCGGGCAGCGATTGAGAAGCAGCTCGTGGATGATCTTCAAACGCTTCTCCGTGATCAAGAAACTGGCGCTTCGTTGGATGAACTGAAGCAAGAGTTCTTAGCATTGGATGCAGAGCAGCGACAAAGCAAGGATCAAGCTCTCATCCAGAAGATTGAGAGAAATTCTGGTCGTTGCAATGCACTGTTCGAATGGTCCGATGGAAGTCTCATCACTGCCATGAAGACCGGTCAATTCTTCCTTCTTGATGAAATTTCTTTGGCGGATGACTCCGTTCTTGAGAGACTCAACAGTGTTTTGGAACCCGCTCGGTCCATCCTTTTGGCCGAGAAGGGCCCTATTGACTCGATGGTTGTGGCTGATGGTGGCTTCCAGTTTATGTCCACAATGAACCCTGGTGGTGACTACGGAAAGCGTGAGCTTTCTGCAGCTCTTCGTAACCGTATGACTGAAATCTGGGCCCCTCAGTTGTCCGAAGACGAGGATATCCTGCCAATTCTCCAGATGAGACTGAACCTGAAGTCAGAGGATGTGGCACGAGCTATG